GACACAACAACGCAGACTGGAGGTGGCTTCAAACCGCTTTGCGATGTTTTTCTTAAAGCGGTATAGAAATGACATGAACAATAACAACAATATACAGACCCCTCTCTAGCCACCATCCGGGCAAACAAGAGCCATTATCAGACTTCAAGGACATATTCCAGCTGAGTGAAAGCACTCGTGAGCTGCAAAGGAGGATCAGTAAAGGATGTAGCCTGGGAAGAGGGGGGATAGTTTAGGAGAATCACAATGAGTAGAGAGAGATTACTTGAGGCCCACATTTGCCCCCCCCCCCAGGCCTGAGGTTCCCTACCCACTGTGTAGACCACCTCCCTCTCTTTCCCATCATAACTAATATATATATATATGTACAAGTGAAACAGTAGCAAACGTTTTAATACCTTTCAATTAAAATTTGGTAGACCCACCTGGGTTCAGAAAGTGGGGGGCGGGATATGATTCATAGGCTGTATCCGAACCGCAGGACACCAGCTGGCCATTCCTGGTTTAAATATTTGAGAAAAGAATATAACATCACCTAACAAAGAGCGATGGGGAGAAAATCTTTGATATTTTTTCTCCTCCCTTTGTACTGAATTTATGATTAAATAAGCTCCACTTTTATGTTAAGCATAATAGAAAGATATGTGGAAGATGCTCAGTACTCATCCTTTATGGATTCATTTAAATTCCACATATTAGACTAAGAAAACACCTGCATTTAAAAAACAGCTTTACAAAGAATGCTCAATAGCAATTGAAAATACTGTTAGCACAGGTGTTGGCTGAATATCTTTGATCTTTAAGGCTCGCTTTCTTAAAAAAGCATTAGGGAGAATGAATGTGTGTGTCTAAGTCAAAAGAGAAAGTATTCTTTCTAAAGCAGACAGGAAGAAAAATAGCTTCAGCTTGTATACCGGCTACTTTCTAAGGAACACAGGCCTCCGAATGACAAGCGAAGGGAAAGCGCGATCGCTTATGGCCCAAAATGAAATGACATGAATTCAGCTAACTCAAGCCTGCCACTGCTAAGTGTAATACATTATTCATGGAGGTCTGTGATGAGATACTTCCCTGTACCCTGGTGAATTCGCTCCCCAGCATAAATCTGAAATAGATCATTTACTCTAGATTAATATCATGCAGCTTCATAGGAGCTTAAAAAAAAAAAAAAGAGCTTATATGGGGCAATGCAAGGAAATGCATACGTTTGCAAAGGGAACGCTGACCACACAAATGGAATCCTGGCTCCACTGACGCGCAGGTCCACTGTGGATCTAAGACAACAGCCGAAAAAGCCCACCGAGTTGCAGAAAGATGCTGGACGGCAAACCAATGACTTTTAACCTGCGCTCAGCCACAAGCTCACTGTCTGCCCTGGGGCATCTTTGATTTCTGTTTAGGCCACACAGTATTATTTGCTAGTAGCGTTTATTTGATTTCTTACTCACCCTGCACCGTGAGGTCCCAGGGCACATTACAGCCATTTAAAATAATATTGAAATAGGTTTAAAACAAATTACAGTCAAGAGAATAGGGTATTTCAATAACAGATAACATAATATAATGATAATACTGCAAATAATAATAACTAAACTATTTAGAAGAGAATAAGAAGGTAGGGTGGTAATCCTACAATAAGATCTGCAGTTTAGGATACAGCAGATCTTCAGCTCAGCCGATTCCTGGATCAGCTGGCTCAACCAGTGTTAAGTCTCCAACCCCAGCTCAGCCAAAAGTACATCTTGGCACTCCATGGCTGGGACTGGAGAGGGCTGACTTAGGCTGGAGCCTATTCTTGTGCACAGGATTTCTCCCTAGCAGTGTGAAATCCAATACAGTGGTACCTCTGGATACGAACCAAATGTAACTAGCGACGGCACGTCTGCGCAGGCATGTGTCACTTTTCGCTGCTTCTGCGCATGTGCGTGACGTCATTTTGAGCGTCTGCACATGCACGAACGGCGAAACCTGGAAGTAATGCGCTCCGTTACTTCCGGGTTGCCGTGGAGCGCAACTCGAACGTGCTCAACATGAAGCATATTCAACCTGAGGTATGACTGTATAAGCTTTCGGACAGCACAAATGATACATCCACACTCCAGGAGAATATTCTCTATGAGATGGTATTGAATTGGCTTAGTGCTCCAATCAAGAGCATGACACTCTCAAACATGGCACACGTATGCCAGTAATAGCCAAAATATGTAGAAGAGACAAGGAGAGTGGGAGCCTCAAAATATGCTTCAGGACACCACTGTTCATAAATTCACATCCAGGATAGTGCCCTGTATGAAGTGGCAGCCAATTTTATCCGGTCCAACACTTTATTTGGATGCAAGACGCTGTAAAGGACACAAACCTATGTCGATAGCAGCTAAAATATGTAAACTGAAGGAAGTGGAGATATGCACCCCCAAAATAGCACTTGGGAACCCTCATCCAAACCTGAAAGTGTTTGTACATATTCTGGCAATCATTTGTGTGGATCCATGGACATCAGCACCCTGCAAAACACTGGCTCAGGCTATAAAATAACACAGTATGGTATAAAATATAATTATCATTATTATGGTATTATATAAACGTTGCTGCAGGTGGATGGCTAGTATCATCTTTGCTCCATTGTATTCATTATCAGGCAACTAAAAAGGTCCGAATCGTCAAAAGCTGGACACGATTGTCAGCATTTTTTCCACCCTCGTCACACAAAATACATTGCAGAAGCCATTCCAAAGCTTAATTCTGCACTCCTTTATTTTCCTAAAGGAGTTTTGCCTAGCAAGCCCATGTCTGCAATAAGGAAAGCATTTGGCATTGTGGGATTACAAGCACAACAATCAAAGTAAAGCCTAAAAAGCAGTCCCCCGCTTCCAAACTCCTTGCTCTTGCAGCATAGGAAACTATTTTATACTTAGGTGCCAATTTTTGCATAAGCCTTAAGCCTCACACAAGCAAACAAAGGCTAAAGGAAAATTCGGCTCCCCGCCTGCATCACTGGAGCAAACACAAACATGGGGGTTGTACATCTGACAAAAGGCCATTTGGGTACCAGACCTTGCTTTGCTCTTCTTATAAGGTTTGCCTCCTGCTCTTTTCAAAGAACTCAAAGACAAGCTGGGAGATGCACAATCCCTTTGGTCAACTGGCCTCCATAACTTCTCCTTTTCACACTGTCCTGTTAAAGGTTTGACTCAAAGGTGCTCTTTAATGTCTCAAAGGAAAAGCAAGCTGGCAAAATACTCTGGTTCTCAAGGATCCAGAAGGACAAATGGAGCTCAGGAATAATGAGTAATTTGTTTGTCTCCTAAAAGTTTAGATCATCCACTTATTTCAAGAAAGTGACCTCAATGAAAAGAGTAATATACATTGAAAATATATTATAATAATGCATATGGACATTTTTTTGTTACATTTTTTAAAGGCAAGAAAAGACACAAAATCCTGCAATTCTGCTGCAGCCAGTGGAAACTACACCAAGGAGCCTGCTGTTTTCTAGGAGTTGATACAAGTCATGATATTGTCTTTAGTAATGAGTTTTAGAAACTTGCACAGTTCAATAAAAAAAGAACCAGCTGTGCTGTTCTTATATAAATGCATTTGTTCTACTCACTTCAGGACCAGCCTTATTATGAAGTAACATGACATTCTTGCTCCAGATGAGATTCCAGAAAAGTTATTGGCTGTCCCTTTATATCCCATCTTTCTTCCATCTCAGAACCAAGGTGGCATATATTTGGCTCCCAGGAGGTCTCTCAACCAGGTACTAACCAGACTCAGACCTGCTTAGCTTCAGCAAGATGGTGGCCTCCCATGTCTTCAGATTACACCAACCTTTACAGTCATTTGGGCCTATTTTTTCCTAAGCATTGCGTAGGGATGTCTGTATCTGTCAATTTCAGTTTATCTCAGAGTCTCAGGTTTTTTTTCCAGTCTTCAGTTCAGTTATCCACATTTACACCTTTTTTTATTATTCCTCATGAAAATTCACAAGCATTCCAATGTTAATCCCTCAGAACATTTACACATCTATCTGATATTTTGACTAATACAGGCGGCAACCATTTTAGGCATGTCCAACTGATGCGCAATTGGGGACGCAGGGGTCCATTTATGTTGAAGTTAAGAGTAGCAAAATCACAGCTAAGAAGCTCAAATCGTATATGTGACTGAAACCCTTCTTTGGGAATTAAACCAATGTCCAGACTTTAACATTCAAAAACTTTACAGTGGACGCTTGGGTTGCAAACATGAGCCATGAGCACGTTTGCAACCCGCGCCTGCACATGCGCAGGTTGCAATTCTGCGCTTCTGCGCATGCGCAACTGCCGAAACCTGGAAGTAACCCATTCCGGTACTTCCGGGTTACGGCAGTCCGCAACCCGAAAAAACGCAACATGAAGTAGATGCAACATGAAGGATGACTGTACTTGCAGAAACTTATAGTTAAAGATGTATTAAAACATAATATTTACAGTCACATGCTTCTCCAAGCATGGGCCTACAGTCTCTTCTTCCAGCTTCCAAACAACCGTACTTTCCTCTCTTTCCACAGCTCAGATTTGCTCTCTCTCTTTCAAGCAGAGAAGAAACACTCCAACACTCTATTCAACTTAGCAGTGCTCACAATGGATTCTAAAACACAGTCATCTTGCTTCACATAAAAATGGAATCTCTCCTTCACTAGGTATCTCCCATGTAACCAACGTTAGCCGATCACATGAGAACTACTAGAGAATTTGGGTTTTCCTAGGGGAAAGTGGCAGGAGAAGTCAGGGCACCTGCTTGAAGGTAGTAGGCTTGCATCAAACAACAAAAGCAAAAGAACATAAGTTGTTGATCAATGATGCCAAGCTCCAAAGGTCACTTTTTCATGAGGTCTGCCAGAGTTCAAAACTGCCCATTTTCAAAAAAAATTGCTGAGAGTTGTTATTCCCTTCCCAGAGCTACAATTCTCACAGTTCCCTGTGAAGCAGGATTGATGGTTAAAATGCCCTGGGTGTTGAAGCTCTGGGAAGAGAATAGGTGCCCAAGTGCTCAGCACACTTAACAAATTACAGCTCCCAGAATTCTTTGGGGGAAGCCATGATTGCTTAAAGTGATATAGTGCTTTAAATGTATGGTGTGAATGTGCCCTTGGTCTTCAACTGCAAGGATTTTATCTGTAGAATACTGTAATGTTTACTCAGAAGGAACAAGGTGGAGTCGAGGGAAGCAGATCTTCTGGCCTGGAAAAATCTGTAAGTCATATTTGTTTTAGTTGGATTTTTTCCCTCCCCCCCACCCCTTGTTGTTTTTAATCTAGTCTAACCTTCCCCGTTCATTGTATCACAGGGAATATTTGCCTATTGTCGAAGCCCAATATTTTCCTGATGGTTCCTGGCATTTGACTTGTCATATGACTTTGATGTGGTCTGGCTTTTACATTTAGGGTGGACGGCTTTTCTTTTGGATTGACTCTGGTGATCGCATTGTGGTTTTGTTCCTGTTGTTTAGATGCCTTTGCAATAGGCATATTAGAGATTCATTGACGTAACTGGTAGCGAATGTTACCTCTGTTGTGAAATCTTCAAAGTGCTGGCAATCCTTGCTCCTTCCATAGTATCTCTCTCATTTTGAAATAGCTTCAGTGGCGTCAACTCCACTAGAGATGGCTAAAAATAAAGATCTCTTCTATAGAAGAAGAGGGAGAATCATCACCCACCCATGGACAGGGCAACAAAGCAAGAGCTTTGATCAGATGACAGTATGACAGATTTATCGGAAGATCATTAAAGTCAACTGCACCTAAGTCCCATTGAAACCAATGGGACTTCAAAATGAATTTTTCACATTGATTTCAAAAATACCTTAGACTGGATCTGATCGTAATGCTTACTTGGGAATAAGTCCCACTGAACTTAGTGGCACTTTAAAAATTACTATTATCAGGTTGTAAGATATAGCAAAACCATTGACTGTTAAGACTAGGGGGCTCAGAACAAAAACTGATGTCTCTCCAAATGCTTCTGAAATGAAGAAGAAGAAGAAGAAGAAGAAGAAGAAGAAGAAGAGGAGTTTGGATTTGATATCCCACTTTATCACTACCCTAAGGAGTCTCAAATATCGGCTAACATTCTCCTTTCCCTTCCTCTCCCACAACAAACACCCTGTGAGGTGAGTGAGGCTAAGAGACTTCAGAGAAGTGTGACTAGCCCAAGGTCACCCAGCAGCTGCATGTGGAGGAGCAAAGACTCAAACCCGGTTCACCAGATTACGAGACTACCGCTCTTAACCACTACACCACGCTGGAACCCAGAACAGGTTCACCCAGTCACCTGTGTTCTCTTCCACTGCTGCCATACTCTTCACTTTTCTGTACTTGGCCCTGGCACCAGTAGTGGTAGAGAGGGCTGGTGATGGGCCTCCATAACATCTTAGAACACGGTTAAAGCTGCTTCCTTGGAACTCTGCCAATTGTGGTTCCCAGGGTGCCTGTGTCCTTACCAGGGTGAAGAGGCAGGAGCTCCCAAGCCACATTTACCAGAGTACCTAGTGCTCAGGGGGATTCTATAGCAATGTAAAGACTAATGGAAGCTGCATTGCAGAGCTTCTCTGTTGCATGACCCTCATGTCTGTTGCCAACAGGCAGAAATGCCCAAGAATTTGGTTCAGTCCGCATTTTTACATAGACTAACCCGATTCACATTTGCTGGGCTGGAACGCAGTTCACACTTCTCTGAATTCTGCAATAGAGTTCTCAGTTCATGATATGTACCAAAATGCATATAAATGTGCGTATCTTGAGACAAAATACATTTTAGGATAAAATGCATACAAAGTTGATATTATATACAGTGGTACCTCGGGTTAAGTACTTAATTTGTTCCGGAGGTCCGTACTTAACCTGAAACTGTTCTTAACCTGAAGCACCACTTTAGCTAATGGGGCCTCCCACTGCTGCTGCGCCGCCGGAGCACAATTTCTGTTCTCAACCTGAAGCAAAGTTCTTAACCTGAAGCGCTATTTCTGGGTTAGCGGAGTCTGTAACCTGAAGCGTATGTAACCTGAAGCGTATGTAACCCGAGGTACCACTGTATATATAATGCATACTAAAAAGAATGTGATTTGCATGTGTGTGTTTTGTTTTAATTGGAGAATGGTGTGGCAACAGGACATAAACCAGCATTGATTGGAAACTGATTTATCTCTCTCACTAGGTAAGTTTGGGGGTAAAGAAAGGGATGCCAGATGGGAATTTAGACCTTCCCTCCCTCCCTTTCTTTCTTTCTTTCTTTCTCTCTCTCTCTCTCTTTGTTACTGAGAGATGTGGGGAGCTAAGGAGAGGTTCTCATGCCTTCTTATGCTCCTTATGATGTAATGGGGAGTGTGATGGGATCAAACTTCAGAACTCTTATGACGACTGACTGATACTTTGCTTTTCCTCCTAAAGGAACCGAGGCAGCAAACAAATATATGGAAAATAAATAAATAAATCTTTACCCGACCCCATTCCACACTGAGCAAGCCCATTACAGGAAAGTGTTTCCCTGATTGCAAGAGCAGTTCATTTGCCAATGGAACAAGAAGATGTCAAGGGTGTTTATGGAAATCTCCCTTTGGTGCAAGTTTTCAGAAAAAGGTTGGGCTGTCATGAATTGTTCCTCAGCCCAGCCTTGCCCAGCCCAGCCTTGGAATGCAAAAATCATCTGAAGCCCATTGAGCTTCCCCCTTCCTTTGCCTACAGCCTCCCAACCTCTCCGGTAAACGGAGGCAGAGAGAAGCTGCTGGGAAGCAAGTCAGCAGCGTGTTTGTTTTGATTTTTTGACACTCCTTGATGGTGTCTGAACTGGGCCTTGGGGTGTCCCTTTAATTCGTTTTATATAATTATTATTATTATTTACATATATATTTTTTAAAAATCTACCCACCTTTCTACTGTTCATTTATCCGAATGACTTGCAAAAATTAAAAATCAAAACACAAAAACCATCTACACACACACATATGCACACACGCACAACAATGCATGAACTTAATTTTAAAAAAAAAAAAGCAACAATGGACAGAGATGACAGATAAGACTGAGCTTCACATATAATTATTAGCAGGCAAAAGCCTGGTGGAATAAAGATGTTGCTACCAGCCAGCCAGAGAGGCTGCCCTCAGCACTTCATGAGCCACATACCTACGGGACCACCTCTCCTGGTATGCCCCGCGGAGGACCTTAAGGTCCACAAATGACAACATTTTGGAGGTCCCAAGTCGCAAGGTGGTTAGATTGGTCTCAACTAGGGCCAGGGCCTTTTCTGTACTGGCCCCGACTTGGTGGAACGCTCTGTCACAAGAGACTAGGGCCCTGCAGGAATTGACATCTTTCCGCAGGGCCTGCAAGACAGAGCTGTTCCGCCTGGCCTTTGGCTTGGACTCAGTCAGACCCTTATGTTTCCCTCCCCTTATGGTTTTGATCTATGGGCTCCTTTTAAAATGAGGATGCATTTTAAACTGCATTTTAAATTGGGGTTTTTTTCCTATTATGTTTTTACTGTAGTTTTACTGGTGTTAGCTGCCCTGAGCCCTTCTCTGGCCAGGGAGGGCAGGGTATAAATAAAATTTATTATTATTATATTATTATTGGGGACTCCTGTGCAAGCCCTGTGCAGCTGATTGAGCAGGTTTGAGTCCTCCTGCCTAAGGTGCAGCCTGCTTTTTGCAGGTATTGGCTGCATGAGTAAGTTTGTCAAGGGATGCTGTCGCAGACAGCCAAAGCTTGCCTCCCTTGGCCAATGCACATTCAGGCGTGCGTTTTAAGGCTACCAGTCATACATTGGCAGCCACATCTCTCCTCAAGTGTATGACAGGTAGGTGTGGTTTGACTCGCACACCAAATCTGAACCCTGGCAGGCCAGGTTTGGCCTACAGGCTAAAGGTTTCCCACCCTGGTATAGGTGACCAATGCTCTGTATAAGAGTGCCAGTTACTCACATTATGCGCTAGAGATTTGAGTGGAACATGGGGCATCCCTGCATCAGTCCCTGCTAGATTGACCTGAGAGGCACGGCTATTGTTATGCCAAAACAGTAAGCATCCCCCTTAACCCTTGAAATATAGGAAGCATCTCTTTTCCACTACTGTTGCACCTTGAAGCAATGTGCAAAAGTACCTTAGACAACAAAGGAAATTGAGGGAGTCTGCCCATTGGTGTACCACCTGCTTTTGCACAGTAGTTCAGTGGCAAATTCAGAAATGTCATGATGGTCACCTCTTCTAAGATTATAGAACTTTCTAAAATTATACAGTAATCTTATCATTCTACGATAATAATTAGGGACACATTGCAATGTTCAATGCAGATCTCCTGGTGTTGTCTTTCAGCTAGATCTACTATTTTCTGTGCAGATCCATGGGAAAATGATTTTGCTCCAATGTCTTCTTTCGGAGTGCTTTCTATGATGTTCCACTGCATGTAAGAGAACTTGCACAACATGCTCCTGAAACTGAAGTACCTTGTGTTTCCATATGCTTAGTTCTAGAGCATATGGTAACTCCTATTTCATGGTGATTGGTAAGCCCTAGGACAATAGAGACAGAGGCCCTGCAGGGACACTGCTGCAGCCCCACACCACACCACTGGTTTTTCATGCAGATAGTCCCAAATTCAATCCGCAGCAGCTCTAGGTAGGGAAGGACTCCTACCTGAAACCCGAGAAAGCTGCTGCCAGTCTGTGTAGGCAGTACTGAGCTAGATAGGCCAAGGGTCTGGCTCATTATATGGCAGCTTTCTATGTTCCTAAGAAGTTAAACTCTCGAGCTGAGTTGGTATGGCAATGCTACTTTTTTTACAGATGGCTATAGTGTAGGGAGGCGAGATATTTCCCCACAATGGGTATCTTCCCCCCAATAAGTAGTTAAAAGCGAGTGTGCCTGCATAAAACAAGGTAGGTAATTAAAATTATTAACTATAGTCAAACCCATAGAGCTGTGCAGTGCCAACTGCAAACAAAAGTAGGGCTGGACAAGTCTGAACTTGCCACTTTTTATTAAATCTTATTTAAAATACTGGAATAAGTGGAGTGTCTGATGAAATATGCAGGGGGTTTAAACATGCCACAGCTGAAAGAAAACTATACATGTCTGTGTTTTGACTGGCCAAAGATTCCTCTGCTGAATTGGTAAGCATTATTCTAAAAGGGTCGAATCGGTAGGCTGCGATCCAAACCCCACTTACCAGGGAACAAGCCCCAATGAATTCTAGAGGACCTGCTCCTGAATACACACGGTTAGGATCACACTGGAAAACAGAGCATCTGAGCACAAGTTCTTCAGGCCTTCGGTATTACTTTAGGTATCTTACAAACTGTCCTTAATCTGTCAAAATTATCCTGGGCAGATGAGAAATGTTATAAACTCTCATCTACATTCAGAGAATAATGTCATTTTAAGTATGTTGGACAGATAGTTCAAGATGTTACTATTAGTATATAAAACCTGTAAAGCCAGTTTCCTTGGGAGATGTCCATACCTCATATATGCCACCTCAGCCTGTGGAACTGGCACTGTTATAGGGGCCACATAATACTCATTCCACACATGTAAGAAATTGATCTTTTAGAGTGGCAGCACCCACACTCCGGAACTCTCTAGCTGTTTTTAATCAATCATTTTAATTGTTTTATTTTATATTTTTGTAAACTGCTTAGAGATTTCCTTTTAAAAATACAACATATATATTTTTGTAAAGTTATAAATGAAACAAGAAAAGGGGGGGTATGGGAAGGCAGCCTAGGCTTTGGTTTAGGATTAGCATTGGGAAAGCAAGATTCATGTGCCTTTAACAACTATCTCCACAATAAGAACTATTATTTATTATTATTATCTATTGAATGTATACACCACCCTATACCCGCAGGTCTCAGAGCAGTTCACAGGACTTAGCTGACTTCCCATGGCAAAAATGGGGTTGCAGGGGGACGGGGACAGCAGGCCTATACTCCCTCTAATTTTGTGTTATGCCATGCCCCATGTTGCGTTATACCATGCTCCCCATGGCAGCCATTTTGTAACTGGCACCCTTGGTGCTCTCAAAATCCAAAACTTGAAGGAGTGTCTCCACCCCCATCATTCTGCCCAGACACTGAGGTCCAGTGCCGATGGCCTTCTGGCGGTTCCCTTGCTGCGAGAAGCCAAGTTACACGGAACCAGACAGAGGGCCTTCTCAGCAGTGGCACCCGCCCTGTGGAACGCCCTCCCACAAGATGTCAAAGAGAAAAATAACTACCAAACCTTTAGAAGACATCTGAAGGCAGTCCTGTTTAGGGAAGCTTTTAATGTTTAATAGGTTATTGTATTTTAGTGTTCTGTTGGAAGCTGCCCTGAGTGGCTGGGGAAACCCAGCCAGATGGGCGGGGTATAAATAATAAATTATTATTATTATTATTATTATTATTATTATTATTATTATTAAATGTGGCCCCTGATCCAAAAAAGCTGGCGACCACTGCTAAACTTGTACCCAAATATGCATTTGGAGACCCTTTTCTTAATTTTACACCATATGGCAATGGTGGTACTGCTACTGTTGCAACCCGCCTTAGATCAGGCCATGACCCAGAAGCAGGTCCCAACCCACCAGCTGAAGACCAACGGGTTAGAGTGTGAAAAACCATTGCTGTATCATTCTAATCCATCATTTTCTCATGATAGCATTTCCTTAAGCCTTGGGAATATGCTTGCACATGAACTGGGCTGGCCATGTCAGTACATGTCCATGTACTTCACTTAACCTTTTATTTTGATTCACAGATATAGCATGCACACATATTTACTTGAATTGTATTACACAATGGACAATAGCATTTGCTTTGGAAGGGCCAGATCCCGCAGCTGACTGCATGGGCGGTGGCTCTCCTCCACCTGCTCAAAGCCAGCAGACATTCTTACTGATGACTAAACAACACGAGACCTCGAGTCTTTGACATAAGAATCTCATTAATCACACCTGCTTGACACGGGCTAAGATCCGAATCCTGCAGTGTGCATGAAGTGTATCCCAAGCAGGAATTGTGCCCTTATCTTCAGCACCTTAAGATATTATATGGGCACATGGATTTCTTTATTTCAAATGTTCTATTTGAGACGGGTCTGCACTGCACATTCTCTGAGCTCAAGAAAATAGGAGAGTCCTTTTGTGCATTTCATTCCCTTCAAGTGGTCTAGAAATGTCAGATCATTCATTGTGGCAGGTGTGCCAACTTGAAAAACATATTGGGGAGAGGGGCATGTATGCCCACCCTGCATAGTCAATCACATGATGCGGCACACACCATTTGAATGGCAATGTCCATCAACCTTTTGGCTCCTATGCATTGTGGCAGTTTTGGAAGTAGCCAGACACTGAGCAGACACTGGTGCCTAGTTCCATATGATGGTGCTCATCTGCCAGCAGGTCTGCTTAGATAACATGTGAAGGTTCATTCTGCATTAGGGATGGGGAGCCTGCGGTTCTCCAGATGTTCCTGGACTACAATACCCATCATCCCCAACCACTGGCCATGGTGGCTGGGGCTGAGAGGAGTTGGAGTCTAAAGACACCTGGAAAGTCACAGGTTTCCATCTCTGTTCTACAAGCTCTCTCTACAGGCAGGGCAGATGGAAGGACCGTAAACCACTAAAGCAACATTTGTCACCTCTGTGTTTCTGGGAGGGAAGGAGTTAGCTTTCGTCGTACAAAGCTACCCATTTAATTTTACTTTCTGAGATTGTCATTTCTCTAGTCTGCAATTCAGTTCTCCACATTTCAACATCAGTTTGTAGGGTTTTTTTTTTAAAAAGTCAGCATGAAAATCCATGCACATTTTCACACGCATTTCTCCTAACACACACATTTCTGCAAGCAATTTTCCCTAATATATGCAATATATATTAATTCAGCTCTCCCCACCATATGTTTTTCATACACATCTGCCTTTATAATCAGTTATTATTGACACCTTTGATTACAACTCTAAAAAGGCCATTCTTTGCTTGTGGAAGAAATGAATTTCTTCTGTAATATGCAATAAATGGTTTCCACTGTATTGCACAGGTATCCTGTTTTTGTACGCATACTTTGGCTGGAAAGGGGCATCAGGCAGACCCAGGCTTCCAGGGTTCAAATCCCCCCTCTGCCATGAAGTTCCCTGGGTGACCTTGGACCTGCCAGGGTTGTGAGTAGAAAAAAATGGAAGGAAGTGGGGAACCATGTATACTACGTTGAACTTGTTGGTGGAAAGGTGGGAATATGTAAATGTAATAATCAATTAATAATTACTTGGTTGCTGAAGTGCTAATTAGGCAGATTTCCATTAAAATGCATACCAAACAAATTTGTCTCCCATCCCTCCTCTGAGCGGTGTGGGCTCCTGGCCAAAACATCATGTCATCACTAGCCAGACTTTCTCTTACTTAATTTAGGGTTCTCTCTCAGGCTACTGGTCTTCACTTCTCTTTCCCCTCCCAACTGTTCGAGAATGTTAGCTGGAAAGGGTGACAGGAAAGGGGAAGTCCAGACAATGCACAGTTTCTTCCCTTGGATGAGGCAATCTGCTGCCAAAGGTCTGCATCCTTCCAGGGAGCAATGGATTTGGTGTGTCAAGCTTCTTGAGATCTTGCCTCTATCAGGTCAACTTGAGAGCATTTATAGCCATGCTCTGAATTAGCTCTGGATGCCCAAGGGGCCAACCACTCATCAAATTTGAGACAAGGGAAGGATTTCATAAGAAGGTAAGAAGAACCTGTGGGACGCGGGTGGCGCTGTGGGTTAAACCACAAGAGCCTAGGACTCGCCGATCAGAAGGTCAGCGGTTCGAATCCCCGCAATGGGGTGAGCTCACATTGCTCGGTCCCTGCTCTTGCCAACCTAGCAGTTCAAAAGCTCGTCAAAGTGCAAGTAGATAAATAGGTACCACTCCGGCGGAAAGGTAAACGGCATTTCTGTGCGCTGCTCTGCTTCACCAGAAGCAGCTTAGTCATGCTGGCCACATGACCCGGAAGCTGTATGCCGGCTTCTTCGGCCAATAAAGCGAGATGAGCGCCGCAACCCCAAATGGTCAGGGGTCCCTTTACCTAAGAAGAACCTGCTAGATCAGGCCAGTGGCTCTATTATTCCAGCAGCCTGTTCACAGTGGGAAACCCACAAGCAGGACTCAAGCACAAGAGCACTCTGCCCTCCTGTGGTTTCCAGCAAGAAGAAGAAGAAGAGTTTGGATTTGATATCCCGCTTTATCACTACCCTAACGAGTCTCAAAGGGGCTAACATTCTCCTTTCCCTTCCTCCCCCACAACAAACACTCTGTGAGGTGAGTGGGGCTGAGAGACTTCAAAGAAGTGTGACTAGCCCAAGGTCACCCAGCAGCTGCAGGTGGAGGAGCGGAGACACGAACCCCATTCACCAGATTACGAGTCCACTGCTTTTAACCACTACATCACACTGGCTCTCCATACCAGCAACTGGTATTTAGAAGCATTACTTACTGCCTCCAACTATGAAGCATTGACATCATGTCTAGTCGCCATTGATAGCTTTATCCTCCATGACTTTATCCAATCTTCTTTGAAAGCCATCCAAGTTGGTGGCCATCACTCTCTCCAGCGGGAATGAGCTCCACAGTCTAACTAGGCACTGCATAAAGAAGGACTTTCTTGGATACCCCCAAATTCTAGTGAGGGAGAAAAACTTTTCTCTAGCCACTTTTCCCCATGTCACACATAATTTTATGAACTTCTAGCATGTCACCACTTACTTGCCTTTTCTCTAAACTAAAATGCCCCAAGCACTGCAACCTTGGGCTCATCCACACTTCCTGCCGCTTTCCCCTGGGGAGATCCACTGAATCAGAGCAATTGTCCATCTGTTTTTCTCCAGATTGGTGTTTGTTCCAATTTAGCGCTAAAGAGCAGGTTTTCCAGGGGAAAATGGCAGGGCAAAGACTACTTGGACCTGTGCCTAGAAAGCAACAGGACAAATGGGAAAACATTTGGACCCTTGTTTTTTATGCACGGGATGAGCAGAAGTGTGAACAAACCCCTTTCCTCATAGGGGAGACACACCATCCCCTATATTATCACACACACACTCCAGGTTAGACTCACTTCTTCTTCTTTGGCGATCACTCGTAGCCAAGTAAGATTGTCTTCCAAGAAAACGGTCTTAACTGTGAGTCCGTAAGTGTCTGTGGAGGCCAATTCTGGATCCACATGTCCTTCCACAGTAGGGACATACGTTTCCAGGTGGGAGTTGATCATGGTGAGAGTTTGCCAAACGTCCCTTCCTCTTAGATTGTTTCTCCTTTCCACCCTGAGTTTGTGCTTCTTCAAAGTCCAGACTCAATAGATTTTTCCTGGGCCAGCAATACTGATAGACTGTAATTTTCCCTCTTCTATACTCTGTGTTTTGCTCACTGGGTTGCTCACTGAACCATGTTTGTTTCTTTATTGTACTGAGAACTTTGCTGCATGGACTCACTTTCAAGCTTCCATGCTCAGCCAAATAACTAGTGGTGCAAATTAGCAAAAGTAATTAAAACAATTTAAAAAACCTGTTATTTATTTATTTATTATACCCCACCCTTCCCGGTTCAGAAAACTGGGCTCAGGGCGGCTAACAACAAATTTAAAACACTTAATTGTGATACAACAAAAACAGTATAAAATATAGTATAAAAGCGTGAATAACAATAAATCCAAAGTTCTAGAATCAGTTTAGGGGAAACTTCATCCAGTAAACATTGGGCCAGCAAGGAGGCCAGGGGAGAATTAGCTGTGGGATCCCAGAGCGGGTAATCTTCATAAAAAGGGGAGGGGGAAGGAAGGGGAATAAAAGATCAGGCTAACTTCAAATTGAAAGCCAGGCAGAATAGCTCTGTCTTACAGGCCCTGTGGAAAGGTGGTTAAATCCTGCAGGGCCCTGGTCTCATGGGACAGAGCATTCCAGCAGGTCGGAGCCATCACTGAGAAGTCCCTGGCTCTGGTGGAGGATAATCTGACTTCCTTAGGGCCCGGGACCTCTAAACTATGATTATTCACGGACCTTAAGGTCCTCTGCGGGGCATACCAGGAGAGGCGGTCCCACAAATACGAGGGCCCTGTACAGGCAGCAACTAATCTGCACAGGGGTTGTGTTCCAGACCCATGCGAGTGTTGATGGGCCACACTGTTCCACAAGAAGTTCAATTTTGTCACCCGTGGCTTGAATTAGGAAAATGGGTTTTTAATCATGCTACATTTGTTATCTAGCTTACAAATGCCACAATTTTTCTGCTATCACCCCTCTGGAAAATTATATTTATGGATAAATTTTTTTGCAAGACAGTCTCTTGTTCCATCAGAGCTAACTTCCATCAGAACTAACTTCAACTCCACATAGTAAACACACAGTCACCACTTGGGAGAACAGAGCAGGTTGGGCTCAATGATGAGTATATGAAGAAAGTATTTTGGCAACATTCCTGATATGAACTCCTACACTCTGAAACACAGCCCCTATATGTCCTTTGCATTGGTTTCCAAAGGGGAAAAAAATACAACAGCCTAGGGACAGATGTGCCATAACTATTTATGGTTTCAAAAGAACAGAACAGGTTTGGTGAGAATTTAAAACACTGTGAACACCAAGAAATGTTCTAAGAGGGGATAGGCATGTTCTAAAGGTGTTTTATACAATCTTCTGGCTCAGAGCCCAGAACTCAGTTGGAACAGCTGTGTTGAGCACCAAGCAACTACTCTTTGAACTTGGAAAAACCTATGATTAGATCTTAGTAGTGGAAAGGTGTATGAATGAACAGTAGGAGCCTTCTATCCATGACATCCTTCTACATTTCTCAAGTCTTTGCTGCTTATTATTGGAAGAGCACAGCTTTGTATTGCAGCGGGGGGGGGGGGGCGATATCTTTAACAAGGAACCCATTCCATTTGGATTCTGCTTTTGTAGCAGCTATAGGTCTCATAGCTCAGCACGGAGCCTCTCTGATCAAGGTGGCCTCAGGTATGGTGTTGGAGACCCCAGGAAGACCACATATCATTGGGCTGACATACAGAATTGGATGCATGCTCAAATTTTGTTCCAGAATGTGGGAGGGAAGGTCTGGAAGTAAGGGAAATGGTAACTCCATTGTCAAGATGAGACCATGTCCTGGTAAGGTTTAGTCCCAAAGCATCCGTTCCCTCCTGCAGAAGTGGGAGGCTGGATCTATTGAATTGGCCCACGTGTTGAAATATATGGGATCTGAGCAATTTTTGAATGCTCTGGGAAAATTTCCAAAAATCAGAACAGGCACTTTATATGGTGCTGCCCCTAAGGACGATTTGGAAACTACAGCTGGTGCAAAAGAGGGCAGTTAGGTTCCTCCATGCAGCATCCTACCACAAAAGTATAACACCTGTGCTAAAAGAATTGCATTGGCTGCCAATTTAAGGCTTCCTTGTGGACTAAAAAGGTTCCGAACAGCTTGGGCCCAAGCTACCTGAGATAATGGCTGCTCTTGTATAGAAGTGCCTGTTGATCAAAATAATCAAGACACCTTGTTAGATGTACACATCCAGCAGAAATTAATCTTAATGGGGCTTGAAAGAGGCCCTTCTCCACAATGGTACTTGCCTTATGGAATTATCTCTTTCTGAAGGTGTGGCAAGCACTTGCAGTGTTGCTGTTTCATCACTTATAAGAAACAAATCTCTTAGTTCAGGCATTCCCAAATAGCTAATTCTTCAGTTTAATTAACCTTTCAGTGTCTTTTTAATATATATTTTAATTTGCTGCCACTGTGTGGTTAAATTGTATGGCTCTTGGTTTTGCAAACCACATTGTAAGCATTCTGGTGAACGGCAATGATTTTAATTTTTGGTACATATTTTTGCTTGGAGAAATGCTGGAAATTTGCAAAAGTACATATTTTGAAAGACAGCTGTATTTTGGATCACGTATTTTTTCAGGAAATGACGTAAGTTGTTCACATTAAAATTAATACATTTTAATTTGTCCCTCACTCCTACAGTAACATTGAATGGGAACTTGAATTCACAATATATTGTGAATATATTGTCGGTGAAATGATTACACACACATACTTCTCAAAGTTCTCGTCTGTGAATTAGCAAATCTTCTCCATATATTCTCCAGCTTGGGGCATACTTTATATTCCACATTGACATCAGCACCCAGTGATTTTTCAGAACCAATCAAGTCCTGCCAATATCTGAAAAGTCACAAACAACAGTTCACAGCACCAGGCAGGCAGCATGCAGCACTCCTGACACCACCCTGGGATCCTGTGGGATGAAGGATGTGATATACATTTTTAAAATAAGTAAAATCTGGCTGCTGCTGCAGCAGGACAGCAGACTTGAAATGGCATTGGGGCATTTTGCAGTCACCTTTTTCACTTAACTTGTCAAGAAACGTCCCCTACGATAGGAGGCAGAAACGAAGCCGTCAAATTTTGCGTTCTGAAATTCAAACGTCAGATTTCAAGGGTACATTTCAAAGTCAAAAAAGGTCAAGTGTCAAGTTTGAAAACTTGTTCAGTCTTTCTGAAATTTCATTTGGCGTCTAGAATGCATCACAGTCCACTGAAAAGCATGTTCAGATGGATACAGTGGTACCTCGGGTTAAGAACTTAATTCGTTCTGGAGGTCCATTCTTAACCTGAAACTCTTCTTAACCTGAAGCACCATGTTGGCTAATGGGGCCTCCCACTGCCGCCGCACCACCGGAACACGATTTCTCTTCTCATCCTGAAGCAAAGTTCTTAACCTGAGGTACTATTTCTGGGTTAGCAGAGTCTGTAACCTGAAGTGTCTGTAACCCGAAGCGTCTGTAACCCGAAGTACCACTGTATAGAAACAAGTGACTCAATCCCTGATGGATCTACAGTTTATTCTCTTGCCCTGGACAAGTTCTTAAGTTAGCAAAGCACCATGCTTGCTGCTTCTGTGTGGTAGCTTTCCACAATCTTTGTTCTCATGGCTGCTTCTAAAGATCAGTGCAATCCAGCAAAAGTTAGTAAGTAATTGATTCTCATTGAAATAAACAGGGCTTAAGCAGTCATGACTGGCAGAGCACCGAGCCCCCTCTACCCAGCTCTGCTAGGTTCTGTTGGTCTCCCGCTATGTGTAGGATGGTGCCATTGAACTACCCCTTCTGGCTGCTATATGTACAGGCAGATGGAACTGCTGCTAGTAGAATTCTCACCAGCAGCAGGCAGCCGAACCCCCTGAAATGGTCTTTCAAGGGGAAGGGGTTGGGCTGAACCAGATCCCAAGCAACCCAGCCACCATCACATGACCACCTGCCACTCACCTTCCACCCTGGACCTCAAGCACAGCAGAACTGGAGGGTGGAGGGGAGTCAGGACTGCTGCCTTAATCACCCTTCCAGTTTTCCGTGTGGCCTTTTCCATGTCTGATTTTTGCAGATTGTGCCCCAAACCTCTGCTTGCTACCACTGAAGATGATCAAGCCTGATTCATGCTTGCAAAGCTTTAAGATGAACCAAAAAGCACTGTGGATTGCACCCATTGGACTATTGTGGCCTTGGGAAGATTTTGCAACCTTGTCAGGTGCCAGCAAAAGAATCTCAGCAAGCTGACATGCCAAGATTTACACAGGAGGGTAACCGCAGGTGCTTATTTTTTTGTCTCCTTGTAGTTCATCAGCGTCACGCAGCTGTTGGCTCATTTTGCAAATGTGTCAACTCTTGGAATAACAGCAACTTACGTAGGTTGGGTGCAGTGCCAGGAGATAAAGAGTTTTACAGAGCAAAGTCATAAAAGCATTGAGGGCACAAACCTTGTGGTAGTTAAGGAGACTTCCCACTTATCTATTTGTTTAGATTTTAACACACCTGATCCTGCAAGTTCCAGGTGGGTAACAATGAAGGTAACAAAAATACAAACAGCAAATACATGAAACATTAACAAACATGAAACTCTCGAAGGTATGTGTGTGTGTGTAGGTTTATCATGCTGGCAAGAGCTGTGATCCTGGTGTTCATGGCATGCTTACAACCCAAATTCTACTGTTGAAGAGACCTTCCAAATATCACCAATATGCCCTTTTAATAATTGACAATAATTCATTTTTAAAGTGGGGGAATAGAAGTTAATAGGCCAACACAAGCCCCCAACTTGTGTTAAGGCTATTTGCATTATCCCCAGTCCAAATATTCAAACCCACAAAAGGGAGGAAATGCAAACTAAGCCATTAGAAGTTATTTGTGTGACAATCAATGTGCATTACAGGCATCTTTGCGGTTCGTATAAAATCCATTTTTGAGCAGAACTCGTGGGCTCATCCATTATAGGTCACTGTGCATTTCAGCATGAGTTTCTATCGGTGTTATATAGTCTTTCCTAAGATACAAGGATACCTGGGAGTAGTTTGCATAATGCTTTGTTTCTGCAGATCCCATGATTTTTCCCTCTTCTGGAAAAAAACTTACTTTTTTTCTACATTTGGGCTAGCCTTGGGCACATACTCATATGTAAGGAAATGCATCTGAACCAGTAGACCATAAATGCATCTTGCAGCAAGTTGGGAAATTATATTAGCCCAATTTAGACATGATGGAAAAACATTTTTTCACAATATGTGAATAAGGCTGTAGGAGGCTTGAGTTTCTCTGTTGTTGTTGTTGTTGTTGTTGCTGTTGTTGTTGTTGTTGTTATTCTCCTCTTTTGCATGCCACAGTTCCCTGTGGTGTTCAAATTCAGGGCACTATGGCTGATTTAAACTCTAGTTCAGGGATGGGAACATGTGAACTTCCAGATGCTGAATTCACACTCCATCAACCCCAGCCAGCATGGCCAGCAGTGAGGAATGATGAGCACTGTAATCCACAACATCTGCAGGGCCAAAGGTTCCCCAGCCCTGCTCTACTTTGTGAACAAACCAGGATCCCAAACCTGAATTGAACCTGGTTTTTTGTTTCCTATTACACCTGAACTCAGACCATTGAATACAAAAGTAACCCAATGGCATAGTTTAGGGATCATGCCAGGGACCAAATGCGGCCTTCAAGGCCTTTCTGTTTGGCCCTCAAGACTCAGGCTGCACACCTTCCTCAGCCTTAATCTCCATGAATTTGTCTAACCCAATAATAATAATAATGTTATTACTTATACCCTGCCCATGTGAGTTGCCCCAGCTGCTCTGGATATAGAGCTTCCAATGTAATAGAAAAACAAAGCAAAACATCATACATTAAAAACTTCCTGATGCAGGGCTGTCTTCAGAAAGTTGTGTAATTGTTTATCTCTTTGACATCTGATGGGAGGGTGTTCCACAGGGCAGGTGCCAGTCATAGCTGTCAACTTTTCCCTTTTCTTGCAAGGAATCCTATTCGGAATAAGGGAATTTCCCTTTAAAAAAGGGAAACGTTGACAGCTATATGCCATTACAGAGAAGGTCCTTTGCCTGGTTCCCTGTAACTTCACTTCTTGCAGTAAGGGAACCGCCAGAAGGCCCTCAGAACTGGACCTCAGTGTCCAGGCTGAATAATGGGAGTGGGGACATTCTAGGTCAGTGGCCGTCACTGCCTCCAGTGGGATTGAGGACATCGTTTTAACTATGTGCCATGTGAAGCAACTTCATTGGAGGTCCCTAAGTCCCAGCGTTATGAGAGATGAAGAAAAACTTTTCTCCACTTTTTCCTAACTTGCATAATTTTTTTAACTTCTGTCACTGCATCTCTTAATCACCTTTTCTCTAAACTAAGAAGTCCCATGTGCTGCAACCTTTCCTCATAGGGTGTCTCTGAATGTCGCTGAATCCCAGTTGCTGAGAATCACATGTATGGAAAGGACTCTTGCACTCAGGTCCTGTTTTTGGCCTTCCTATGGGCATATTGTTGGCCACTGTGAGGAGAGGATGATGGACTAGGTGTTGGGCTTTGGCCTGATTCCACAGGGCTCTTATATTCTTACTAGCAAAACTACACATGCTCCACTTTTTCTCAAACACTAAGCTGCAGATTTTTGCCCAGCTAACAAGCTTAATTCTAGAACTGGTTGGTGAAAACCCCCAATAATATCAGAAAATGGGTATTTCTAATACAGGATTGGACTGTTGGCTCATTCATCTAGTAAGAAGAATGGAGAGTCTCAGAAATAGCCTCACAAGGATATCTCTCTCTCTCTCTCTCTCTCTCTCTCTCTCTCTCTTTTTCTCAATTTGTTTCTGACACAAACTGAAAGCTGAGATCATCTATATGACAATTAAAGGATATAGACTGATTCCTGAATGCTCTTTAAAGATGAATTACTTATGGATTCCTAAAGGCCCTCATCCCCTTCTTGCTATAATCTCTCAATAAGTACCGCTGTCTATGTTGTTCAATGTTTGACATAAACGATTTGGAGGCAGTATATATTTCATCTTGGTTGATACAAGAAATTACAAGTGGACTAAGAGCTAGTGACAGAAGCTGACTTATCAAAGGTTTCTTAGGTACATAAACGAAAAATAAGTCACCATTCTGCTGCCCCTCCCAAAAACTAAATTCCTTATTTTACAAAAGGCCGTATAATCCTTTCATTTTCAAACAAATGCCACAGCACCGTTGTTATTCTAACTTAAGCTCACATAAACCGTACAATGAGGAGCATGTTTAATGTGTTTTTTAATAGCCTTGTTTGAAGGACTTCTTACTGACATCACATTGCTGGGGAGATCCAGAGGGGATTACTTGTGTCAACCCAATCCAGTGGTTGGTAATTGTAGCACAAAGGAGCGATCCGAGAGGCTGAGCTAACACAGCCACGGCAGAGCAAAGCCTGTATTTATTCCTGCCTTGATAAAAGCTAAGAGAGAAATTCAACAAACCTAAACCACTAAATTAATTGGCACTAAAAGCATGTAATAGTTATCTAATCTATTAATTTTTAGTTGAATATTAACTAGGGTGTCTGCTATGACAGGTATTTGACCTGGGCAGATAGAATGGACGGGGACCAGCCTTGCAGGCAGCTTTCAAGTGAACAAAAATAATTAGTCGGCAGGAAAGGGTGACAGCATTCTTCAGCAGCTACCTGGCAGTCTAAGATTTTTATTTGTATTGACTTTCTGGGGCCAGACGTCTTATGCTTGACACAGCCTGTTCCTCAGCAAGCAGAGGGAATTTCAGATCGAGCTGGGCCTGCTGCTATTTGGCCACTGAAATCCCTTGCAAATATTGTAGCACCATCTTCTCTGTCTCCATAGAACTAAATGTGCTAAGGCCTGGTTCACACATGACACTAATAGGTTTTAAAACTATGGTTTATGACTTACCCATGTTATGTGTGAACCCAGCCCAGCAGCCTAATTGTAGTTTATTAACTAGGGTTGAAGGTCACTCATTAACCAAGGTTTGTAACTGGTTTAGAAACCTTAATTAATGTTAGCCATAGCTTAGTGTTACATGTGAACCTAAACTTCCTCCTTAACTATGCTTCAAGAGCCATCACCATCTCAAAAGCTTGAGCAGCAAAATATTCAAACTACTCTCAAGGCTCGGCTGCTCTCGTTAGGGTTTTTTATTGTTCTGTGTCGTAACAAACCAATGTTTAAGTGATCATCTGCCAGACATCTCAGCTTTAACTATGGTTAATGTTAACAATGGTTAAGATTACCCACAGTTTAGTGTTATGTGTGAACCAGACCTCTATGTTATAGAGTAAAGGTAAAGGGTAAAGGGATCCCTGACCATTAGGTCCAGTCGTGGCCGACTCTGGGGTTGCGGCGCTCATCTCGCTTTATAGGCCGAGGGAGCCGGCGTACAGCTTCCGGGTCACGTGGCCAGCATGACTAAGCCACTTCTGGCGAACCAGAGCAGTGAACAGAAACACCGTTTACCTTCCAGCTGGAGCGGTACCTATTTATCTACTTGCACTTTGACGTGCTTTCGAAATGCTAGGTTGGCAGGAGCAGGAACCGAGCAACGGGAGCTCACCCCGTCGTGGGGATTCGAACCGCCGACCTTCTGATCGGCAAGTCCTAGGCTCTGTGGTTTATAGAGTAAGGCCAAGACAAATGTGGACTCCTGCTGTGGCATAGAGCCTGGAATTGGTGTACGCTCTGTATTTTTAATATTTTGTTTTCACACATGGCCTTTCCCATGTCTGGCTTCATTGTGTAGTGGAGAGAGATATTTTCTAAAGGTCGGATTCAACTAATCCATTGCACTAGCAGAAGTTAGTGCAAGGAGTTCTGCTAGTGCCACGGCTCCCACATGTCCCCTGTGCCTCCCCTAAATTTGCTCTGGAGTGCTTGGTATTGAAGCAATGTAGCCAAACGGGGCGCGGCTGTGCTTGGTTCTATATTAAAGCACTGAGGTTATCAGGTACAGCTGTTTCATGGTTAGTCTACCACTGCCACACCCATGCAGGTGCTGAAGTGCTATATGTTTGTCTGCTTTGTAGGTTAGATACAATAACATGCACAGCCTATGCCCATTTGCTTAGAACTATAAGAACTTTCTAGGATCAGCTGTGTACTAAGCCGATAGCCATATCTTTCCTTATCTAAATAGCATTTGCAGCACCCCACCTATTGAGTCTAAGCACGTTATAAGAAGTTATGAAAATTAACCATAGGTTCCTGTACAAAAACATGAAATACATTACATGCTGTGAATTCGTGCTTAGCAATCCATATGGCCAAACTGCAGTCAACAAATTATTAACAACCACATCTGTGCAACAAGACAGCAGCAGCATCAGATGTCTGGTTTTCAACTGGACCATTTCACAGAGATTGTTTCTGCCCCATGTGATCCTGAAGAAAAACCCCACCCCCACTAAGCTGGTATTAGTTTCAGAATGAAAGCTCCCATTGGAACCAATGGAAGCTCCTGTATTGGCATCAGGGCAATGTTCTCCTAAAACAGGGGCCAGCAACCTTTTTCAGCCGTGGGCCAGTTCACTGTCCCTCAGACCATATGGTGGGCCGGACTATATTTTGGAAAAAAATAAATGAACAAATTCCTATGCCCCATAAATAACCCAGAGATGCATTTTAAATAAAAGGACACATTCTACGCATGCAAAAACACGCTGATTCCTGGACCGTCCGGGGGCCAGATTGAGAAGGCGATTGGGCCTCATCTGGCCCCCCGGCCTTAGGTTGCCTAGCCCTGTTGTAAAACCTTAAAGCAGGGATATGGAACCTGCGGCCCTCTAGATGTTGCTGAACTCCCAGCTCCCATCACCCAGGCTGGCCAATGGATAAGGATGATGAGAGCTGTTGTCCAGCAAAAGCCAGAAGAACACAGGTGCCACAATATTGGTCTTAAGAAATCCTTTGTGCATTATTTGCTTCAGGCTCCAGTTCTCCCCCTTTCTTCCTGTATTGATTTTACCCCATAAATGAATTTTATGAAGGAGGGTAAAAAAGGAAAAAAGAGGCATCCGCCAGGTAAAACCTATTTAACGTGGGCACACATGTTTATGAATCAGATAAGATTTGTATGTCTGGTAGGCGGTGGCACTAAAAGCTTTCTATGTCACGACATCAAAGCAGCCAAGAGATGAAAGGCCATATTTGTGCATCATAAATGAGATTTGCATATTGTGATACTCCAAGAATCTTTCATTTGAACAGGTGGAAAAACAGGGAAGCAGGGGCACCCACGTGAAAACAAAGCCTTACTTGCGGTTGATGATTAAATTTTTATATAGCTTTGATATAACCACTGCAATTAAGCCTGGGCGATGAGCAAGGACTTGTTTTGCCCTTTAAAAAGGTACACATTGTTTACTAATCCCTCATTTTATATGATGAATCTATCACCATCTAGGCACAGCTGCGACAAGCCTTTTGAGAGGACGGGTTTCATCCCATGTAACAAATTTCAAACTTTTCATCTCTTTCTCTCTTTTCAAAAAGAAGCAGCAGCTTCTACTTGACAATTGAGGCTCAATGAATCCGCGTCATTTCATAAACGACTATTTCCACCTTTTGTCAAGATCTGAGACGAGGTGTATACAGTGTAAACATGAACCCAGGATCTTTTTACCAGTCAAAGTTGGCCTTGAAAGTGACTGTGGAATGTGCCTTGATTCAAACTTATTGAAATTTTCACTTTGTCTCTCCCCCCCCCCATCCCAAACTTCAAATATTCATTGCTGCTTGTTCTTCACCCTTGAGAAGGAGGAGGGCAAAAAGACAAATGACTTTAATTAAGAATTAGTTATGAGTGAATGAGTCGTCTCTAATTATATCAAAAACCTTTTAAACAGTTTCACTCAGGCTTATTTGATTTCTTAATTACTGAAATAAGAAAAGTCCCCCATACAAATTGTGTTGGCTTTGGAAACAGAAAAAGCTGTCATGCCGTTGCTTATTGTGGATTAACCGATCATGGACTGAGAGAAGGCGGCGCCGCTTCCAAAACTGCATCTTTCTTAAATGCATCTAATGGAGTGGATCCGTGCCTATGAATGCTATATGTGACTCAGGCGCCAGGTGACTATGTTATTTTCGCTGTAGCAAATTAGCACAGCTACCGTTCCAAAATTGGATACATGTTGAATTTTATATTTCAGCAAAAAGGCCAAAGCTGCTGATGGATGAAAACAAACTCCAAACCGATAGATCTAACCACAAATCAAACATAAGCTATATCCACATGAGCTGCTTAGTTCTGAAATCCTGGAGAGCTACTACCAGTGAATGTATACCATGCTGAGCTATTAGAGAAGGGCTGTAGTTCTTCTGTAGTGGCAGAACATTTGCTTTGCACACAGAAGGAACCAGGTTCAATCTATGGCATCTCCAGGTAGAGTTGGGAAAGGCAGCTGACTGAGAGAGCTGCTGCCAGTTAGGGTAGACAATATTTAGCCAGGTGGACCAAGGGCATAAGGCAGCTTCCGACTCAGCATTCCTTTCCTACTTACACAGAAATTAGATGTCATTACCAACGCGGGTGGCGCTGTGGTCTAAACCACAGAGCCTAGGACTTGCCGATCAGAAGGTCGGCGGTTCGAATCCCCGCGATGGGGTGAGCTCACGTTGCTCGGTCCCAGCTCCTGCCAACCTAGCAGTTCAAAAGCATGTCAAAGTACAAGTAGATAGATAGGTACCGCTCCGGTGGGAAGGTAAACGGTGTTTCCGTGCACTGCTCTGGTTTTGCCAGAAGCGGCTTAGTCATGCTGGCCACATGATCCGGAAGCTGTACACCGGCTCCCTCGGCCAGTAAAGCGAGATGAGCGCCGCAACCCCAGAGTCGGCCACGACTGGACCTAACGGTCAGGGGTCCCTTTACCTTTACCAACCCATTGCATATAAGTATTTCCTCATATTTCTTCCATGTTTTCTCAAACCACCAAAAAGCCAGATTTTATTTTCGAAAGCATGAAACTGCAGCACAATCACCTACAGTGCAGATCGCTCTTAGTGCTTACGCTTCTGAGTTTTTTGCGGTTCCTTTCCTCCCTGCCTAATTAATTACAAGCGACTCCTCACTTACGTGGGGGTTACGTTCCAGGCCCCTACCCCACTCAAAAGTGAAATACGCACAAGTGGGGAGCCCTCTGAAGTACTGGTACGTACAGCTCCCTGCTCAACAGCTGTTGAGCAGGGTAGCACGGCAGCAGCAAGAGCTCCCATGCGCCATTTTGGAGTCCTTGGAGTCTTTTTTTTTCTGGACTTTTGGCTCACTGACGCCCTCTTCGGGCTCTCAGGAGTGTCTCCTCGCGAGCCATGAGGACTTTCGAACTCTCTCCTGCCAATTCATGTTAGAATTGAATTCTTTATTTATTTCCCAGTGGCGTATTTGCATAAAATTGGCAAATGCTAACGTATAGGTGCAAATTTAGACATAATTACTATAATTTAGATAGCATGCATTTTGCCAAACATTGGCCCAATGACCTGTGTGTCTGCACAGTCTGTTGCCCGGATGCCAACTGTTGATGGGCAACTTCAAGACCCCTGTTCTTTAATTTTTAAAACTGGGGTCTTCAAAAAATAGCTGGACAAATAACAATATCACCTAACTGTGGTGTGACTCAGTAACAAGCCACTTCCTACCTGCCTATACACTAATCCTGGGACAGGGATATCTGGATAGATCGGCTCTGCAGGGTCAATGGCACTATGGAGATCTACTGAAGGGTCCTGCTCCCTTTGCTCCTCCTCTGAGGAGACCTCAGGTCAGGTTCAAGGTCTGGGCAAGTACGAACCCTGACAATTCTACTGGAGGGCACAGAGGGAGAGAGAGGGGGTATTTGTGCAGTTACCATCTTTGGAGGTAGCTGCACATTTCTACATAGCATCTACTTTGGCCAAAGTCCCATTCATTTCATTGTCATGCTTTCCATGACCCATAAGCCTGGACCCTGTTTGTGTCTGTATATATAGATTTCCTGAATTCCTAAAAAAAAATTGTAGAGTTTTCTGCTGTGTTACTAGTTTTCATGTTTTACTGATATTGTTTTTCTGTTTTTATGTCTTACACTGCTTAGAGATTGAGCTGTTTGTGAATGTTTTAAATAAATAAATCATTTAAATGGGGTTTGGACACGGCAGATGCACATACAGTGGTACCTCGGGTTAAGTACTTAATTCGTTCCAGAGGTCCGTTCTTAACCTGAAACTGTTCTTAACCTGAAGCACCACTTTAGCTAATGGGGTCTCCTGCTGCTGCCGCGCCGCAGGAGCACGATTTCTGTTCTCATCCTGAAGCAAAGTTCTTAACCCGAGGTACTATTTCTGGGTTAGAGGAGTCTGTAACCTGAAGCGTATGTAACCCGAGGTACCACTGTACGTATCATACAGGCATTCACTATCTCATGCAAGTCACAGAATGAAAAAGCTAGCCAAGCATTAGAGGCCATTCCCCATCCAGCCTCCTTGGGAGCCGTGCTGCTTTATTTCAAGGTGTTCCCAAAGCAACTGAGATTTTCTTGATGCCCGACAGCCATCTTTCCATCTCTGCACAAGTGTGCCTCTCTTTTCCGGCATCCCCTTGCCCACAGTTCAGTGACTTCATTCTCTTTTCCCGTTACCTCCAGTGGGGTCTATAACGGCAGCGCGTCTTGTGGATGTGAGGCCTTTCCACGGTTCCCTTGGGAGTCTACCAATTACATTCTTTCAGCTAGACAGAGAAGGTCAATCGAAGGAAAGGCTTAAAACATTCCCCCCTGCCCCCTCCCTGCCACCCTTCCCTGTTTCTCTGCAAGCTGCCGGCAGAGTCACTGCCTCGGATTCCAGCTCTTATCAGGCCGGAGCGTGTGAGATTTCATCACATTTACTTCCATCTCTCTCGTATTATAGCTGCGTGGACGGATAGCGATCCCGGAAGAATATAGAGGAGAGGGGAGCCAGAGAGCAAGATTAGCATCAGGAATAAGTGGTTTTTTTGGCATGGCTCTAGAATGCCATTTGGGAGATAGAATGCCCTTGCAAGTATTCTCATCCATACAGCAGCAGGACCCAAGCCTTGCCTCTTGCGGACATAAGAAAGAGCTTATAGACAGAGGTGAAGTGTTGTCCACTAGTCTCAGACAGCACTGCATGCATGTGGTACATTGCAGTGCCATCACATGGGACAGATTGTAGCATCATTACCACATCACTGTGATAGCACACAGGTACATTAACCACCCATTATTTATTTTTATTATTATGCATTAAGTTTCTATACCACCCTACATCAGAAGATCACAGGGCAGTCTGCAATATACAGTGGTACCTCGGGTTACATACGCTTCAGGTTACAGAATCCACTAACCCAGAAATAGTGCTTCAGGTTAAGAACTTTGCTTCAGGATGAGAACAGAAATCGTGCTGCGGCGGCGTGGCAGCAGCAGGAGGCCGCATTAGCTAAAGTGGTGCTTCAGGTTAAGAACAGTTTCAGGTTAAGAACATACCTCCAGAACGAATTAAGTACTTAACCCGAGGTACCACTGTGTGTGTGTGTGTGTGTATACACACACACCATAATAACAAAATAAAACAAAGAACCTCACCACACACAGTTTAAAAGGCCATATGTTTCAAAGGCGTCAGGCGAGCCTCCCTGGGGAGAGCATTCCACAAATGGGGAGCCACCGCAGAAAAGGCCCGCTCTTGTGTTGCCACCCTCGGACATCTCATGGAGGAGGCACACAAAGAAGGGACTCGGATGATGATTGCAGTGTCTGGGTCAATTCATATGGGAAGAGGCAGTACTTGAGGTATTGTGGTCCTGAGCTGTTTAGGGCTTTATAGGTTAAAACCAGCACTTTGAATTGCGACCTGAAACTAATTGGCAGCCAGTAGAGTCGGACCAGGATTGGCATTATATGCTCAAACAGTCTTGCCCCAATGAACAACCTAGTAGCTGAATTCTGCACCAGTTGAAGCTTCAGAACCATCTTCAGAGGCAGCCCTACGTGTAATGTTATGCAGTAATCTCTCCTAGAGGTTACCAGAGTACAGACAACAGAAGCTAGGCTTTCCCTGTCCAGATAGGGGCGTAGCTGGGCTACCATCTGGAAATCACTCTGTGCTACCAAGGCCACCTGACTCTCAAGTGAGAGCAAAGGATCCATGAGCACCCAAAGCTACACATCCGCTCCTTCAGAGAAAGTGTAACCACATCAAGAGCAGGCAACCTCTCATCCATCTGGTCTAGGGAACCGCCCACTAACGGTGCCTCAGTCTTATCTGAATGGAGCTCCAGTTGGTTGGCTCTCATCCAGTCCATTACCAAGGCAAGACAATGGTCCAGCACATCCACTGCCTCACCTGCAGATGTAAAGGAGAAGTAGAGTTGTGTGTCATCAGCATATTGCTGACAATGTACTCCAAAACTTTGGATAACCCCATAAAGATGTTAAACAGCATGGGGGGGTAAAACTGAACTCTGAGGAACCACACACTGAAGGCTCTACTGGGCTGAAGATCACTTCCCAAGCATCATGCTCTGGAAACAATCATCTATGTAGGACCAGAACCACAACAAAGCATTGTCACCCCCCCCAACCAGGACAGCCGCTCCAGAAGGATACCATGGTCAATGGTATCAAACTCCAATGGGACATCAAGGAGAATTAACAAAGACACATTTCCCTTGTCTCTCTCCCAACAGAGCGAGAAAGCAGTTTTTGTGCCCAAACTGGGCCTAAAACCTGATTGAAATTGATCTAAAAAATCAGTTTACTACAAGAAGATCTGGATTTGGTCTGCCACCACCCGCTCAAGAATCTTGCCCAAGAAGGGGAGATTGGCAACTGGCCGACTGGCATGCAATGGAACTATTTTCTTGGCCCAATGATTTTTGTAAATTGGGGCGGGGAGATTGGGTGAAAATGCCCTATGAAAGTTGGATTCAGTTATGGGTGGCTAATGGGGGCAATCTCCAAGAATGTCCCTGGAAATGATGTTACATCGTGTCAGTCCTGTAAGCCAGAGGGGAGCACAATTTTCAGCCCAGGGGCCACGTGTCAGGCAGGGAGAGTGGGGCAAAAGTGAGCTACTGTCCAAAGCTAACAATAACATTCATTTCTCTGCCCACTTTTGCCTCTCACCCTGAGAGAGGCAATACAGACCATGGGCTCAGAAAGGTTCCCCACTCCTGCCCTTGATGGCCTATAACCTATGGCTTGTATCTCAAGGGCTGCTTGTTCTTATATGAACCTGCCAATACACGGAGTTCACCTGCATAGACCTTTCTCCAGGCCCCCCACACCTGCACAGGTGGGAGGAAATTGGATGTCCCTGGATGCCACGCCGTTTGTAGAATCTCTTGCCTAGGTCCACGCACCTGGCACCAACAATTATGAGCATTAGACATTAGGTTGTATTTTTCCAGGCACTCAGGTTCAGACTGTTCTTGTTTTATTGCTTTCTGCTTTCAGAGCTGTGAATTGTTAGAATTTCTCAGCTGCTGTGCTGGGAATCTTTTTTTAGTGCTCTGAAAAAAAGTTTTACCCTGTTGCTATTTTTGTTGGGTCATTGTTGGTAATTATTTCTTTTATGATCATTGGTTTTTATGATGCTGAGCTGCCTTTTAAATGTTTTGATGAGGTGGTGTGTATATTAAATAAGGTAGGGTAGGGCAGCAAGTAAGAGCTGCAATATCTGTGGTATATATTTAAAGCAGTATCATACCATTTGAAACAGCCATGGCTTCCCCAAAAGAATCCTGGGAACTGTCATCTGTTAAGGGTGCTGAGACCCCTTTTCCCCTCCCAGAGCTACAATCTCAGAATGGTTTAACAGTCAATCCATCTCTGCAGGAAACTCTGAAACTTGTAACTCTGTGAAGGGAATAGGGGTCTCCTAACCAGGTGTGCCAGGGACGCGGGGGCACTGTGGGTTAAACCACAGAGCCTAGGTTTGAATCCCTGTGATGGAGTGAGCTCCCGTTGCTCGGTCCCAGCTCCTGCCAACCTAGCAGTTCAAAAACACATCAAAGTGCAAGTAGATAAATAGGTACCGCTCCAGCGGGAAGGTAAACAGCGTTTCCGTGCACTGCTCTGGTTTTGCCAGAAGCGGCTTAGTCACATAACTAAGCCACATGACCCGGAAGCTGTATGCTGGCTCCCTTGGCCAATAAAGCAAGATAAGCGCCGCAACCCCAGAGTCGGCCACGACTGGACCTAATGGTCAGGGGTCCCTTTACCTTTACCTTTAACCAGGTGTGCCGGGTTCTGACCCACATTGTGAGTGCCCGGCGTGGGCCTGTGGCATCACATGGTAGGAGGAGGTTCAACAAGGCCCATCACAGACACAGGAGGAGGCCCAACAGGGCACGTCACAGCCTCAGCCCCAACAGAGGCCCTGCAGTGGACCACCATGGCATCGGAGAGTGGTAAGGCAGCTGGCGGCAGCAGGTGAAGGCCGGGCACCCACAGTCAAAATTTTGTTGGTGCCCAGGCACCTAGGGCCCTGCAGAGATGGCGCCTGTGCTCCTAAGAACTCTCAGCACCCTTAACAAGCTACGTTCTCCAGGATTCTCGTTTACATTTCGGCAAACTTTGGGCCTGCTGATTCCTCCCCGCCCCCCATTTGTGTGTGTGCGGTGTCATTTTGGCTACCTAACGATTGGCATATAAAGTATTGATACAGGAGAAAATGGTAATGATAGAGAACACCAGGGGTAACAGGAGCACCCAACTTCACTAAATTATGTAGCATGGAATACTTAAAACATTTTCAGGGAAATGGAACAATAACAACAGAACAGATCTAAAATTCCTCACTGTTTTTCTTTTTTCTTTTTTGGCCTGTGTTCAGCTTCCCTCCTGAAACGTTCCTCCATTCATTGAAGCACAGTGATATTATCACCTAACTATGTCCTGATATAATAGGATACAAATAGGGACACATCTGAATTTGTGCACACTTACTTTGGAGTAAGCCTCAAGAACTCAGTGCAAATTATGTCTGCATAAACAAGCACATGAGTGTGCTGTACATGAGATAAGCATCATCAGGCCAGTATTGGCTACAGAGAACCACCACTTGATCTTATTTACAGAAGTCAGTGCTGCTGTGGAGTCAGCCAGTAGCAACAGAGGGCAGCTCTGAAGGACCAGTGACTCCAAAGCTGAATGCCAAACATTTTCAAAACAAACAATTCCCCCCCCCCCCCGAGACAGAACAGCAAGAAATCAGCTGTTTCATCCAGGCCAAGTTTCAACCAGAAACTGAATACTGCAAAAAAATACACAGTCCTCACCCTCATACTCGCTATGCATCCAAGTTCATTTCTAAACCATTGACTGGGTTATACTAGACTTCCCTGTGTTAGAGTTGGACACTGTATTTGGACAGGAGTATGCAGAGGTACAGAGAAATGGTTCTCGCATATTTCTTCCACACCTTTGAAATCTAAATGATACACCCCAAACCGCTCTAAGGCTCTTAAGAATTATATCAGCAATGCCCAGTCTTCCCAGAAAACTGTATCAGTTCCTCAAAGAGCACAAGGAGAAGAAAACAGGATGGTTGCTCTTATTTAAAACTAGCTCAGAATTCCTGGACCAGCCACAGCAAACTTGCCAATTCTATCTTTGGAGTGGGGTTGCAAACCTCTGGCTTAGGGGCCAAATGCAATCTTCCAGGCTCCTCTAGCATTGGTCCTTTGAGACTCTGCCCATGCTTTGCCTCTTCCCTAGGCCTCACCTCTCTTCAGACCTGCTCCACACCTCCTCAAGTGCTTTTGCGTGTTCCTGGACTGTGCTAATGCCTCTTTGCTTTCTTGGATGGAGAGCATTGTAATGTGCCATGATGCAATGTATGTAAACCACCACTGGGGGGTTCTGTAATTGTCAGCCCTAGTTTCTCCCCATAGTTTTCCCATAAAGGCTTGCTGTCTGGATACACAAAGCTAAGAATTGCATCTATTGATCAGACCACTTGTTCCACTGGACCTGATGGTTGGCCTCAGGACAGAAAAAGCTATCCACTTCAAGATTTGGAGCACCTGGTGGGTTCTTTTAAAATTAGATTTAATTGAAGGTCTGTTTAGAAGCCTTTCATTAATTCGGGGCACAAATATAAGGTATATTCATTCTAACTTTCCTCCTCCTGTAACTTTCCTCCCACCCTGCCTTGCTACCAAACTCTCACAACTGTAACTCTTCTGTAAATTTGTCAGTAAACTCTGTTATTGTGGCATTTCTCTCCCCCTTTTCACTTAAAGAAGAACTGAGATTTCAGTAAAAATCTTGATGTCCTGGCTCACCATAGTTGTTAGAAATTTCAGGAAATCTTTGAAGATGTTGTGACCTTGCCATTATAAGTACTGTTCAAAAGTGGCCATTTGGTCATGGCTACAGCATCTCTTCATCTACATAATGCAGGCCAGGAACAGGAGATCCGCATGCTGTCATAGTAAAAAAACAACTGCATCATTTAGTACTGCTTTGGAGAAATCTAGGACCAGCTAAATGCAAACAAAGGAGGCAGCCAAACAGCAGAGGGAGGGACGAAAAATATCAAGGCACTGAAGCACCTTTCCTTTGAGGAAAGGCTAAAAGTTGACATTCAGAAAGGAAGGTGATTAAAAGTGAAGATGTTCAGGGTTTCTCGAATTACACATGGTGTGGATAAAGTGGATATAAAGATAGCATATATCTCCCTTTTTCATAAAACTATAACTTCAGATATTCCCATGAAATTAATTGGTAGTAGTTCAGTGGAAAGCAAAGAAAATAACTTCTTCACACAAAGCTAATGACATGGAGATGCCCACCAGCTTAGACATTTTTAAAGGGAACTGGATGAATTCATGGAGGACGGTGGGTCTATCAGCAGCTATGATCCACGACGATTAAATGAAACAATATACCTGACCGTCACTTGCTCGGTGGGGCGTTCAGCAAAGGAGGCAATTGACTTCATGCCTTGCTTGTAGCTTCTCAGAGGGATCTGACTACAGGGTTGGGAAATCTGTGGCCTTCCAGATGTCTCCAACTCCCATCAGCCCCAGCCAGCATGGCCAATCAGAGGCAGTTTTAGGGTAGTACAACTGGTGTGTTGCACTGTGCACTGTGCTACAGGGGGAGCCACAACAATGCTGTAGAATGGAGTGCAAGAGGCAGAGGCACCAAATTTTCATGTTGCACATGGCACCGCTGAAATCTGAGAGCCCAAAGTCCACTACCTGGGTCACAGGTGAAGTGTTTACAGTCCAGCAACATCTAGAAGACCACAAGCTTCCCAGCCCTGAACTAAATGGACCTTTAGTCTAATCCAGGGTTCCCCAAACTTGAGTCTCTAGCTGTTTTTGGACTGCAATTCCCATCATCCCTGACCACCGGTCCTGCTAGCTATGGATGATGGGAGTTGTAGTCGAAAACCAGCTGGAGACCCAAGTTTGGGAAACCATGCCTAAATGTTCAGGGCTGTTCTAATGTTCTTACATAGTAGCAGTAGCATTTAGTGCTGCTGGTTAGCAATGCAGTGAAAAGCACACAGAAACACACCTTTAAGAAGAAATTCCACAGAGCAAAGGGCATCGCTCAACCCCTGTGTACCTTTGAAGGTACCCGTGTACCTTTGTACACACCTTAACCTCTGTTGGACTTCCCTTTGAGATAAGAGTACTTTATTTAAAGTGTTGGGGGGGTTCCCCCTCTGCCAGCAAGTGTCGGTATTTGCAGGCATCTTATCTACACATTGCCGTTTCCTTGATCTTGTCAACCAATAAATGGAAACATACTTTACAGTCACGCAATAGGTGCACTTACCTATTAGTATGTTCCATTTATCCCAGTGGGACTTACTTCTGAGTAGACATGCCGAGGATTGCAGTGTTGTTCTCTCACCACATACACATGCCTAGAGACATGTGATTTGTAGCTTTTGAAAGTTGAGACTGGGAGAAAAATGTAGCCATATTATTATGCAACAATACATTGTGCTGCCAAACAATGGTGTCATAAAAACATACGGCACGCACACCTGTGAATGCTGGCATAAAGTTTAAATCAATAACACCAAAAAAGAAGTTGGCAAATAGCCAATTATTTGTCATGCAAAAGTTTGGCTTAACATTTGAATAAGGTGTGCTTTTATTTTTTATTTTTGAAGTGTGAATTGAACAATTTGGTACTTGTGAGATAGCCCTGCTCTTTAAAAAACAAAACAAGGTATTTATTCAAAATTAATATACAATTATATTAATTAGGCTTACATAATCCCTGTGGATATTACTGTTTTCTTATTAGCATCTGAATGGAAACAGAGTACAGCTGATGCCAAGTGGTGTGTAGATGTCTAAAGTTTGATGTACAGTTTCTGTAATATGCATATAGAATCACTCAAAACCAAAAATGAGAACCAGTTACCCATTGCCTCTTGTTCACTCTAATTGGGATATTGGATTGCTTAGAATACTGCTCTGAATTTTGCATGGCAGTTCCCCAGCCATGTCATGTGTTCAAAAATGCACATACTAGAGTAAAGAGTGCATAAAAAGCATGTGTTAGTAGTAAAAGTAACATACAAAGATGCATTATATTAGAGGGGGGAATTTGAAAAATTCTGTGTATTTGGCAAAAACCACCCAGATTCAGAAAGGGGACAATAAAATCAGAAACAAATCTAAGTAAGAAGACCAAATAAATAACCAATTGCAGCCAGGCCAAAAGTAAGTTGGAATGAAGAATCAGAATTGTGACCAGATATGGATGGAGCTGACTGTTTTCTTCTTCCTAACTGGGCTGTTCCTTTCATTTTGAAGGGCTTAGAGATGTAACCCACCCCACATCTTGGTAGATCTGTGCAAAAGCAAATCTGCCCTCCTTTGTATCCTGCTAAGGTGTGGCAACACAATCAGAAAAAAAGGGGATCTGAGGTTCAAAGGTCACATCTGTAAGACCTAACGCAAAAAAAATAAAAATAAAAAATTAGCAAATAAGATGGTAGAACTGTTTTGGGATTGTGTCATTTCAAATTGCAGGGTGGGGTGGGGGAGTTATTGCATAATCGTATTTTTTTATTGGAAAAAGAATCAATTTTCTTTCAGGGTCACATAACAAGGAGCAGAAATCAACCAGCTAAACTTCTCCCATCATTAAATTTTGGGGAAAGCACACATTGTGTCTGCGTGCAGTATCAGAACCTTTGTCCGAAACAAAAGTGCCTTAGAGACAGCACAGTAAATTTGGTATCTGGTTTTCATTTAATGTCCAGAATCCAAGCCTGAGGCCCCAACCACAACAACCAGTGCAGCTGCTGGGCCACTGGTGAGACAACCATGGCTATGGCAAGGGCCATGCCATGGTGAGGGAGGCATTCCTCCTGGCTCTGCCCCAACATTAAGGCAAGGAGGAAGCAAGGCAGGAAGTGGGAGGATTCAAGGTCTTTCTTGCAATTATATTTAAAGGCAGGGAGACTCCACTGTGGCTCCTGGTGTGCTTCAGAAGTTGGACCACAGTCCACAGGGACACTAGGACGTGGACAAGCAACAGAACTTTCTGGTACTTATCTCAACAAATAACCCTTATTTGTGCCCAGAAGTCAACCTCCATATGCTTCAGGAAAATCTGTCTAAAGGAGGAAAGACAGAAAGCTGACTTCTCAGTCAAGAGCCACTTCAAGGAACTGGTATGCATATTAACAAGCCTCGCTGACAAAACCTGCAGTGCTGTACAAACGCTCCAGCCAATTTTCAGATGTTAATTGCTTTGCCACTTTACTCTTAAAATAGCAAAAAGCCTCACCCACATTATGGACTGAAGCTGAACCTTTAGTGAGCAATTTTTTAAAAAAGAAAATAAAGAAGAAGTGTGATAGTACGCCTGATTTAAACATACACCATACACTGTAATTTAAACAGAACCAGATTTTATCATCTGAGGCAAAGTTCACCTGATCCCTCAGAGACCTGAGGAACACCTATTTACTTGGGTGATCGAAGCAAGATTTATTTATTTTATATAACAAAATGTGTACACCATATACATTGTAATATTATTGTAATAAAACCTCTAAGCAGATTACAAGAAATCTAAGTGGTTTACAAGATGGAGGAAATGGATTGACTCACTGGTCCTAAAACACCTCTGGCCTGGATAAATAATAGTATATTAAATTGTTATAATTAGCAATAGTTGCATAATATGCATATTGGGCTGTCCAAATTTCAGAGACTGCAAATTGGTAACCCCACTTGAAGTACTCAAAATGTATCAAGAAAACTGTAAGCGTTGACTACAAATGGTAGTTCCTGAGTTAGTTTTCCAATTTGTTGGAGACCGCAAATGCTCAAAATTATGCAGAGCTCAAACTATTCATGCATGTGGACCTAACAGAGATACAGTGAGCAGCTACATGACATAAGGTACTTTTGGTGGTGGCACCCACTTTGTCAAATTCTTTGCCCCAGAATATCTGGTCACCATATATATATATATATATATATATATATATATATATATATATACCATAAGCACAGTACAATACTTAAAGGTCACAAACGATGACCTTCGAACAACAATCACCGAATGAGAAACAAAATGGAATTGCACAAAACTGGAAGTAGGGATTGGGAAGTATTTGCATCCAGGAACAACTAGTGATTCAGCAAGAGGCAGTTGTAAACTTGTATCTCCTACCTTACAACTAGAAATGCAACAGGAACTCCTGAATGTTTAATAGCTATGCAGCGGTCTGAACTCCAGGAGGAATGACTGCTTTGACAATGTGGTGTTGATGGGAAAGGAACTTGCAGCAAATGAACTTCACCTTGACAAGATGCTGTTAAAGGTCCTGGAGACCTCCCTAGACCAGGAGATCACAACACTGCATCTCAACTCCTATTCCTGATAGGGTCAATTCGATGCAGCAAATTCAGAGTGCTCCCAAAAGTTCTACATTCACCCTGGAAAAGGATGCTGCGTGGAGCTGTGTAACCGGGTGATTGCTTGTGTCATGTCTGAATGGGTTGTCACAGATAGGAAAGTGCTGTCAGTGGTGTTGTCTCTCCTTTAGCATTTCAGATTCAGTGCCTTTCTTTCAATGGAGATAGGTCACACATGTAGTCACCACTTATCATACACCCGTGCTGAGAAAGTATGAGCACGAGTGAACTTGGGGAAGGGTCATAGCGCAGAGTTAGAGCATCTGTTTTGTGTGCAGAAGGTCCCAGGTACAATCCACAAGCATCTGCAGGTAGGACTTGGAATGCCCCCTGTCTGAAACCCTGGAGAGCTACTACCAGTCAGCATAGATGACACTCAGCCAGATGGACCAATGGGTTGACTTCGTATAAGGCAGTTCCTTGTGTTCCTGTGTTAATTGAACCTAGGTCAGAATGAAGCACAGGTACCATAAATGACTTGGCAGAATTCAGCTCTTTTCACCTCTGGCATACTTTATTGGTGCAAGTGTTTATGCTTGGAATGTAATATAATAACAATTCCTCCCTTGCAGATAAGGATCTTAATTGATTTTGGAAGAACATGATATGCAGTAGTATGGTAATCATTACAGCAGAACTGCTTTATCCATTTTAAAGCTGCATCACAAAGAGGGGCTGGCACTTCAGTCCTATGTTATTAAAAGTGGATTAGACAAATTCATGGAGCAACTATTCAGAATACTGATACAGAGCTTCCATGTTTGGAGGCAGTAAACCTATTGATGGGGAACAACAGCAGGAGAGGGCTGTTTTCTTCTAGTTTGGCATGTTGGCTTCCCAGAAACATCTGGTTGGCCACTGTAGGAAGCAGAATGCTGAAGTTGATGGATCTTTGACTGGATCCAGCAGGGCTCTTCCAATATGGTCAATGGAATCCAAGGTTATGGGGAGACATTTAGATGACTACGTGAGGAAGTTACCCAGGTAATAAGGCAACTTTGCTGTCTGCTGTATGTGTTATATGAAGAAAGAGTAAAGTCACAACATCTTCCTCTGAGCTTTAACTGAAGTTCAGGAAGCCAGGAAGGCTGGCTGCTGAATGCCTAAGAGTGTTACTCTTGCTGTTTTTGTTCTTTCAGATAAGTCCTTCATTTTACACTTTGTTAAAAAAATATATCCACACTCATCTCTTTAAAAGCAAGACGAATGCACTTAAAAATAATAACAATTGAGAGTTGTATGGTGCATCTTAGGCAAGCCTCTTACTTTCCTGTATTTAGAGCAGGGAGGGGGAACCTGTTGCCTTCCAGGTGTTTAACTCCAATCCCCATTATCCTCAGCCAACATGGCCAATGGTCAGGAGTGATGGGAGCTGTGGTCTAACCACATCTGGAGGGCGGCAAACTCCCCATCTCTGTGCTTAGATGAAAGCCTAGATGGTGATATTGTGGGGTTTTCCAGAAAGGTGAACACCTAAGAAGCAGGAGAGGCGATGTGTCACATGACAGAAAGGACACTCACAACACACCATGGCTACCTTAAAACAAAGGTAAGCACAACAAAACTTTGCACCCCACCCATGAGAATTTTACCAACATCTTATCTACTCTTCGATAATTTTCCATTTTCTTTTCTTATTAATTGATGGAGATTAAGAATGGGAAGTGCAAGAGGAGCTACACCATGAGCTATAATGGGAACCCACTGTAATTGCTACATATGGATGCTCAAAAGTTTGGCCCCATAAACCGTCACTTCCTTCTCTGTCAAAATGTTTGGTGTAGAAAAGAATTTTTGTATCTGAGCACAAGACCGGATTTTTTAAAAAAACAAAAACAAATAAATTTGCTTCTGTCTGATCCAAACTCAGGGAAAATTTTCCACGGGAGACCAAGCCCTAAACTACCTTCTTACGCTACACACCAAGACAAAAATTTATAACTCTGCCTGCATGTTCCAGCCTTGAGGAGGGAGGGGAAAAAATCCTTATTATTTATTTATGCCTGTTGTGTTTAAGAAGTTAAATCCCCAGAGCATCTCAATTTAGATCAAAAGCAAGCTACCATACTTCACCTGGCACACCTGTGCCTTATGATTTCTTAATTACCTGCCTCGCATTCCCAAAGCTAGAAGGCAACGGGGCAGGACTCATTTTCGCGCATGTACAAATCTCTGAAATGCACCTAATGTAACAAAGCCTTTCCAGAATGCCTGAGGTGTTAACCAGTTTTAAAGAATCCCACAGATCCCAAGCCACTTGCATTCCGGCAAATTGCCTCCTTCCAGGTTTTGAGGGTTTAAAATAAAATGATGAGGGAGATGCCATAGGGCTCTCGGGCTGTGGCCAGTTATGATTGCTCATCTCTGGGGATTTCCATCATCCCACCTGGCCACCAAAATGGCACTGAACCTGCAATCAAAGGAATCTTGGATCCTGATTTCAATGAGGCCGGGGGCAAGGAGAAGATGAGATTCTGGAACTGGGGAGGTAGATGCATACAAAGTTGCCAGTTTTCCGGGAGGGGGTAGGGACAACTGACCGCTCTTGTGCCTTTATTTTTACATTTAAACCTTACTTTTCTCCATTAAAAGAAAGTTAATTCACACAGTGCATTATTTAAAAGTATGGAATTCACTCCCTCAGGAAGCAGTGATGGCCACCAAGTTGGGTGTCTTTAAAAGAGGATCAGACAAATTCATGGAAGACGAGGGCTATCAGTGGCTACTAGCCACTGTTGGAGGCAGTATGCCTCTGAATACCAGCTGGTGTGAATCACAAGTCCCCGCCCCATTACCTTTCTCCATCAATTAATAACAAAATTAAAAATGTCCTTGTGTCCAGGGAAGTCAAGGCAGTACACAATATTTTCCAAAAGAGTCTCCTCTCCACACACCAGACCCAGACCTGTTCAGCTTCGGCAAGGTGGCTGCATCATCTGCCTTCAGATGATACCCTTGATCTTTCAAAATCTGCAGGGAGATATGCCTGTTAGGTCTCCCCAAATACAGCTACAGTATCTGTCTGGAAAGCCGGCAACCCTGGGTACATCTCTCCCCACTCTTTATTAGGTTTCATGCCAATTCTCTTTTCCTTTAAGAGTACAGGTTGCAAGTGAGTAGAGAAATAATTAATGTTCAATTGGAGTTACGTGGCTAGAGAGCTCTTTCTTATTTCTTTTACCGCAGCACCCCTAGGGGCCCATAGTAAGCCTCTTAAGCTGGGAATTAGTTGCTATAGCTTTGCTATGAGAACCAACTCCACCCAAAATAGAGTGTAACTTGATTGTTTGCCATGTCCTTTTGGGGACCAGCACATGTAGCTTTCCTTTGATATTTTCTTCCTCCTTTTTAAAAAAATATGCAGGCGCAAACGCTGAAATCTTCAGGAGAACATTGGTACAGGGAAAATGCTTCTTTAATCCTTTTCTCTAAGAACTCCCCCAGCAGCTTTTCCTCAATAGGGAAAAGATACCAATACCTTATCTCTATGGAGAGAGAAAAAGCACCTGGTGCCATTTAAAAAAAAAAAAATATTTTATTAAGGATTTTCTTGTTTTACAGAAGTAAGTGTAATGCCTCGTATTTTTTTCCCCCATGTAACATTTTTACAAATCCGTTTCATTTGCTGAGGCATTAGGGGGAGAAGAAAAAAAGGAAAAAAGAAAGGGGGGTGGAGAGAGGGAAGATGGATGGGGGTGGAGTCGGGTGGTGGTGTTTCTATTATGTTTAATGTATGTAGAGTTTGGTGTCAGCGTTGCTTGTGTTGTTCACTTGTGTTCCTTTGGTGGTGAGAGAGGTTGGGGTTGGCCTAGGGTGTGATTGTTTGCTTGTGATTGGCTGTGGTGATCTTTGTTTTCGTGTGTGAGTGAGGTGGGTGGGTGTTTTGGATCAGGTTAGCCATATTGATTTGTATGCTGTTGGTGGATTATTGTCATTGTCCTGTTGGGCTGTGTATGTGATAAAGGAGAGCCATACCGGGGTGAAGGCGTCTTCTTCTGTTTGTCCCCGTGTCAGTTTCAGTTTATTAGTTAATTTTTCTAGTAGGGCTGTTTCCCATACTATTTGGTACCATTGGTCCATGTTTACTCCTGACAGGTCTCTCCAGTGTCTGGTTATGGTGTTTCTGGCTGCTGAAAGTAGGTGGGTTATGAGTACTTTGTGGTGTAAATGGGCATTGTTGTCTTGGAAGATGTTTAGTAAGGCCAATTCTGGGGTGATGTCTATTAGTTATTTTACATATTTCTTGTATGGCTGTTGTCCAGAATAGTTGGATTTTGGGACACTCCCACCACATGTGGAGGTATGTGCCTGTGGAGGTGCACCCTCTCCAGCATTTTGGTGAGGTTCCTGGGTGTATTAGCGCTAGTTTCCTTGGTGTTAGGTACCACCTGTAGGTGAGTTTCAGTGTGAGTTCTTTTCTTTTCGTTGATATGGATTTAAAGAGGGTTTAGACCACATTCTGGTCCATTGAGTGGGGTTAATCTCATAGCCTATGTCATTTTCCCATTGTTTTTTGATTGCATCTAAGGGATTTGCGGGATTTTGGAGTAGTATTTTGTATATTGCAGATACCGTCCCTTTACCGTTTCCCTTTGTTGTTAGGAGGAGGTTTTCGAAGGTTGTCAGGGGCCTAGTTGCTGCTGATTTTACTGTTGGGTTGTTTAAGAGGGCATGTAGTTGGTGTTGTGTTAACCAGGGCATTTGGGTGTCTTCTAGTTTGTCTTGTATTTCTTGTGTTGACAAGGGTTTGTTATTTTTATAAAAGTCTATTAGGCGATATAAGCCTTTGGTTTGCCAGGTTTTTATCTGGAGGTTTTGTGCTGCATGGTGGAATAATGGGTGGTACGCCAGGGGGATTAGTGGGGATGGGGTTGGGGATAGTTTGCCTATTTGTGTTTTCCATGCTTTGAGCATGGTCTGTGTGTACCTGTTAAGTGTTGTGGGAAGTTTCTTTAGTTTGTTTGGGAGGAGTGGGTATGTTGTGGTGCAGGTATTTTCAATTGTGTCCCTCTCTAGGTGTACCCATTGTTTGTCTCATCTTCTAGTATATATGGGATTATATGGCGTATTTGGTTGGCATTGTAATATGCTGCTATGTTGGGGGTTCCCCATCCTCCTTCTGAGGTGGGGAGGTGCAGGTATTTGAGGCTTATTCTTGGTTTTTTATGTGAGAAGATGAAAGAGTGTAGTTTTCTCTGCCAACTGCGAAGTTGGGTTGAGGGGATCCAGATTGGGAGGGTTTGGAATAGGTAGGATAGGTTTGGGAGTGTGATCATTTTGATCATGGCTATTTTGTCTGAGAGAGTGAAATTCATGTTATTCCATCTCTTTAGGTCTTTGTTAATTTGTCGCCACAGGGGCTTGTAGTTGTGGAGGTACAATTTATTGAGGTTTCTGGTTATTTGTACCCCTAGGTATCTCAACTTGGTGTGGCAAAGTTTTATTTTGGTGACCTTCGTGAGTTCTTTTTGGGTGTGAGGAGGGGTGTTGAAGCACATAGCTTCTGACTTTGTAAAATTTACCTGTAGGCCCGACACCATTGCAAATGTGTTGAGTTCTCTGATTAGGGAGGTTGCTGTGCTTATGGGGTCTGGTGTTGTGACCATTAGGTCATCTGCAAAGAGCCCTAATTTATAGGTTCTGCCTTTTATTTCCACTCCCTTGATGTCTGTGGCTGCTCGGATGCGGATTGCTAAGGGTTCCAGAGCCAGGATAAATAAGAAGGGAGACAGTGGGCATCCTTGTTTCGTGCCTCTTTGGATAGCTATAGTATTAGAATCCATATTGTTAGTTCTGCATTTTGCTGAGGCTTGGGAGTATATTTGTTTGAGGATTTGTAGGAAGTTGGGGCCAAATTTCATGTTAGTTAGTACTGCTAATATGTATTTCCACTCTAAGCAATCAAAGGCTTTGAGGATGTCTAGGAACATAATTGTCAATGGGAGTTTGGTTGCCTTGCTGTGTTCGATCAGGTTCAGTAGTTTCCTGATGGGGTCTGTTATATTGCGGCCAGGGACAAAGCCAGTCTGGTCTGGGGCTATTAACTTGTGTAGGAAGATTTTTAGGCGGTTGGCCAAGATTGATGTGAATATCTTGTAGTCTTGGTTTATTAATGAGATTGGGCGGTATGATTCTACTTTGAGGCTGTCTTTTAGTGGTTTTGGGATGGAGACTATTTTGGAGTGGGTCCAGGTTTTGGGGATGGGGCCCCTTTTATGATGTCGTTGAATAGGCGGGTCATGTAGGGCATCAAGGGTTCTTTGAATTTCTTATAGAATTCTGCTGTGAAGCCGTCTGGGCCTGGGGCTTTGTGTGGTTTCAGGTTTTTGAGGACCGCATCTATTTCCTCTGGGGTGATAGGGCTGTCCATGAATTCCTGTTTCTTATCAGTTAGGGTAGGCATGGTCAGTCCTGCTAGAAATGTTCTGATTTCCTTCTCTGGTGGGTTATGGGAGGTGTATAGGTTGGAGTAGAATTCTGCAAATTCTGAGGTTATTTCTTCGGGGGAGAATGTTATGTTGCCGTCTTTTTGGTGATGCAGTGTATTCTTGTTTTGAGTGCTTTTTTCCTACATCTATTTGCTAGTAATCTGGAGTTTTTCCCTCCATATTCGTAGAAACGTTGTTTAGAGTATAGAATGTTGATCATTGTTTTGTTAATTTTTCGGGAGTCTAGTTCTCTCCTTTTTTGTTCTATAAGTTTGAGGAGTTTTTTGGATCCTGTTTGTTTGTAGCGTGATGCGAGGGCTGTGATGTCTTGTTCTATTTTGCTAATTTTTGAGGAGGTTTGTTTTTTAAGGAATGTTTTCTCTTTTATGCAAGCTCCTCTGGTGACCGCTTTCATTGCGTCCCATCGTTTTCCTTGAAGTAGTTTTGGAGGGTTTTTGTGAGACTCTCTCTAATTTGTTTGTTTGTAGTTAGGATGGGACTGAAGGACCATGATGGGGTGGTTTGTGTTCCTTCTCCTATTTTAACGATGACTTCTACTGGGGCGTGATCTGTGATTTTAATGTTACCTATGTTTGTTGATTCCACTGAGGGGATCAGACCCTGTGTGAGTAGAATGCTGTCCAGTCTGGACACTGTATCATGGCGTCCCGATTGGAATGTATGGCTGATGTCTCCCGGGTTTTGCTCACCCCAAATGTCGTAGAGACCCCTGTTTTTTAGCATTTGTAGTAACTTGTAAGGGTTCCTAGTTGTTGGGGGTTTCCTTCGGAGGAAGGTTGTCCATGGGGTTGTAGGGTGGATATCTTTCAGGGATATACCTTTCATATTTAGATTGAGGTCCCCTCCTAGGATTGCTTCCCCTTCAGAGAAGGAGAGGAATTTGTTTAGTGTCTTCTGGAAGAATTCTAATTGTTTCGTGTTTGGGGCATATATGGAGCCGATTGTCAGTTTGATTTTGCCATCTAGTGTCCCTTTAGCGAAAATGAATCTGCCTTTGTCCTTGAGGACTGTTGTGGCAGTGAAGTTCAGGTCTCTACTGAGTATTATGGCTACACCACGAGCTTTCCCTGAGCCTCGTGCGACCCACTGTTGACTGAAGCGGGGTCGCTCAGGAGTTTGCTGCCTTTGGGTGGGTTGTGTATTTCTTGTAGGAAGGTGATGTGTGGTTTCATGGTGTTTATGTATGAGGTGATGCGTTTTCTTTTGATGGGGTTTCCCAGCCCCCTCACGTTTAATGTAATTGCTTTTAGGTTAGCCATCTTGCTTATCTATTATGTGGGGCGATTCCCTACCAACCCGTTTGGGTTGTCTTGTATCTCTCTCTTCGTGTTGTTTAAAGTACCAGTGGGGTTGCGCTGACCTAGGGTGTGGTGGGTTGGGGGCTAGTGGGATTAGAGTGAGGTTTGGGTTAAAGAGTAGGGGGTAAGTTGTAGGGAGTTTCCTATATGTAGTCATATAGGTGTTTGTTTGGGGTATTTTGGGCCATCTGGCATTTAGCCGGTTGGTCCTAGGTCTCAGCTGGTGTGGAAGGCCGTGTTCAAGGACAGGCCATCCCCCCTGTTGTTTGCGATAGGGGGTGATCAGCGAGACAGTGTGAAGTGACTTTGTAACGTCGCTGTCAGGTATAAGGTTCATAAGCAATGTTGCCAATGTTATGAGCAACATTGTTGGTGTGTTGGGGTGGGGATGTGGGTGCTGGTACGCTCTGGTGCCACCATAGTGCTGGTTGGGTATCAGATTTTAGCCTGATTGTGGGTTGTGTTATTAAGGTTGGAGGAGTTGTTTTTTTCTTAGTATGGAGTATGGGGATGTTGAAGGTGTGGGTGATGGGGAATGTGGTTGAGGTCGTCTGGACTGGTGTTGGGGTGGGGATTTCTGTGGGGGTGCGGGGCTGGGGGGGATGTTGATGGTGTTAACTAAATCTATGTTTGGGGGGGGAGAGGGGGAAAGGGGGGGAAATCACCAGTCCTTCAGTTTGTGGTGTTTTCCTGGTTGCTTCATTCAGCTGGGGTTGTTGTTGTAGGGTTGTCCATCTGCGATGAATTGGTTTGGTTAATCTTGGTCTGGTTTCTTGTGTCGTATGGCCGGCGGGACGATTCTGAGCGTGATGCTTCTCTGTATTGGTTTGCATTGTTGTGCCGCTTCTGTTGTTTCTTTTTCTTCTGTACCGTTGTCCAGTTGTTTGCTGTTGTTTCCTCCTGGTTGGGGCTGTCACTTGGTGGGTTTGTCGGTTGCCATTCCGGTGGGAGGTCGAGTTCAAGGTTCTTTAGTAGTTGCAGGGCCTCAGGTATGTTGGTAGCCATGTGTTGTGTTGTATTGGTTGTTACAATGAGGCGGAAGGGGAAGCCCCATCGGTATTTGATCCCTGCTTGTTGGAGACGCTGGGTGCATGGGCGCAAGCTTTTCCTCCGGTTTAGGGTATCCTGAGATAAGTCCTGTAAGGCCAGAATGGGGATTTCTCCATATCGAAGGTTGGTTGAGTTTCTGAGGTGGTTCCATACCTCTTCCTTCTTTTTGTAGCGTGTGAAGCATACAATGATGTCTCTTGGGGGGGCACTGGGTTTTGGCATAGGTTTTAGGGCTCTGTGAGCCCTCTCCAAGTCATCTGCCTCAAGTTTCAGGCTTGGGATTGTGTTTTTCAGCCAGCGTATAATTAGGTCTGCTGGGCTTTTCTCCTCTGTCTTTTCAGGAAAGTTGCGGAAGCGGATGTTACAACGTCTATTGCGGTCTTCAAGGTCGGCTTGCTTAATTTTCATCTCTCTGTGTTCTGCTTCCATTTGGTTTACCAGTTCGTCCAGTTTCTTGTTCACCCGTGCGTTCTCCTCCCGGTATTGCTCTATTATTCTTTCTTGCATTTGGTTCTTGTTCTCTAGAGCTTCCACTTTGGAGGTTAGATTGTTGATTAGTACCTGCATGGGAGCCATTGTGGCCTTCAGTGTTTCTTCTAATCGTGCTTCTAATCTTGCTTCCATTTCCCTCAAATCTCGTTTCGTTATTGGGTGGTCATCATCTTGAAGGGGAGTTACCGTCTTAGCATTGTTTGTCATCTCCCTGGTTGGTGTCATCTCAGTCTCCCTGATGGTTTTGGTTTGAGGTTGGCTTAGCGTCCTCTTGGAGTAGGGTGTGTGGTGGTTAGGAGTTGTGGCAGTGGTGATTCCTGGGTATTGTTGGGTTGCTGAGCTGATCAGGCGTTCTTGGCTGGTGGCTTTTACAGAGCGTTTGGATTAGATGGTCATTTGTGTCACTTCTAGCCTGTGTTTTAAGAACTTCTCTAGGGTTTCTGTAGTTGCCTCAGCGGTGCCGCCAAAGCGGGGGGGGGCAGGTAAGCAGAGATGGGTAGACTAACGGACAGACAGTTCATATAAGGGGAGGGGGGGTTAGCAGGTAGAGATGCAAAAGATTAGAGGGGTGGGGCCAGGGGAAATATGTGTTTAGGAGGGGGTTGTATATACCCAAAAGGGGTACTGGGGTCCAGTTAAGGTGGGAGTTGGGGTTGGGAGTGCGCTCAGGAACAGAGACAGACAAATAGGCTATATGTAAAGGGTGGAGGGAGAAAAAGGAAGAAGAAGAAAGAATGAAGAAGAAGGGGGGAGACGGGGAGATTGGAGTAAAAGAGGAGAGAGAGAGAGAGAGAGAGTGTTGAAAGAGAGAGGAGAGATGGTACAGTAATATCAGCGGTAATAGATTGCAGCAATAGTTTTAGCTATAGTATGAGGGGGGCAAAGTATGATACGGTGATATGAATGTGTGTATGTGTTTCCTTTAGGAGAAGGGGAGGGGGGATGGAGAAAGGGAGGAGGGAGAGAGAAGGAGAGGAGGAGGGGGAAGGATGGGAAAAGGAAGGAGAAGAAAAGAGAGGGGGAGAGAGGGGAGGGGGGAGGGAGGGTGAACTGTGGCAATGGTATGGGGGGAAAGTCTTATTTTAAAAGAGGGGGTGGGGGGGAAAGGGCTCCCCCCTCAAAAACAAACTGACAAACAGGCTAAAAAGGGGGGGTTGATTTTAAAAAATAAAGGGGATAGAAAACAAAGTTGGGGATGGAAAGTGAAGGGTGGGATAAAAGGAAAAAATAAGGAGGGGTGAAGAGAGAGAGAGAGGAGAGCAAAAAGGAGGAGAAAAATAAAAGGGGGGAGTTGAGGGGGAGAGTATCAATAGCAATAGCAGTGATATGGAGAAATTTTTTGTTTTAAAAGAGAGTGATGGTCATAGCAGGGGGCGAAGGATTCCCCCCTCAAGAAGAAGCTAACAATTAGAATAGAAAGGGCTTTAAAAAGAGGGGGGGAAATTGTGTGTGATTTTTTTTCTTTTTTTAAAAAAAAAAACTATTTCCCCCTAATTATTATTATTATCCTTTGTTTGTAAAAAAGTAATTAAAAATGTACGGGTAAAAGATAAAAATGAGAGATAAAGGTTAAAAAAAGGGGGGGTTGTTTATATATATATATATAGATGGATAAAGTTATTTTATTTTTTAAAATGTGTAAAGTACGAAGAGGATAGGTAAAAGAGAGTGGAAAGTCTGGGGCGAAGTGGCAGTCCCAGGAAATGACCTGTGTTGTTTCAGGGCTCTTTTCTGGATACTGCCATTTTAATTCTTAAGAGGGGAGTTTGAGGTGAAAATAAAATGAGGTTTAAATTGAGGGTGTGTGTGTGGAAAAGTGTGTCTTTAGATAGTGTGTAGAAAAGGTAGAAATAAAAATAAAAATTCAAATAAAGGGTGGCTGCAGCAGCAGTGGCCCCTCTTTTAAAAAGAAAAGTGATAAAAGTAGGTATATGGGGGGGAGGGATAAAAAAATTTTTTTTTTTAAAGGGTGGAGGGAGGGGTTAAAAAAAGGGGGTAAAAAAAGGGGGGGAAAGGTAGTTTCTTCCTTTCTGTGATCTCCTTTGTTATGCGGCTTCTCTGTGTTTTCCTTGCCACTGGAGCTCCCGGTCGGGCTGAGCCACGTGTTTTTTTCGGAGCCTTTTTTGCCTTCCCGTGCTCACCTACCTCTCCTCTGCTTTCCCGTCGGCAGAGATGGGGGCAGCAGCGGTAAATTTGGGGCTCCTTTTTCTTTCTTTCTTTTTCTTCTTCTTTCCCCCTTTTCTTTTTCTCCCTCTCTGCGTTAGCTCCACTGTCCTCCTGGTTTTGGAGCTCCTCTCGGCTGTTGGGGGGGTGGTCGGGTGCCTTTCCGGCTCAATCTCAGTCGTGGGGGGGGTGTTTTGGCTCCTTTGATAGACGCCCGGGCACCCCCGATTCCTCTCCACTGGCGGTGCTGGCGGCAGCAGTCCTGGGAGCCCGGGAGTCGGCCAGACAGAGCCTTTCCTGGCGCCATTTTTAGTGGGGAAATTGCCAGAGGAAACTCTCCCTCTTTACTGGTCTTCCACTGCAAATTGCAGCCTTTGTGGCTAAAACGGGGATCAAACCTGCAACCTTGGCATTATCAGCACCATGCCCTAACAAACTGATGTTAGTGGTTAGGTTCAGACACCATTAGAAGAACTTTCTGGTGGCAATAGCTGTTTGACAGCGGAATGGACTACCTCAGAAGGTGGTGGACTCTCCTTCATTGGATGTTTTTAAAAAGAGGTTGGATGGCCATCTGCCAGGGCTTCTTTGGCCATGATTCCGGCATTGCAGGGGGTTGGACTAGATGATCCTCAGGATCCCTTCCAACTCTATGATTCTATGGTTAAATATTACTCCAAAGGAAATCAGTGCGAGGCATGTACTTTAAGTTTTACTTCTATTCAGTCTTCCACTCTATGAATCCACTAGTCCCAAGGAATTATCACATTCTTAGTATCTCAACCAAAATACAGAGATAATATGACAGTAACGTCAGTATGTTATAAATCCATACTGCAATAAGAAGAAGCTGAAATGTGTAACTCTGCATGTACATGGTCACAGGCAAGTGGACAGTGCCGCATTGTGGCTTCCACTACTAGACGATCTGTGTTTGTTTCAGGGAGGCTTGTAAGAACCTCTGGCAAGGGGCTTCTGGATTTCTCCTGCTGCAGTAAGCAAATTTCCAGGTCCCCAGATGTTCATAGCTAGAGGAGTTGATATGCTACCAGATTTGTATCCACATAAAGATCGCCTCGACAGCAGCCACGAAATTAAAAGACGCCTGCTTCTTGGGAGAAAAGCAATGACAAACCTAGACAGCATCTTAAAAAGCAGAGACATCACCTTGCCAACAAAGGTCCGTATAGTTAAAGCTACGGTTTTCCCAGTAGTGATGTATGGAAGTGAGAGCTGGACCATAAAGAAGGCTGATCGCTGAAGAATTGATGCTTTTGAATTATGGTGCTGGAGGAGACTCTTGAGAGTCCCATGGACTGCAAGAAGATCAAACCTATCCATTCTGAAGGAAATCAGCCCTGAGTGCTCACTGGAAGGACAGATCCTGAAGCTGAGGCTCCAATACTCTGGCCACCTGATGAGAAGAGAAGACTCCCTGGAAAAGACCCTGATGTTGGGAAAGATGGAGGGCACAAGGAGAAGGGGACGGCAGAGGACGAGATGGTTGGACTGTGTTCTCAAAGCTACCAGCATGAGTTTGACCAAACTGCGGGAGGCAGTGGAAGACAGGAGTGCCTGGCGTGCTCTGGTCCATGGGGTCACGAAGAGTCGGACATGACTAAACGACTAAACAACAACAAAAGATTGCCTCCACATTTCCATCTCAGTCTTCTTTTAGGATTGAGGAGACGAGTGAGCAAGGAAGAGTATTTCATGTTCACAAACACGAAGGCCAGATTGTTTAGTGTCTTGTGTCCTTTCCTCGGCAGAAAAAAAAAAGCCTCTCATCTAATGTCACCCTAATTGCCCAATTTAATTGCATTGTAGCAGCTGATTGTTAAGTATCCTTGCTAAAGCTGTTTAGCTGAAATTGGATTTGCAGTTCAGAATGAAAAATTAATTCATGCAGAGTTTATTTAAATTAAAGAGGCAAAAGCAGCCACCCGTCATCCTCGTGCTCAAGAGATTCAAACAGATAGATGCCTGAAATGAGCTGCATTGAATTGCAAAGAGCCCTCTTGCAATCATCCTAGGTTTGTTGAAGTTGTTCGGTGTTAGGCTACCCAGCGGAGGCATGTCAGCTCCCATCAATAAGCGGGTGAATTATTCTTGCCCTCACAAACCCTTTTATTATTTGCAATTTAATTCACGATGCTGCATTCTAATACAATCAGGAGACAATTTTCTTTTAATTGCAACTTTGGGTACTTTCCCATGGCCTGAACAGGGATGAGGTCATGGTTGACTTTATTCTGCATATAATCCATGAACATGTAAAGAGAAGGGAGTTTGTGTGATGATTCGTGTGAAGATAGTAGGAGAGAAGAACCACTGTGGGGATTGTGGCTTCAGTTCTTGGACTTCAATGTGGGAATTGTGTTGGCCTACTAATGTTCTATATAACAGTATTCAGTAATATGAAATGTGAACCCCTTTCCTCTCTTTATTATTAAAAACTAGAGTGGCATTCAGCTAATATTTACTCTGAGCAGACCCATTGAAATTAATAGACTTAGCCATGCACATTAATTTCATGAGTCTACTCTGAGTAGTTAAATACAACCCCTAATCTTTTATCTACAACATCAATTACACATTTAGTCCCGCTAAACGTTTCCTACAAGAAAATTGATCCTTGGCTATTTCCTAGCAAACATCACTTTTCCAGCTCCTCTGTTCAAAAACTGCAGCTCTTGGCTTTAATCTAACATGTTTCCTGGGCTACATGTTATTCAAACTGATTAGTCAAATCACTGAATGAACCCTCTTGTTAATCTGAATTTAATTGACATTTCACCCCAGTTTGGCAGGAGCCGGCCTCCCTTGCTTATCCTTCCAAGAGCTGAGGACAAATCTCAGGATGGCCTTACACTCCCCAGCACAGCTAAGATTATAGCCTGCCTCTCTTAACTGTTGTTCATAGAGGTAACAGCAGCATTTCCCTAACGCTAAGGAGAAGCTTGAGTTGAATTAAGAAACACAGTTTTTACTTTGGAAAATATTGTTTTCTTTTCTCTCTGTGTTATCTTATCCTCTTCATAATCCAGGTAAAAATAATAATTCAGAGTGGTTCTACACATTACACAGAATGGGGCAGCTGAAAGGTGTTAGAAGTCAATTGTGCCAGCTAATTGAAATTGAGGGTCAATATTTTTTAACACACACACACAAACACAAATACACAGCTTGCATCTAATAAAACTATTATTCATTCTGCTGCGCTAGTTTACCTAGTGTGGGGAGCTCCTTATATTAGGAATCATTCAAACACATGAAAACCTCCCCTGCAGTCTGAAGTGGTGCAGTCCAAAATTCTATTGCTGAATTCTGCAGCCATCCTGTATTCTAATTCTGATTCAGTTGTTCGGGTTTACGTAGCTAAAAAGGCACCATGCAGAAAAAGAACAAGGCACCTGAAGAGTCAAGCTAATCCTGATATTTGCAACAGTTATGAAGAAAAATATGGGGCAAATTACCTAAAGGATGAAGATTCATATTGTTAAATCTGCTCCATTATGGAGAGCATTATCTTTATGTGACTCTTCCTTATGTGTTAAATACCAAATTTCCCCATGGAATGGCATGTCCAAAGAGAACAATCCTTCCATCTAAAGTAAACTAGTCCCATTAAAATCATTTAACAAAATTGCAAGGCATTTCACCCACCCCACCCCGCCCTTCATGCCATTGCTTTTCCACTTCCATGGTCACAACTAATTTTTGCTGAATTGCATCCTTGCAAAGCTCGGTTTAAGGTAAGCTCATATTCCTACATGGATAAAAATCCCCACAATAAAAGAGTAATATGTCAAAAGGTCCGTAGGCCACATTCACATCATACATGTAAAGCGCTATTGTACCACTTTCAATAGTCATGGCTTCCCCCAAATAATTCTGGGAGCTGCAATTTGTTAAGTATGCTGGGAGTTGTTATGAGACTCCTATCCCCCCCCCCAAGCTACAGTTCCCAGAGTGGTTTAACACTCCATCCCTCTTCACAACCTTGGGAATTGTAGCTCTGGGAGGGGAATAGGACAAATGGGACCACAGTTATAGCATAGTAATATATTTAAGACTAAGGCCATATTCATACCATCCATATAAAGCACTATGATACCACTTTAAACAGTCATAGCTCCCCCCCCCCAAAGAATTATAGGAACTGTAGTTTGTTAAGTGTGCTGAGAGTTGTTGGGAAACTTCTATTCCCACCACAGAGCTACAATTTCTACAGACAAGCCAATTTAGAACTCAAGAGTATTTGAATTTTCAATGACTTTAAGGAAACTAATTTGGTTTAACTCAAGAGGAGCTTTTTGTTGCATCTTAAGTAAAACTCTCATTTGCCCTGCTACAGATCACTGCAAGAACGGGTACCCTCTTCTAATCTAGAAATAACTAGGCTTAACTCTGGGTCATTGAAGTAAATTTGCCACAGTATGGTCTCACCTGGTGCTCTTCAGGAATTCTATGGGTTGGTCTGCACAGACATGCACTTCACTTTATTGCTCAACACTTGATTCCTTGATGAACGCATAAGCCAAAAGCATTGTGCTCATGCGGATATGAGAGCAGTAGTGAAGTAGCAAATTCAGATGTGCAGGGTGCCTTCCTCACAGCCATGATTATACAACCTTCTAAGATTATACAATAATCTTATAATTATACAATAATAATAATTAGGGATGCATGGCAATGATCAATGCAGAACTCTGTGTTCTGCCTTTCAGCTAGATCTACTGTTTTTTGTACACATACATGGGCAAATGATTTGTGGTGCTGCAATAACCTCTTTCAAAATGACTTGAGCTGTGTTTTTCATGAAGGTCCATTGTACATAACAAAACTTGCACACCATTCCCTTGAAACTGAAGCATCTTGTGTTTTCAGTGTTCCCAAATGCTTAGTTTTGGAGCATACAGCTGCTAAGAGGTTCCCCCTTTTTTACTGATTGGGCAGCTCTAGGATGCTGGAGACATGGAATCTGCTGCAAAAATAGTAATAGGACCCCCATCCCACAACCCCAGGCCATTGCACCAGTGTATGAGAGTTCTATTTACAATGCTTGATCTTCAGTTGCACACTCTGCAATTAACACTTGATGCTGTGGTGCCCAAGAGATCAGTGTGCATGTGTGAGCTTACCCTGAACCGAACCAGACCCTGAGAGCATCACCTGAGGCCCTTCTTCACGTGCCCCCTCCACAAGAGTTATGGAGGGTTGCAACACAAGAATGGGCCTTGTCTGCAGTAGCTCACTCTGTGCCTTTGTTACAGGCAAAAACATTCCTCTTCTTTTAGGCCTTTGGCTAATTAAACAATCTATGGCCTTTTAAAGTGGGGTGGGGTATTGTTTTGCTTGTTCCTATGTTATGTATTTTCCTGTTTTCATACTGTAAACTGCCCAGTGATCCTCAGATGAAGGGTGGTATAGAAATTTAATAAATAAACAAAAACTTGTGGGTCAAACTGAGAGAGGCAAAGTTACTCCATACATTTGGGAGAAACCATAGTGATACAAGTACGAGTGGGAAGAAACCTGAGCAGATAGCAAGACAAAAGCAACTTGCAGACAGCCGTGAAGAAGATGGGATGTTCTCTGCATAACCTTAATAATCTCCAAACACACTTATAACAAAGATCTTGAATTCATCTCTTAATGCCTAGAGGAAATTTTCATCCAAAGGCAGCGTGACATTGAGATTAGCTTCTGATGAAGGCAGCCAAGTTGGAAGGAGGGAGAAAAGCCAACACCTGGCATTTCAATTTATCTTACCTTTCATGTAATTTATTCAGTAAATAAATAGCTGATTACCACAATAAGCTTTCCTTGGCTTTGAGAGCTGGACTGACTATTGGAGGCTATATAATTGAAAGCCTGCGTATGTTTCAAAGGGAGGGGGGAGAGGGCAAGAGAGAACCTCTTGAAACACACAGCTGGATGTTTTAGTGGAGAATAACATTCTTTATACTCCATAGACTTTTCTCTTAAATCTCAGCTGTCATCGCTGGGTAATATCCCCACCCTATCAGATGTCATGGATGCCCCAAATTTCCCATCGCCCTCTGTCTACTTAAAATGCTTTTGCTTTCTGTCTAATTGGTAGAAGATCAGATAGTGGCTGTCTTCAAATGAAGTCTGTTGTTTTTAGAATGTTAACAGTCTGAAACAGAGCATGACAAACAATCCAACCTCTTCAATTGTTTCAGTATATCTTGAGGGTAGGTGTACTTCTACTGGGGCTAGGATCACCAAGGATGGAGCCCCTGTTGCATTACCAGAGCTCCTCCACAGCAGAAAATGAGATGCTTTGAAGCTGGCTCAAAGGCCTTAGAAGGTATTTCATGGCCAGGATGTCGGTGGAATTTTAGTATCTTCCACATCATTCCATGGGCCTCCAGAAACAACAGGACTAACTGTTCACCACCACCAAACAGTAAAAAGGATCCCAGGTAGCCGAGCTGAGAAAGAACTGCAGCCAGTGACAGCAGACAGTACTGAGCTACATGAACCAGTTTGGAACAAAGCTGTTTTCATATATTCAGCAACGAAACAGGCATAACCCTAAATAGATTCCCTACTTTATAAGCAATCCAGGTACCAGGACTGAGGTTGTTCTTTTAACGGTAGACATGTAAAAGAAGAAAACAGGACCCAATTCAACCCTAACTAAATCCTATTGAAATAGGGGTGTGTGCAAAGTTACAACGCATACAGTTAAGTGGGAGTAATCCACTTAACTCAGAGGCTGTATGTTCAAATGATTTCAATATTATTTAAAAGCAGAAGAGCCATGCAGGATCAGGCCAAAAGCCCATTTCGTCCATCCTGTTCTCACAGAATGCCTATGGGAAGCCCTCACACAGGACTCAAGTGCAATTTATTTATTATTCTAAAAGCTTTATAATACAACTTATTTTGAAAGGAACTCAAGGCAGCTTACATCATACAAGATAAAAATGGATATTCATCAGTCGCACATCAACCAAGTATCGTGGAAGAACAGCATTAATGGAACAAACCAAGGATTCAAATAGCAAGGGTCAGCCATTATAAACAGCAAGCAAAAGAGAACATAGCTTGCAGAGTGGTGGGTCAGGAGTGGTCTGCCTTGTGGATTGGCCAATGGTCAAGTTCAAGGAATAGCCCTCTGCAGAGTCCAGGCGAGAGCCCTTTGTAGCCAATACAGCAAAATGGCTTCAGAAACCTCAAACAAGCCTCACCAAACTTACTCTACTGTAAGCTCCTATTAGAGAAGACAGAGACTGTAGCTGAAAACCATCCAGCCACATCAAAAGGCAATGCTGCAAATAAAGGGAGGGCCAGTGCTCAGCCCCCAAGTGGAGCTTGGAAGCTCAGCATGCCTGTTTTGCAATTTAGGTGATCAGCTGAGCACCCTACCCCAGAATTGAATCAATGTCTGCTTCATCTAGGAGCTCTCCTAGGTCCTGCACCACTTCACTTCGCCCTGCTATGAGGATCTTGTCTGTTGACTGTTGCATGCTGACTGGCAATAAATGACTCCAGCTGCAGTTGAGCCTGAGTTCATTCAAATTGTATTTAAATATATATCCATTAATAAAAATAGCATACAAAAATGCATTCTGTCAGGGGGGAATTGGGAAAATGCATATACTAAGCAAAATTGTATTCAAAGAAATTGTGTGAAAATGCATATGAATTTTCATGCAGACTTTTTATTTTTAAAAAAAGAAAAGACATATGCAGAAATGTTCAAACCAAACTTAAAGACTGGGGAAATGCGAAACTAAGATAAACCAAAATGAATAGATTTGCCCATTCCTAGCTGTATCTCATTAAGTACTTCCTTTATGTCTCTCACACCCTAAACATGACTGGTGCAAAGCTTTAGTCTGCCATCAGTTTCATTTAATACATTTCTTTCAAACTGTAACACTTAAAAACCATAACCAACGTTATAACATAGTCTGCTTTCATCTTTTGCACATTAGTGTTGTTATTGCCTTTAAAAAAGCAGCCTGTGTTTTGTTTCCAAATTAACAACATCCAGTTTTAAGAAACAAAATTTAATTAAGAGAACTTGGAGTTAATGCTGCAATCCTACACATGTCTTCTCAGAGATAAGTCTTACTAAGTTCAGACTTATTCCTGGGCAGTTTATGTAGGATTTCAGCCTCAATTATTTACATAAGAAAACTCAATTAACAGTGTAATCCTAAACTTGTCTCCTTAGAAGTAAATTATACTGATTTCAATGGTGCTTGTTTCCAGGTAAGTGGGGTAAGAATTGCAGCTTTAATAATCTAAATCTGGTTTAAAGACGCAACAGAGTTGATGAAGAGATGAATTGCTCTTCTTGTTGTGTGTGTTTTTGAAACAAATATATTTTCACAAGCGAAGTATCTCGTTCCTTACAGCTACTTTAGGCATTTAACTTGTTACTACATGACTGCAACTATAGTCCCTACTGAAATGAGCATTTCCCCCCCTAATTTTTTTGTCACATCATTAATATCTTCATTCAAAGATCACACATCTTTACTTCAAATAAGCCATTCAACCATACAGTCAACATCATATGACCTCACTTACAAACAACCTTTGACAGCTGGCAGAAGGGTGAGTAATGGCGTTCCACCTGCCCTCTCCGAGAATTCTTGCATACTTGCTTTATATCTTGGCTTTGAATGATCACATTGCAATCAGTAACCTCCTAAATTTACCAATGATTTTCACAAATGCATTAGCTTTCCTACTTAATTCAGTTTTGTTTGTTTGTTTTCAAACAGAATTGCACATTTAAGCAGAGAACATCCTTTTTAAAAAATATAGAAATAGAGGCTGAAGAAATCTTGGCTCCCATCCAGTTCTAGTCATGGGCAACTAGATGAGTGTTAACAACTGGTGGTCTCAGGTGAGGATGCAGACCCCAAAGCAAATACGAAAATCTAATCAGACCGTTCAGTGGAATCTAGATGTTCAGAGCAGTGCAGATCCATACTAATGCAAGTGGCAGCCCCTATATGGGGCTGCCCTTAAAGACTATTCAGTGGGGGTAGATAGAGTAGCCCATTTCAGTTCCTAAGTGGTTACATATTGAACTAGTTCCACACTGGCTGCCAGGGACATTCCAGGCTCAAAAGATTTTTACATTTAAATACCTTCATGGCTTGCAACCAGCATTATCTTCCAAAGCTCCCTCCTCCTGCATGAACACACTCTCCTTTTAAGATTTGCATTGAGAGTCATGCTCCAACTGCTCTCCCTTTCAGGAGTTTACATTATAAATAGTGTTGAACAGGACTTTCTTGACCATTGTCCTAGCTTTGAAGAATCACATCTCCCAAAAGGTTCATCAGCATTCTTTCCTCTGTGCTTCAGATGTATTTGCAAGGTCCATCTGTTCTGGAAGGTCTTCCTCAACATGATGCCTTCAAGATATTTTGGACTACAACTCCAATAAGCCTCAGGGACAACAGGAGTTGTAGTCCAAAACCTCTGGAGGGTATTAATTTAGACCAGTTAGATGGAGGGACAGATGTACTTTAAGAATGGAAGAGCCTGCTTGGTCAAACCAATGGCCCATCAAGTCCACCATACTATTCTCACAATAGTCACCCAGATGCCTGTGGAAAATTCTCAAGCTGAGAACAAGAGCACTCTCATCTTCTATGGTTTCCGGCAACTGGTATTTAGAAGCATGACTGTCTCTGAATGTGGAGGAAGAGCATAGCCATCATGCCTAGTAGCCATTGATAGCCTTATGCTCCATGAATTTGTCCAATCTGTGGCCATCACTGCCTCCAGTGGGAGTGAGTTTCACAGTGCGCTGCATGAAGAAGTATTTTCTTTTAACTGTCCTGAATCTCCCAACTTTATTGGGTCCCATGGCTTCTAGTGCTATCAAAGATAGAAGAAACTCTATCTACTTTCACCAAGCTATGCATAATTTTATAAATGTCTATCATGTTGCCTCTTACTTGCCTTTTCTCTAAACTACAAAGTCCCACTTTGGTTTTGACAGTATTACTGTTTTAGATTTTCAGGTTTATAGTTCTAGGGTTTACTTTTAGTTTGTTCTACTGTATGAAATTGATTTAAATTGATGTTGTAAGCAACTATGGAAAAGCTGGATAGGAAAATTATAAATTAACCAGCTCACAGACCTGCTTCAGGATCTTGGATGCACATGTAGAATGCCTGCTGAAGGACCAGGAAGACACATTTTCAAATGAACTTCGCTGGGTGATCTGGGACCAATAACTTTCTCTTACTCAGCCTTGCCTACCTCACAATGCTGCAGGGAGAACACAGGAGATTGGGAAACACGAAAGCTGTCCTGATCTCCTTCAAAGAATGGTGGGAAGCAAATGTAAAAATAAATAATTCATGAGTCCCAGCAGCCCAAAGTAATACAGTCAGGATTTATTTTATACATGTCTACTCAGAAGTAAATCCCATAGCGTTCAATGGTATATGAATATAGCCATGCCACTAAAGGGTGGTATTTAGCTAAGTTACTCAGATCAGACTCACTGAATTAATAGACCTAACTAAGTCATGTTCATTAATTTCAGTGAGTTTACTCTGAGTAAAAGCTGAGTACCATCTGAAGTGGTCTAGCAAGTTAACTTTTACTTACGAGTACACCCACTGAAATAAATGGATGTTAGTTGGTAATGTTCATTATTTTCAATATATCGACCCTGAGTAGAATAACACTGGATATAAACCATAGAATTCTTTCAGATCCACCATCACTGGAATGGAGACAGGTTTTTTTCTTTAATGCCCATCATAAAACTCCAGTGAGTTGTAGTCATGGATGGCTAACAAGAGCCAACACAGTCAAAATCATCTGGACAGGAAGCCAGCACTCTTTTGAGGGCCAGAAATATTACTGGAAACTCATCTTTCCAAAAATTATTATGCCTCAAGTTTGCTTCCGGCTACTAGGTCAAAGTGCTTACATCCAATTAATGATATACACCTACGTCTACCCAGAATATAATTTAGTTGTGACTATACTTTATTGCTCCAATAATCCTTTGAAGACCAATCTAACAGTCATTGTGGATCTTTTATTAAAAGTGCTACTTTATAACAAATGCCACAGTCTCCAGTTTTACCAACAGACTCCTCTAAGCAGCAAACACACCAAAAACAGAGGGGGAGGGTTTCAAAGACACTAGCTAATATGCTTTTCTTTACAGTGGAGTACTATGGCCTGAATGTCACACAATATGTATTTTATAGCAAGAGACATAATTAATAGCAAAACAGGAATATGCTTCAAAGAGCCCTCACCCTTTTTTATGTAGCATATCAATATTGTGATAAATAATGTATTTGAAAGCACCCTCAGATAGTAAAATCTATATTTATCTCAACAAGACAAATTCTCGTTTTCAATGTCTATTCTAGTTTTCATACAGATCTTTGCATGAAAAAGTATCTGATGAGGCACCGTAAGATACTGAGTGGGGAAAAGGCATCTTGTTGTGATTTATCAAATGCATAAGAACCAAGAATGGCTTTCTGTTCCCATGGTGTTCAGATCTGCACACAAAGGCCATGCTTGCCTGACAATGGCAATGCAATCATATTCTCTCCCAGGGAGGAAATCAAAGCTACTTTGCTCCTCCACCATCTTTTTAGCGCATCTCAGAGTGGCACAACAGCTAAGCCAACGTTCCGCTTAGTGTGTCTTCCAAATGCAAGATTGTGGTTAAACTCTCTCCTCTTTAACCATGATTGGTAGCCAGGAATAAACCATGATGACTTCTCTATGAGATTTTCATGTTCTGCGAAACCTATGGTCCTATTGCTCTGATGCTGTGACCAGAGATGGTCAAAGGTATGTTGGTGCTTTGAGCAAAAAAAATCCAAATGGTGAGCCTTCTTCCCAGTGGGGCATAAATACATAATAATGAACTACATATCTGTGCATCATTAATAATGAACTACATATCTGTGCATTAAGGGACGCGGGTGGAGCTGTGGGTTAAACCACAGAGCCTAGGACTTGCTGATCAGAAGGTCGGTGGTTCGAATTCCCGTGACGGGGTGAGCTCCAGTTGCTCGGTCCCAGTTCTTGCCAACCTAGCAGTTCGAAAGAACGTCAAGGTGCAAGTAGATAAATAGGTACCGCTCTGGCGGGAAGGTAAACGGCGTTTCCGTGTGCTGCTCTGGTTCGCCAGAAGCAGCTTATTCATGCTGGCCACATGACCCGGAAGCTGTACGCCGGCTCCCTCGGCCAATAAAGCGAGATGAGTGCCGCAACCCCAGAGTCGGCCATGACTGGACCTAATGGTCAGGGGTCCCTTTACCTTTACCTTATCTGTGCATCAAGTCTGGGTGCACAGTAGAGCTTTGAGGTCCTCTCCCCTCCACACACACACACGACGAGGGGAGTTATTCTGTCTGAGAATCTAATTCCATACCTCCCTTTTGCAACACCAGTGGAGAAGAAATGGGATCTTCCTTCCTAGAGAGAATCTCTTTTCTGTAAAGAATGTTATAGTATGCCAAGGTATAAAACTTCTGGGTTTGCTAATGGCTACAGGAATTTGAAATGTGTGTAGTTCAGGAATGAAGAACCTGTGGCCCTCCAGAAATTGCTGAGCTACAGCTCCCACTATCCCTTACCATTGACAATAGTGGCTGGGGTTGATGGGAGCTGGAATCTAACATCTTTTGGAGAACCATAGGTTCCCATCCCTTATATAGTTTTGTGGGGCTGGAACACAGATACAAATGAAACTGCAGTCTCTTTGGGTACATTTATGAAGTTCACAATCAGAGAGAGGAATAACATCACATTCTCTATGGAAAATCAGTTATTATTTGGGGAAGCCAGGATGTGCTGAATGAAACATCTGTTTGAGAAGCAGAGGAAGAGTGGAATAAGGCTCCTGGTGTGGTTTAATTCTTTTCCTAATTCTTTTTTTTTTTATGTTCCAGTGCTTCTATGTGTAATGAAAGAGCCTACGCAATTGCCACACTAATCATTTATAATCAGAAAATAGACAAGTCCCATTGTATAACTGAACCAGCAATATAGCACCATCTGGTGTGTGAAGAGTGAAGATGCAATATGGGAAAAAATGCAAATGCAGTTTTGTAATGAACAAGAAGAGAAGGAATAGCAAAGTGTGCAGTTTTAGGAGGAGCCACCACATGGCTTGCGGCAAAAGCGGCAAAAATTATGGCAATTTTCAAAATCACCTGGTTTTTGTTCAATATATGCCACAGTTATCAGACTTCTAATGCAGAACATTTCTGTGAAAGTATTCCGCAAAACACCAAATAATTGGCCAAATAAGAACACTGGGAAAAGGAGTGAAAAGCAAATAGAGCTCATTTTCCCCACCCTTGCTCCTCACTCCCACAGAAAGCATCTGAGTTGCCAGAACTGATTATCCAGATCACCCTTCCTAATCTGGTGCCACCCAGATGCTTTTGGATTCTAGTTTCTGGTATCTCTGACCAGTGGCTGTGCTAGCTGGGGCTGATGGGAGCTCTAGTCCAAAATATCTTGAAGATCACCAGGTTGGGAAGAGTGTAGGAACAGTGAAGACAAAAGGCACTGTGGGCAGCTTTAAGGGAGGCAAAAGGAGCAAGGACTGACATAGGGATGCATAAAGTCACAGTCTTTCCCAACCTGATGCCCTCCAGATGTTTTGATGACCATTCCCATCAGCCCTGGTGTCATATAACTGTGCTGGCTAGGGCTGGTGGGAATTGTAGTAAAAAGGAAAGGGAAAAAAGAACACCTGGATGGTATCAGGTTGAGGACAGTTGCCTTACACCAAGTCATACTGCTTGTCCATGCAGCCCAATATTGTCTACTCTGAAGGTGCATCTTCATGGTCTTTCCCATCAAAAACTACCTGGTCCTTTTTAACTGCAAATGCCAGAGGCTGAACCTGGTGCTCTTCTTGATGGGCTTGGTCCAAACAATGACAAACTATTGGTGCTTTACTATTCCAATTTTAAAATATGATGGGATTGGATTGCGGATATAGGGTATTCTACTTCGTGTATTTTGCACGCACCCAAAATGCTCAGTTGATGACTGCAACATGCATACATGACATTAAATGATGTTTCAGCATTGTTTGGAAGCTTTCTGTTTTTCAACTAACGAAGGTTTGTTATTTCAGAAACTGGAACTGTGGTTAATTATAACTATGGTTTAGGGGGGGAACCTCTGGCTCACAGACCAATTGGGAGCCTAAAAATGCTACGCTGATGGTTTCATAGCAAGTAAGACTTGCTGTCAAATGCTAATCAGCCAAAGCAGGGCTTACTGTTAGCACAAATGATCCTTTCAATTGCTTTCCTGAATGCAAGCTAGCAATGCAAAGGCTCTTCCTCATAGCCTAATCTAAGCCCACAAACATAAGTGAACTAAGGATCCAACCCACTGGCTGTAAAAGGTTCCCCACCTATAAAAATAAGCCACTTTGCTATATAGTATACAAGCAAGAAGTAAACTTCCTTGCACTTACACATGAGACCGAGTGAGATTTTCTTCATGTTTGGAACTAATTTACTCCTAGTTTAACCAGGAGTTAGTGAAAAGATAAGTGGGGAGTGTAATACATTATCCTAATGTAAGTAGAAGAAAAAGTAATATGTAAACTGAGACAGGAAGTCTATGATATTTTTTATACACTGGGTCTGATTTAAGCATCCTTGTCTCACAATTGAAGTGATTAAAGCTTGGTAAGGGAGTGATTCCTTCTTGAAATCCATATTCATGAGGACCTCCTCAAAATCTGATGTTATTCCATGTCTTTTATTCTTGATTAATTTGGAGCGTTCTCATCATTGCAGATACAGATTAGAATCATCACTGGTCCTTCACACACTCTTTACAAGGGGTTAGAAATGCTTCGTTCTGGCAGGTTTTAATCACCTTCTTTCCTTAATAGAAAGTCCAACTGTTACCCCAACTGTTCTAATTTTGGACCAGGATCCCTATTTATTTTCATTTCATTTATGCATTCGCTTACCCCAATTTTCTGAGGCTTATGCCCCGCTCATAGTAGCTTAAGGTTTTTTTTTAAAAAAAAATGTAAATTAAAATTACTAATCACCATTAAAACAAATCAGTAAAATAAAATACAAAGACAGATGTAACAGATAATAACTGCCCTCAACATAGGCGCTTATGTAAGGCAGTGCAGAACATTTTCAGGCAAAGGCTGAAATTCTAACCCCGCTTAACTGGGAGGAAGCCCTACTGAATTGAATAGGACTTACTTTTTGAGTAAACGCGATTAGGATTAAGCTTCTGGTGTCAATTTTGCTCAAGGATGGCCTAAGACATTTTGTTACCTGAGGCAGAAAAATCCTACAACTGCCCCTTCCTGGGAGTAAAAATGCTACAATAATAAATAAAATAACTAAGATTTTGTTGCCCCTTCATTATACCCCAAACATTATACCGCCTCATTCTTCCTAATGGTAGAACCTGCCCTGAGTCTACTAGTCTCAGGTGAGCTCCAAACAGATGGGCAGGTTCCTGAGCCTCTTGGGCTTGCCGATCAGGTCGGCGGTTCGAATCCCCGTGGCGGGGTGAGCTCCCGTTGCTCTGTCCCAGCTTCTGCCAACCTATCTGTTCAAAAGCATGCCAGTGCAAGTAGATAAATAGGTACCACTGTGGTGGGAAGGTAAATGGTGTTTCCGTGTGCTCTGGTTTCTGTCACAGTGTTCCGCTGCGCCAGAAGCGGTTTAGTCACGCTGGCCACATGACCCAGAAAGCTGTCTGTGGACAAACGCCGGCTCCCTTGGCCTGAAAGCAAGATGAACGCTGCAACCTCACAGTCACCTTTGACTGGACTTAACCGTCCAGGGGTCCTTTACCTTCTACCTTTGCTACGTGGACTTATTTGGTAGGCATGAATGAAGAAGGCAGCCAGATTATCTCCTCATATTCAGACCAGGTACAGGTGGATTGAACTAAGAGAGCAAGGTACTAAAGGTCACTTTGAGAGGCCTGCTTTCCATTCTCACATATGTCCATTGCATGAGACACCCAAAGCAAGAGCAGCTGGCATGGTGGTGCAATTGGGGCTGCCTTGCTCTTCCGACTTCCCAACCTCGCATGTCCTGTAACTTACTGAGAAGGGGACAGGAAAGGGCAAGGCAACAAAAAGCTCAGGTTGGTACAGGTACAGAATTAGGAGCCCTGGATTGGCCCTGCCACTACTGACTCCAGACTCCCTCCCAATTCTGCTTGGGATAGGACTAAGTTGTCAGAGGTCAAGGAGTCTAAATGAAACTCAACTCACACCCAAAAGTGGGTTCAGAGAGATTCTCAATGAGCCAAAACTGAACTCAAACCTAAGACCCCTCTTGGTTATCTTGACTCCTATCCTACATTTTGTGTTTGAGTGTGAAGTGTAGGGAGGGCTGTAGCTCAGTGGTAGAGAATGTGCTGTGGATACAAAAGGTCCCACCTCAGTCCCCAGTATTTCCAGGTAGGTCTGGAAGAGACCACTGTCTAGAACCCTGGAGAGCTGCTATTAGTCAATGTAGACATACTGAATGTATCTATATAGACCGATGGCCTAACTTCGTATAAGGCAACTTCTTATGTTCCTAATACAGGCAGAGTCCATGTAAATGTAGATGGCTTGATCATAACACCAGCCAAGTTCAATTTGTATTTTTGTTGACATTCTTAATCTAACTTATTAAACTCTAGACAAATTTTCAGTTCAAACTTTGCATTTAGACTGAAATTTCAGATCTGGTATGCTGATTTAATTTTATTTTTTTTTTTGAACATGCAATTGGGGGAAAGTGTATTTTGCTGGAGAGCAGGAAAACCAAAAGGTGGGGTGTTTGGTGCAGAATTCAGTTTCCTATAAATCTCATATTTCATTTTTTTAAAAAAACCTTATGGTGGATTAGAATAAATCTACTCTGGATCATGTGTGCTGTGGTACTGAAATTGTAGTGCTGTTGCCATGTTGTTTTTATGCTTTGTTTCACTGTTTAAATATTATTTTAACTGACTGGTTTTACTGATTGCATTAGAAACTGTTTGTAGAGGAATATATAAACATGGAAAGCAAATAAATAAAGAAGGCTGATTGCAGAACAATTGATGCTTTTGAATTATGGTGCTGGAGGAGACTCTTGAGAGTCCCATGGACTGCAAGAAGATCAAACCTATCCATTCTTAAGGAAATCAGCCCTGAGTGCTCACTGGAAGGACAGATCCTGAAGCTGAGGCTCCAATACTTTGGCCACCTCATGAGAAGGGCAGATCCTGATGTTGGGAGAAGGGGACAACAGAGGACGAGATGGTTGGATAGTGTTCTCGAAGCTACCAGCATGAGTTTGACCAAACTGCGGGAGGCAGTGGAAGACAGAAATGCCTGGCGTGCTCTGGTCCATGGGGTCACAAGGGTCAGACACGACTAAACAACTAAACAACAACAACAACTTTTAGCCCTCATGGTTGCAGATATATACTTGGAAAAGTGTGTGAAACACTTGCTGCAATTTTTGGAAATAAAAAAATTGACAGTATAATATTTCCAAAATAACATTTAAATTCCAGTTTAATTACCAGTTGGATAAAGAAAAAACTGGTCCCTGCAGCTCAGGCCTAGTCAAGTTTGTTACAGCTCAATGTAATGCTGTCCGTTTTGGTGTCAACAGCCACTGCAGTGCTTGAATTACAGGGTCAGGGGCTTACATTTTGCAATAGTCCCTGTACCTACTGTTTCTAGAAAGCTATGGAGGACATGATTTGGCCAAAACTGGAGAAGATATCTATGGATTAAGGCTTGTGGATTTCATTAAGTGTTCCCCTACCTAACTCCCCCTTGACTGCATTTAAGGGCATCAGCATGGGGAAGAATATGGGAAATTGTGGGCTCCAGAAAATGGGATTCCTGGGCTGACACAAGGCTGGGTTTCAGTCACAGATCATATTTTCCCTTTTCTCCTGTCTATGTCATAAAGGAGGAGCCAATGGACTGCAAGACACGTGCATCAGTTGTACAGACTTCATGCATAACCCACTCCTGATTCATCAGCTCATACTGCCGAAGATGCAAGCCTCTGTTGAGTTGAAAGAGCACCTTGCTGCTGCTGCTTCTATCAAAATTACTATGGAGAGTACTTCAAGGAAAGTGCCACTTGTCAGTAGCTTTGGAGCAATAAAATCCATATAAACCACAATCAATTTAGGGAGAATTCACTGACAGGTTCATAGAGCATTGGTCTATCAATGGCTATTCATCATAATAGCTTAAGAATGCATCCTCCAAGTTCACAGGCACCATCAGATGCAGGAAATAATCACTGGTGGGAGGTCTCCTCTCCAGCCTCTCTTGCTTTTGTGAGCTTCTAGAAGGGATCCTGTCTTTGCTTCCATTTTTCCATACATCCCCATTGGCAAGTACTGGAGCTGAAGGATCTTTGATATGATCCAGTAAGTTGCTTTCAATTTCCGCCACCCAGGGAGACTCGCCTGGTGCCTTTGTTACGTATCTTTAGGTGGCAGTCAAAATATTCCTCTTCTTTCATGCCTTTGACTAATTAAACAATCTATGGCCTTTTAAATTGTGGGGATATTGTTTGTCTGTTACTATGATACGTATTTCTCTGTTTTTATACTGTAAACCATCCTGTGATCCTCAGATGAAGGATGATAGTATAGAAATTTAATCTTAATCATAATCTGCATTGTGTCTCTGGATTCACAACCCATATTGTCTTCCCTTTCTAATTCTTTTTATTTTTCTTAGGATAGAGAGAGAGAGAGACTCCTGTTTGTTTCTTGTTTCTCATCAGGGGCTCTTGTCTAGAGTGGTTTCAGCCTGGCAACCAAAATGACGTTTAAGCAACACACTTCCTCTGATTTCCATCTCAGCTTTATGACCCTGAACAAGTTTATCTAATAGTGTGGAACAATATAGTTTTGAAAGGCACAAGAATGCTTCATCCTTAATGTGGAAATGCTTTCAGATGAGTGGCAATGACAAACAGGATGCTATGCAAAGATGTTTATAGGGCTGTTTACCAGAATGCCATTATTATTACCATGCTATAAACTGCAAAAGATTGTAGCCAGACTAGCAACGAAAACTTCAAAAGAACTGGACAACCATATTAGCAACTTCCTAGAAACCAGGGCTACTTCTGCAGGCTCTGAAGTTATGTGGTTGAATTTTCTACAAATCCTCAATACCTCAAAGAGGTGAATCACACTAGGTCCTTAGTTCTTCTGCACTGGTTCAGGACTGTCATGCCATATAGAAATGTTTCCTAAGTCAGTAGGCTAGAGCAATTTTACATATTTTCTGGCAAGTCACTGACCCAATTTGCTCATCATTTGCCTGGACATGGCCAGGGCCATTAGGGAGTCCTACCATTAGGGAGAGTGAGGCAACAGCCTTAGGTAGCAGTGGCACAACCCACAGCAATTTATTCCGAGCCCTTTGGTCATTCCCCTCTGTTGGGAGTTCAGAGCTTTGTGTACCGCAGGCGTGTCATATGTCATATGTCCACTAAACCATCCTGCAACTTCAGGTGCTGTGAATAATGCCTATGTTGAAGTACAGTCCAATCAGTTTCTGTACATAGAATATGGGAGGCAGCATCTTGACATTTGCCTCAGGCAGCAAAATATCTTTGGCCAGCCCTGAACCTGATAAAGGACAATGATCTACTGATTATTTAAGCTGGGGTATGCTGTGAACTGCCCTGCGGTCCATGGATGAAGATTGGTATACAAATTTAATAAATAATTAACCTGTGGCACTCCAGAGATTCCCTTTTTTGAAGGGAAATTCCCTTATTCCAAATAGGATTCCTCGCAAGAAAAGGGAAAAGTTGACAGCTATGTATGTAAGCAAATCAAAATCAAGTCTACCATACACAGAAAGTGGAACCCATAACTGTAGACAAGTCACACCAGTGTTGTTTCCTCCAGTTGGCATTTTCAGCTAGAGGAATAAAAAGTTTGGGAACTCTTTGAGTTCATTCACGCTACTTGGTGACCCTATGGGAAGGAGCTGTTTCTACATCAAGACTACCTATGCGACAAACATAGTAAGTATAATCATGGTAGCTTGAAGAAGTCTCCTAATCTATCTTAGGCCACACGTTCCATATTTTTTTTGACCACATCCAATCTAGGCAAGTCCAGATATGGTCTGGAAATCACTCCAACTTCATCAAATCATGGATTTTGGTACTATGCCTAGTAACTATATACTCATCCCACTATAATACAGCTCAAAGTGGCCACAATTCACGCATTAACAATGCTAAGTGAATGGCTATGGTTAGAATTCATGGGTAGTATGAAGAGATCCTGAAGGGGGCTGTTGCCCCCCACATGGCTTCGTAGCTGAGCCAACACAGCACTGAAGCAAGATGTGGGGGTGCATGAGGATTCGGTTGGGGGATGCTGAGAGCATCCCATAGCAGATTAAAGGGCAGCATCAAAGAGTGTTCCCTTCAGGTCCCAGAGGGAGGATGCGGGGGGGGGGGGGGACAAGAGCAAAGGCGAAGGAAGACAGAGGAGAGGAGAAAACAAAAGCAAGGAAAGGAGGGAGATGAAGCAGACAGTTGTGGGGAACAGGAAAAACTACAAAAAGGAAGTAGGGCTGCTGCAATAAACATACTGGAAAGAGGAGAAAAGGAATCTAGGGAAGTGAGAGACTGAACAGGTCAAAAATGGGTGGGGAAAGATGGCGTCCAGTGATGAAAAGGGGTAACCACACTCTTGCAGTAAGGTCCCACCAAATTGTTCTCTAAAGAGATCATCTGAGGTTCTTAGGACTTTTTAGGAGGTTTGTAGGAGCTGATGGACAGGAATAAAAATGACTGCGTGAATGGCTTGGAGCTTTCGCTAAAGATGATTGAATTGGTAATCAATTGGTGCATTCAAGTTGATAGATTCATTGGCTGTTTGATTAAACGTGCTTTGTTTTAAATTGTCTTGGTACTCCCTGAAGTGAACAGAGGCATGGGAAGTTTTATAAATAATATAAAATAAGTCATCATTTCAGTGATGTAAAGACCGTTTATCTTGTGCGGACTTTTTTCCCCCTTCAGGGACATGGAAAATTTTCAGGTTTTGTACAGATACAAAAATGCAGTTTACAGAAACAGGTTGACCCGATTCTCATCCTTCTTAGGAATTAGGGCTGCTTGTCATGGTGGCTGCTTCCCACTATTCCTTTCCAACCAGTAAAGGAAAGAGGGTGAACCAGAGTCATCTTTGGAAACCAACACAACTCCCAGGTATGTTTTACTGCTTGCATTTTTAAGCAGGACCTTTCAACTGGCTCACAGTTAAAATTACTGCTTCCGTTGCAACTACCAAAAGGATAAACTGCAGAGTAAATGTACAGCATAACAGTACAATGATAAAATAGAACATACTGCTTTAAGTGAGATTAATGCTTCCCACTTGGAAGGCTTCCAAACTGGTGTCGTCTAATTGAGTTAAAAACGTGTCACATTCCCCATTAAGTTTCCAATTCTTCTCATTTGCCAGCAGAAATATAAATGTCAATAAGAACCTTCCCAGTTTCAAATTGCAAACCTCAACACCACTTGCACGCTTGAGCTGCAGTGAACCTTTACAGCAGATATGGTGAATCTCTGGCCCTCCAGGTGTTATTGGACTCCAGCTCCCACCAGCTTCAGCCAGCATAGCCAATGGTCAGGAATGAAGGGTACTGTAGTCTAGAGTGGCATGGGCTCCCCATCTCTGCTTTATGGGATCAAGATGTCCAGAATGGTAGCATCAACATCAAAGACCTGGTGTCCCCTTTAACTGGAACAACATTGATCACAGTTTTAAAATATGAATTGCACATTTTAAGGCATATTCTGCCCTTTCCAGACATGCTTCGTATATTGGTAAATAAGGTGTATGGGGTGTGTTAAGGGAGGGGTATTACTTCTGGTGGGGGGACATATCACACTCCTTCTGGGGTAGTTTGTCCACCTTTGGTCCCCACCATGTGCTCAGCTCTCACCTGTGGCTCTTAGAAGCTGTCAGCATGCCAAGAGCAGGCACACCCTGAGATATGGCTTTGACTGGCTAGCTAAACCAGGTGAGGGTAGTTGATGGGTCTCAAACCCTCAGTGAGTTAGGGACTTCCCCTGCATGCAAAGACAGGCTCCAACAGATTGTGTGGCGAGACCAATGGTGGATCCAATGGTGAAGAAGGCAGTTTCTGCATGTGCTGTGGAGGGAAGTGGGGGACAGATGAGTTGCTCAGAGCAGGCCGACTGAATCATAGAGGCATGGGAGACCACCAAAAGTACCCCATCAAAAGATCTCATTGGTAGAGGTGGAGCGTAAGGAATCATACATGTCACCATAGTGAGGAAGATACAAGACAGCTTGTGTGCCTAACGAGATGCAACTGTTGATGGGCAATTTCAAGGCTTCCACTCCCCCCCTTTTTTTCTCTGAACAGCCCTCAAAAAGAGGACCCCTTCAAACAAAAAGAGAGGGCCGCTTTCTGTAAAATAGGACACACGGCGACCCTATTCTCAACCCACTATCTGGTAACTTTTTTAATGGGGGGGGTTGAAATTGTGGGTCCATCTGTATTGCAAAACATGTGCTCTACCATTGAGATATGGTCCCTCCCTTGAATTGATCCAGAGTAAATGGTATTGATCCAGACAGGAGGTAAGCTTAATATGGGGGGGGGAGGGGGTTAGCTAGAGCAGAGAGACGTCCAAGGCCTACAGCAACACAGCAAATCATAAATTCTAAATAAATCAATGTGATGTCTTTGTGTAACAACACTACTGCGTGGATAATAGGCTGTACGAGAATGTAATGTATGCTGCAGTCCCTATCGTTTCCCAACTTAGGAAAGAAAAATAACAAATGCTTGAAAACTCTGCCAAACAACAAAGCTGAGATTTTATACATGCACATCAATTTCGCCCTAAAGCCTTAAAAGCCCGAGGGTCATCCCAGCCCCTTTAATACCAAAGGGCCTAACTATGCCGCCGATCGTGCACCAAGCCCAAACCTGCTTTTGTCTGAGAAAAGATGAAAGCTCCCTAAAACAGGTGAAGGCTCCTTTTGAATCATCACCTGCAATTAAACAAAGGGAAACTTAGAGGAGGAGAGGTAAGCTGAACTCTCTTTTAAAAGACACCAGCAGAGCAGGTGGATGCTTGCCGAGGATGGCTGTGGTGTCTGCTGTCATTCTTTCACCAAATGATGTGCAGTCATGAGGATTTGCTGCACGGAGGCAACAGGTCAGTGGTGACGAAGGCTGATGAGGGCAGAGCACGGGAGGAGAAGGGAGGAGGAGAGGCAAGGGAAAAAATTGAAATATATATACACAGCCCACATATAAGACTCAATGGGAGAAGACTTGGTTGTTTAATAGCATTCCTAGATCTCTGATGAGTTCTACTTGCAAAGAGAATTTCTTTAGGACCATCTATCAGAGGTAGATTACTTCACATAGACTAACCAGAATATCGAAAATACGTACATCCTGCTGGAGATGTATATCGCCAAGAGCAGATTGTTTGCATATCTTCTGGCAGTGTGAAAAATTAAAGTAATTCTGGAATAGTGTATTTGAAAGTACAAGAAAACACTGGCTACAACTTGCCACACACTCCAGAAACAGGTTCTCTTTGCTATCTGAGGTGAGTCTGACAGACTCAGAAGCGATGGCAACTCTTCTAGAGACAACCAGAAATTGCAATATTCGCTAAATACTGGATGATTGAAGAGACCCCTCAATTGATAGACCATCTAGAGAAAGTATGGCATGTAGCTACTTCTATTAAATTGACATACTTAAGAAGAGAATAACCAACAAGAGAACAAGTTATTAAAACAATGAGCCCTTTTCATAAGGGTTGAACATACCTGAAAATAAGTTACAAAGGGAGATGCTACCCAACTCTGCATTATACACACACACACACACACACACACACACTTTTCCCATCCCTCCCTTCCCCTTTTTCTTCTTTCCTTCTCTTTTTCCTTTCTCTCTTCTTTCCACCTTTCTTTTCTCCTTTCCTCCCCCTTATTTGCCTCTTCTCCCATTTTTTTCTTCTCTGGTGTTTTCTAGGGAGGGCATTCCACAAACAGGGAGCCACCAACAAAAAGGCTCTATTTGTTGCTAACATATAAAGCCCTACACAGCTCAGGTCATCTGAGAGGCCACCTGATCCCTTATATATCCAAAGATATCAGAAACTTGTTTCACAGTAACTCAGAGCAGGGCTCTCAGTGCGGTTACCTCTGTTTTGTGGGATAGCATTCCTGTCAAGATAAAACAGACACCCACTTTCCAGACACCCACATTCCAGAAACAATTGAAGACATTTTTGTTCTGATGCATTTTTTGAAGCTGGATGTATAAGTTTCCTCACTGGGTGTCTATTTTGTTTTCATATTTTAAATATATTTGCTTTTGTGTTTTTGACTCCTTTTTGATGTTTTTGTTGCACATTGCCTTGAAATGCTTGTGTAGAAGGTGATTAATAAAACAACAACAATAATTATTTTGTCCCAATTTTGGTTAGTAACAATTATTCTTTCCTCAGTTTCACTCATATGTTCCCATGGCACTCATCCAAGGCTTTGGAATACTAAACCTGCTGAGCAGGTAACGGTAGTTACTTTCATTCTCCAGGTCTTTGCAAGAACTTGCAATTGTGGTATTTAAAACATTAACAGCATTAACTCATTAGGCCAAAGTTTGCCTCGGTGCAAATACCACAATGTCCACTCCATGGAAGCCAATAGGGAAAAAGGACTGTTTAAAAATAATAATAATTTCAGTGGTACTCAGCTCCATATTATGCCAATCATTTTGGGCCTGGCTGCAGGAAAAGAACAATCACCTGATGTCTACATAGAAGTCAGCCCCATTGAGTTCAATAGGGCTTACTCCCAGCTAAGTGGGTATAGGGTTGCAGCTTTTGTCCATTAGAGTCAATCCATTAAAAACCTTTTAATCAATTAAAAAGGTGCACTAGAAAGGTGCCAGCAAACGTCTGCTGGCCCAGGATAAATGGCTGCTAGGCTACTAACTGGAACTGGTCTGAGGGGAGACACCCTCTGATGCAGATTCACTGGCTGCTGGTGTGCTCCTGAGCACAAGTCAAAGCGCTTACTTTTCAAGCAGCTTTATATGAGGACCTGAAGTACCTGTCTTTTCTCTTCTTCGGCGATCACTCATAGCCGAGTAAGACTGTCTTCCATAAACACGGTTTTAACAATGAGTCCGTAAGTGACTGTGGAGGCCAATTCTGGATCCACATGTCCTTCCACAGTGGGGACATTGGTTTCAGAGCGGGAGTTGATCACGGTGTGGATTTGCCAAGCGTGCCTTCCTCTTAGCACGTTTCTCCCTTGCGTCCTGAGTTTGAGTGTCTTCAAAGCCCATGACACCTTTGGTAAAGGCTATTCTCCAACTGGAGTGCTCGCAGGCCAGTGTTTCCCAGTTGTTAGTGTTTATACTACATTTTTTAAGATTTGCCTTGAGACAGCCTTTAAACCTCTTTTGTTGACCACCAGTATTACGCTTTCCATTTTTACGTTCGGAATAGAGTAGTTGCTTTGGAAGATGATAATCAGGCATCCATACAACGAAGTCCAACGAAGTTGATGTTGAAGAATCATTGCTTCGACACTGGTGATCTTTGCTTCTTCCAGTACACTGATATTAGTTCGCCTGTCTTCCCAAGTGATGTGTAGAATTTTTTGCAGACACTCCTTTCGAGGAGTTGGAGATGGTGTTTATAAGTGGTCCATGTTTACAAGCATATAGTAAGGTTGGTAGTACAATAGCTTTGTAAACAAGCATTTTGGTTTCCCTGCAAATGTCCTGGTCCTCAAACACTCTGCACTTCAATCCGGAGAAAGCCGCACTCGCAGAGCTCAGGCGATGCTGGACTTCACATACCATGGTCAGAGGGCCTTCTCTGGTCCCTGTTCATGGCCACCACCACACTCATCTGCTGGCAGTGACGCTTGTTAAGTTACCTATGCATTGTGTGAATAAACCCTTGATATATTTGTAATTGTGTTTACACACTGAAAATCAAAAAACCTCTTTTGAAAAAAGATCCTTGATATAGGCTTATATATTCTGAACCTTGGAGTTCTCAGGGTGGCTTCATTCTAATGTTTTTGGAAACAGAAAAGAACAAGTGGGGAGTGCTCCTGTTCGGGATGCCTCCAGGATGTGCCCATTCCTTCCCAAGGTCAGTGGACATGCTCAGTCTTCATTTTGTCATCATCGTCCCCCACAAAGCTTTTTCCCCATCATCTCTACAGACCTTGGGGTTTCCTCAAGCCTACTGATCCTCTTCTGTGAAGATGGTACTATTCTGGCAGTATCACCACTAGAAGAATGAGTTTGCTAGAGTTCCCCCAGAAGCATGCAATGGCACTTGCTGTGTGATCAACTCCTCTCCACCAAAGCTGCTCACCAGTCATTCTGCGGCTCAGTTCCTCTTTGCTTGGCCTTCACTGGCTGTGCCCATGCCCTCTTACCCTTCTGATTCCACTAACAGGCATTTAGATTGGTAAGGAGAGGAAGAGCAGATAAACAATATAAGCTCTGCCAAGCTAGCGTATCAGTGTTGGGGGCCTCAGCAGTGGGGAAATGAGCTACCAGGGGGAAGCTGGGGACAGGGAGGAAAATCAGAAGCTCCTGGAGGGGATGACAATGGGGAGGTCAGGGAGTCCTTTAATCAGTGAATGAAATCATCAAGCCCTGATCCCTGCCAGACACACACACACACACACACACACACCCACCCTGCATTTTAGCTAAATATTGGTTCACCTGTAGCCCTATGAAAAGCAGAAGCTAAGGGGCTCAGCACAAAAAGGCCTCAGGAGCCTTGGCTTACCTGTAATTTAAGAACTCCCCCCCCCCCCAAATGGTGATCTGCACTGTCAGTGCTTTTCATCTATTCACATTTGTGTTTATACAACTGTTTTCTTAGTTTGCTGGATGGTGTCAGCAAAGAAAAATGAGTTTCTGAAGTACAGATCCCCCAAACCACACTGACCACTAGAAATGAAAATGAAGAAACACAGCCAACTCTCAGAAAACAACTAGTATTCCTGATGTAAAAGCTGGAATCTCGAAAAAGAAGAAGAAAGACCAAAAAGAACGGGAAAAGAAATGCTTCCAGCAACAACATTATGGATAATAATATGCGTCATCCACCAGATAAGCTGTTGCTAAGAAATGAGTACAGATGCGCCAACATCTCTTTAGTGCAGGAAACTGCTGGGTCAAAAATACTGAAATTAAAATACCCTTTTAAAAGATGCAGGTGTAAAACACTGGAGTTTGGTTGACAGGAGGTAGTCAATGGAAGGTTGTTGTTGTTTTATGAAAAGGAGTGGATGAGAAACATCTGTAACAAGAAAGAGTGTGCTTTAAAATGCAGAGCAAATACCCCTTAAATCTTGCTGCAAGTCAAATTCTGCTCTTGGGTGCAAGTCAATAAACACCATCGACTTCACAAAGAGACAGTTATAAATATTCAAAAGCAGAACTTGATCCAGTGTATGAGAATGACTGTACGGTACACACAGAGAGAGGGGGGGAGAGGGAGAGAGAGTTGTTATTGAGTGTTTCTGAAGGCAATGTATTTCAACATTCCAAGAAAAGAAGAGGCCTCTAGAACAGATCAACCCTGTGCTGGAACCAAGTGAAAACTACCCCCTTGCTGCAGTGCTGGGGCATGTTGTAACACTTTGCGTGTTGGTGCTCCCCTGGAGCATGACATGCAGCTACAGAATAATGAAGACATTGAATGGCTTGATTGACAGGGCTCCAGCGGCGCACAGAAAAGAACAATGATTGCAACATAGTGGCAACCCCCTCTTGGATTAAAATTTCCTTCTCATCTGCAGAATCAGGAGGATGCCAGCATTTGTAAACATGCTTTATTAAAACAGTTACCACAGTCACACATAAACGCATGCACACACACGCACACACACACACACACACACACACACACACACACAAATGTAATAAGAACTGAGGAAGGTTCATCCTAAATAGAACTCAGTGGCAAGGCTAGTCCTACTGTTAGGCAGAATGAGGCAACCGCTGCAGGTGGCAGATACTGAAGGGAAGCTGTGGAAACCCTCGGGCTGTTATTTTTATACCACTTTATAATCTCCTTTTCTCCAAACTCTGCAACCTTTGTTAATGGTATAATGGTGTTTTAAGTTTTTTAATGTAAGTCACTTGGAGACCTTTGGGTAACAGGCAACTAAGAAGTCTAATAAATAAAATAGTAAATAAATAAATGGAAGTATTTCCTGCACTTGGAGAGCCCCACCCTCTAGGAATCCAGCACCTGCCTAGTTGCATAGCTCCTTCCAGGTCTCTGCTGCTGTTTTTGTCATACTACAGTGTGATGAAATGTCAGGAACATGATTTGATAGACAGATAGAGAGATGACCCTGATGTGCCTTCTTCTGAAACACGAATCAAGTATTTCAATTTCCATGGGTTCCTTTTACAAGGGCAGCTTGTAACATGCCATAACTTTAAGGATATGATTACTGGGGACTCTTAGGTAACTCTGTTGTTGTGCCCAACAAGACACTGATGTTTTAATCACATTACTGAACGGTGTGTCTGTTTACCTTAAACCATCAATGTTCAGTTCTTCAAAGCTCTTTGTATTTGGGTTCTCACCCTATAAGCTCATAAAGCATCTAAGTTTTTTTACCTCCCCCTTCTTCCGTTCTTCAGACTGTGCAGTAACTACATTACAGTTGGCACAGCACCATAAAAACACATTGGCAGCCAAACAAATAGCACCACACGAGACCCAACATAATTGTGGGTTATTGAAAAATGCTTCCTGTACATGGCTGGAATTCCCCTTGCGAGCTGAAAAGTTTTCTTAGCTGGCCAAAGTTCACTGTCAGAAGTGCCTGCACACCTTCATGTCCTCCCCTGGAGGACACACTTGATCCATGACTTCAAAGCTCAGCCAAACGAACCTGTCACTTACGCCTTAGAACTCTTGTCCAGTGCCACCTAACCTGGAAGCCAGCTAACCCTGGGCTTGGGGCCAAGGTATCACTCACAAAATCCCACCCAGCACAAACGTAAGGAGCAACAGGGGAGGGGGAGCACAAAGGATTGAAGGAATTAAATAGGAAGGGATTCACTATCTTCTCCAAGTTACTTCTCCAGGTGACTCCCTTTACTTCTGTACCTGATAAAGCACCCTCAGCCCCCAACTGCACCAATGGTCTCCTGCACAAAGTCCAAGCCGAAAGTATTTAATGCCATCAAATTATATACTTGGTTGTATTTATGGTGTAAGTCCCTCTTGATTGCAGGTTCAGGTACTATTTATTATTGTTATAATTACGGTACTATTATTGTTTTTATTATTACTACGTACTACTGCTGCTACTAAGGGACACAGGTGGCGCTGTGGGTTAAACCACAGAGCCTAGGACTTGCCAATCAGAAGGCTGGCGGTTTGAATCCCCGCGACGGGGTGAGCTCCCGTTGCTCGGTCCCTGCTCCTGCCAACCTAGCAGTTCAAAAGCATGTCAAAGTGTAAATAGATAAATAGGTACCGCTCCAGTGGGAAGGTAAACAGCGTTTCCATGCACTGCTCTGGTTCGCCAGAAGCGGCTTAGTCATGCTGGCCACATGACCTGGAAGCTGTACGCTGGCTCCCTCGGCCAATAAAGCGAGATGAGCGCCACAACCCCAGAGTCAGCCACGACTGGACCTAATGGTCAGGGGTCCCTTTACCTTTACCTTTACTGCTGCTACTATAACCATTGTTATTACATACATAACATAATTTTCTTTGTATACCACCTTTGCGCCGTTCAAACCATGCTCAAAGTGACTTGCAACTTGAAAAAAATACATAACTACAATGTAACAAAAGTAGTGATATTAACAATAAAATATTAAAAAATACACAACCAAGTGGAACAATTTCCACATAAATCACAAGAAGATGTAAAATATACAAAAAACCAACAGCAGCAAACCCCTGTCAACAAGCCTCCAAACAACACCCCAGCCCTAGACTTTACAATTATACAATTGTATAATTGTAGAGGCAACTCTCATTTTATGCACGTTCAAGGCATGCAAAACCACGGATGCATACTCTTTTTTCAACCCCAGAAGGGGACAGAACAGGGCATGGGGCACAGGGCGAGCTTATACATGCCCCACTAACAATGACCCAAAATGCAACTCCCCAGCAAAAGGGGAGTAGCCTGTATAAGATTGTGTGTATAAGAATTTACAGTTATTATGATTATTTTTACATTTATATCTCACTGTTCCTCCAAGGAGATCAAGGAAATTTCATTATTCTTTTGCTCCCAATGTTATCCTTATAAAAACCCTGTGAGGTAGATTAGGCTGTGAGGCAGTGTCCGGCACAAGGTTACCCAGTGAGTTTCATGGTTGAGTGGAGATTTGAACCCTGGTCTCCCAGGTGCTAACCACTGCAGTCTGGTACAGACTCAATGGTGGGGGGAAATGAAATAGACAAATAATAAAATACACTCTTCTAATTTATTCTCAAACAAATGAGTTTTTAAACCCTGGTGGCTATCACAACTTATTCTCTTCTACTTTAACACTTTCTGTAAACACAAGCCATACCCCTGCAAAGGTCTTCCACCACTAGACTCAGTTCATATTTATGGTGGGTTAATTAATTCATCTGCATGCACCAAATCACCATAATCTGACGCTGAACCCCCCAGCCACCTTGAACTGCCTTGCCACTTTTACTACAGATTTATGACTCATGAGTTGTATTGCAGTTTAAATATTAATACTTCAGGCAAAACATCCTTTCCTGTTCCCCACAGCATAACATCATTGCTAATCTCTCCCCTTCATGTTAAAACATTTTCTAACTTTCAAACGGCACATGCAGCACGCAAGAACATTTTCAGCATTGCAGAACCCAGGAGTAGAATGACTAAAACCTGTGATTTATTCACCGGAGAGTTGTTGGAATTTTGGCAGTGATTTATTCTCCACAACAAGTTGCTTGAATTGCAACATGGTACCCTAATAATCCAGAGCATTTAACATTTCAACACGAACATTAGTCCTGTCATAAGTAGTAATAGTGACACCTTGTGCCTATCAGTACACATTCTAACCAGAAGTCTTGAGTCACCTATGGTTTAGTAAGGCAGTCTGGAACATAGCTGTCAACGTTTCCCTTTTTTTAAGGGAAATTCCCTTATTCCGAATAGGATTCCTCGCAAGAAAAGGGAAAAGTTGACAGCTATGGTCTGGAAGCCTCTTGCAGAACAGGGGGAAATGCTCTAAAAATCAATAAATGCATCTGCCATGATATTCTCCAAAAGCCAGTAAATAAAAACAGGTGGAGCCGACACAAGCAATCCAAGTCAGCTTTGTGACCACGTCACTGAGGACTGACTGTTGAAAGTGAGGACAGTTTAGTTGGCTAACTGAACATTTCCCCAAAGACTGCCAAAAAAGGTGTTTAGCACTGCAAAAGGTGTTCACAAAAACTGGTGGGTGTTAGTCCTTGCATCTGCCTGAACATTGCATCAACATTTTAAGTTCATACCTCGTTTTGAGTATGGCCACATTCCTACCATACATTTAAAGCATTATGATTCCCGTTTAAACAGTCCTCCCCCCCCTCCAAATTTTTCAGTAAAGCAGTTTTGTTTAGACACGCTTATTACTAGCATGTAGATGCTGATGCGTTTTCATCTGTTTTGCTATTAATTTTAATTGTTTTGTTGTTATTTCTTGCAAACCTCTTCAAGTTCATGTGGTTTATAAATTTCGTTAAATAAATAAATAAAAATAAATGCAGTGCTCCAACCATATTGCACACAAAAATACATAAACTGGGTTAAAGTGTGCATCCAAATGTATATATTAGTGAAAACAGCATACGAAAAAGCATTATATTAGGGGGAAACCTGTTTTGCAAAAATGTGTGCAGTGGACAGAATCTCATGTAAATATATGCATATTAGGAGAAATTACCAGGAAAGGCTGATGATTTTTCATTAAAACTTTTTTAAAAAAGAATTACTAACCAATGTGGAAATGTGAAGAACTGAATTTAATATTGGAGAAATGAGAAACCAAGAGAAACCAGATTTTTCAAATTTGTACATTCCTAGGACTCCCAAGACACTTTGAGAACCGAAGATAGTGAGCATTTCTCTAATTGCGTCAGCATGGGGCAGTTTCTCCTTTCAAGTTCCAGGCGTTATAGAATAGAATCACAGAATTGTAGCGTTGGAAGGAACCCCAAAGGTGATCTAGTCCAACCCCGTGCAATGGGTTGAGATCCTTGCTCAGCTCCGCATTTGTAAATCTGGGATAACCAATAAATAACCATAAATGATTGGATTCCATCTGCACATATTTCTAATTTTAATCATGCGCCCTAAGAGCAATGAATGCAGGTAGGCATGCAATTAGAGTATTATTAGAAACGCATATTAATGAACTTTTCTACACGTGTGTCTTCCACAAAGTAATCAGCTAATCAGAGCTGATTAGTTGCTCAGATCTAGTGGCATTGTAGCCCAGCATTGTAGCAATCATAAAATAATTCATGAATAAGATTGGCCTGCTGTGTCATTCATGCAAATGAATTTTGCTTTGGCCAGTAAACTACCGTATGTACTCATCCACACCTCTGCTTCCCCCACTACTTTCCCCTGGGGAAACCCAGTATTTACTGCTGAATCAGAGCAAAACATCAACCAAGTTTTCCATGGATTGGCATTTGCTCTGATTCAGCAGTAAAGAGCAGGTCTTCTAGAGGAAAGTAGCATAGCAAATGGATAAACTGCTTGGACCTCTGCTTTTAGGGAGTAGTACAAGTTAAGTGTGAATGACCCCTATCTTTCAAAGAAAACCCCAAAAGTATCTGCCACTTCAGCTAATCACAAAAACAAACCCCTGTGTTACAATGAGAATGAATCACAGAAATATAGACACAACACGTAGGCTAATAACTGTTAGAGCATATATAATAGAATAATGATATCGTTCAAAAAGTATAAATAAATCTATTAGAGTTCATATATACAATGTAACAGACTACTGGCACAGAACGTCAAGCCATGTGTTCAAGATAGGTGTCAAAGGTCAGTCTCATAATCGTTATACAGTGGTTCCTTGGGTTACATACGCTTCAGGTTACAGACTCCGCTAACCCAAAAATAGTGCTTCAGGTTAAGAACTTTGCTTTTTTAAAAAAAAAAAAAAATTTATTAAGGTTTTAAACAACAAATGAAGAGGGAAAAAAACATACGCAATACATATAAGAACAACACACACAAGAAAGCAACACAAAATTCAACAATAAAAGAAAACAAAAAACGTAACAATTAAAAACAATATCTCTTTTCCATTTCCATTCTTAAGTTACTTATTTTCTGGACTTCCTCATACCTCCCTCTTTTGTATTCCAAACCAAATTGCTTGTCCAGCAGTTTCTTTTCCACTTTTTTAATCCCAATCTTTAGTTTAATAAAATATTAAAATATATAACTTCAACTTCTTTAAACCTAATCCTTGGTCTTAGTATCATATAACATTAAAATTTTCCCTCTTAATATCAAATTTCCATTTCTTTACACATCTTTAATCTTAATCTTTAATCTTAGTCTATCATTAACTTTAACCTGTACAGCTGGAAACCACTTATTTTCAGTCCAACATCACTCTAACATTCCTTAATTTTGCAGTGTTTCTGGAGATAGTCTTTGAATTTCTTCCAATCTTCCTCCATCGACTCTTCTCCCTGGTCACGGATTCTACCAGTCATTTCCGCCAATTCCATATAGTCCATAAGTTTCATCTGCCATTCCTCCAGCGTGGGAAGTTCTTGTGTCTTCCAATACTTTGCGATGAGTATTCTTGCTGCTGTTGTTGCATACATAAAGAAAGTTCTGTCCTTCTTTACCACCATTTGGCCGACTATGCCCAGGAGGAAGGCCTCTGGTTTCTTAGGGAAGGTATACTTAAATACCTTTTTCATTATATATCATTTCCCAGAAAGCCTTAATCTTTGGGCACGTCCACCAAAGGTGAAAAAATGTACCTTCAGTTTCTTTACATTTCCAACATTTGTTATCGGGCAAGTGATAGATTTTTGCAAGCTTGACTGGGGTTATGTACCACCGGTATATCATTTTCATAATATTCTCTCTTAAGGCATTACATGCCGTAAATTTCATACTTGTGGTCCATAACTGTTCCCAGTCAGCAAACATAATATTATGTCCAACGTCCTGTGCCCATTTAATCATAGCCGATTTTACCGTTTCATCCTGAGTATTCCATTTCAGCAGCAAGTTGTATATTCTTGACAAATTCTTAGTTTTGGGTAGAACTTTGCTTCAGGATGAGAACAGAAATCATACTCCGGCGGCGCAGCAGCAGCAGGAGGCCCCATTAGGTAAAGTAGTGCTTCAGGTTAAGAACAGTTTCAGGTTAAGAACGGACCTCCGGAACGAATTAAGTACTTAACCAGAGGTGCCACTGTACAAAGGTTTCAACAGAAGACGTCTCAAAAGTCTAAAAAGTAAAGTTTTCTCAATAGTTTTTCTGAGACATTTTTTGAACCATGCAAATGTTCAGGCTCCCATATGGCAATGTATCTCTGAAATCTGGAATACAATTCTTTTCATTACTGATGGAATTTGAACTTATTTAGAATTTTTTTGAAGCCATTGTGACTGTAGTATGTAACTGCAATCCGGATTCCTCAGATTTTAAATATATTAACCATACATTTTAAAAATAAAAATAAATGGAAGCTGCTGTTTATTAAATTGTAGATCATCTCAAAAGTAAAAAGGAAGGAAGGAAGGAAGCTATGTTTCTGCCAAACCTATCAATATCCTTCAAAACTGTATTCAATAAAAAAAGATAATTAGTCAACTAAAAATCCATCCACTGGTTCACTGCCCTAAAATTTTATAGTAAAGTAAAAATAACCCCTTTTTATACAAGACTAATTATTTAATATATTTTAATGTAGGTCTTGTACCACCCTGTCACGGGTAAGATGCCTGTGATGATTTTTAAAAATTTCTGTACTGAATCCAGGATTTTATTTTGTTTTTAAAATAAATTTTACCTAATTGCAACTCTGTTACTTCTACACACAAGCATCTCAAACTGGGAGACTTGGAAAAACTTGTGAATATGTTAGTTAAATGCCTTGAGCATACACAATGTTATCATCTTGTACCAATTTAATAATAGTCATTTAAATTTTAAATGAAGGCAAACTAATCAATAAAAACACACATGGACTCTCATGGGATGCAGAGAGCCCTAATCTGCAATTAGCATGCAAATAAAGACACAGCAGGAAGCAATGGAGAGTATTGACTTAATTGCAATATTTTAGGAAAGGCCTACATACAAGGAACGAGTGGCAATCTTGTTTTTTCATCAGAGCAGACTTGGATATGTTTCATAGACTTTGGCCATGATCGAAGGGAAGTTGTTGTGGCCATTGAAGGGAAGACATGCCTTCATCGTGGGCTAAGTTAGAGCCATCCTTTCAGCCTCACTCCCTAGTCTCATAGGGCAACAGTGGGTTACGCTCCCTGGGAGGTGGATGTCAAAGGGCAGCACTAGAGAAGTCTGAAGGTGAGGGTAGGAAATGCCACCTGAATCTTCCCAGCACCAAAGTCCACTTTAGAAACTGCCATAATGCACATTGTGGAATTTTCTCATGTGCAAGCAGGGCTAGTTTTACTTTTTGTGGGGTTGCACTACAGTGTTAAAGCACATTCTTTCCATCCAAAAATTCTGGCCATTGTAGTTTCTTAAGGGTTGCTGAGAATTTTCACTTTGTGAGGGGTTAACTTCATTCCACACTTGCAAGGAACTGATCTTTCAGTGTGGCAGCACCTATATTTTGGGATTTCCTGCCCACTGACTGTTGTCAGTTGCCTTAACTGTGCTGTTTTCAGCACCAGATATAGAAATTTGACACGTATCTTAAAGTTATTTTATTTTATAATGTATATTTTTATTTTTATTTTTAAAAACCCTGCTGATTTCATTTATTTATTTTTTCAAGTTAACTTGTTTTTAACATCTGATTTTTTTCAGGAATTTTACATTAAATATATAATTAAGTGGTATATCAACCATGCTGGATATGTAAATAAATGATTGTCATTCTTTCCCTGGGTTTCTGATATGCTTCTTCTAACTCTATTCTTTCTCACTCATCTTCCTGCCTTCCAGCAGCATTAGCATATAAACAACTATACACTGATGTCCTCCTTTTCATGTGGGATTTTTCCCCCCAGTGAACTTTTTGGCTGCAATCCTAGGCAGCCATATGTGCAGTTTGGGAAGAAGTGCCTAAACACACAGCTGGAGGTGTTGGGAACGCATCTTTCCTTTGGCAGCTCAACCAGCAGAATAGGAAACCTGCTTCCTTTTCCCTCCTCCCCCCCCAAAAAAAAACTTAAATCAGCTTGCCTGTTCAACCAGATGATCAGTAAAAACCTTCAAAATCATCTCCCATTTCATGCATATTTCTCACACTTCTACACATATAGCTTTCCAGAGTCTGGTATTTTTTCTTTTGACTTTTAAAAAGTGTCTCTCAACTACTGAGTGTTTGTTTTGATTTTTTTCCCTCCCCTTTCACATCTCCAATTAGAAGGCATATTATATTGCCTCTGCTAAGAGACCAGCTCTCTTTGGTCCTACCTCAACTGTCACCTAGCAGTAGCCATACCATCAAACTACCTGAACTACTCCCAACTCAGCTGCTCAGTATAAGAACTGTAGCTTTAAGAACTTGTACGTGAGCTTGCTTTATTCCCTCTTCCGTCCCCATCCTTTCTTCCTTGTGTGTCATGTATTTATACTGCAAGGCCACTGGCTGTCTTACTATTGATCTTTATCAACCATTCTGAAAGGCTATTTTGGCTAAAGGGGGGGGGGAGTCTTTAAATAAAAAAAACCCAGTAGACATTTCCAGTAGAGCAACATTTTTAAGGATTAAATCCTCCCTCTTAATTCGCTCACATTTACACTGTACGCTGGGTACTACGTATAATGCAGTGCGCCTGTGATACCCAAGCTAAATGTATACTTTGCGACCTGTGTGTATATGTGTAAAAGGTAAAGGTAAAGGACCCCTGGATGGTTAAGTCCAGTCAAAGGCAACTATGGGGTTGTGGCACTCATCTCACTTTGAGGGAGCCGGCGTTTGTCCACAGACGGCTTTCCGGGTCATGTGGCCAGCATGACTAAACCGCTTCTGGCACAACAGAACACCGTGACGGAAAGCAGAGCACACGGAAACACTGTTTACCTTCCTGTCACAGCACTATTTACTTGCACTGGCGTGCTTTCGAACTGCTAGGTTGGCAGTAGCTGGGACAGGGCAACAGGAGCTCACCCCGTGGACCCAATGGTTTTAAAGATGCTCTTGGAGTTGGATTCCAACTTCCGTCAATGCCAGCCAGTGTGCCCAATGGCCAGGGATGATGGGAGTTGTAGTCCCCCAACTACTGAATGACCACAAGCACCTCATCCCTGTTCTGTTTAGTCCAGTTGCAAAACTGGAGTTGCAGCACCAACCCAAACCCACCCATCCTGAATCCTCTACAGATTAGCAAAGTTAAACCCCAGCTGCTTTGAAATCATGCCTAAACCCAAGAGGTTTACATTAGGTTTGAAGGATGAAATATCAAGTGCTGTTTCTATTTATAAACTACTACACTTTTTTTTTCTTTTTGTCATGCTGATAAATATCACCTGATGAATCAGATAAGAGAAACATTGGCAGAAGCCCACATTCTGATCTCATCCAAAGCCAGCCTGCTGCTGATTAATGAGTTGTGATATCATAGTCTGTGAGGACACATACTAAAGTGGCAGCGAAACAAGTAAGCACTAGACAGTGTCACACCTTCTTTCTTCTTTAAAAGTTCAAATTTGTAACTTCACAAACAACTTACATATAAATACATTTTGTTTCATCCAACACCTTGGTCCTCAATTGTTGTTTTATCCAAACTCAGTATTTTTACTTCACGGTTTTAATTCTATTCACAACTGCTGTAAACAAAGATCTGAACTACACATTCAGGTCAAGAGATATAGCTCTCTTAGAAATGTACCAGCTCAATATGTTGGTGCAAATATATATATATAGAAAGGATAATTCCTGGATGCCAAGATCCAAGTTTGGGGCAAGTCCTCTTTGGAGAGAGAACCCCAGGAGAGATTTAAAGTCACAAAATATGCAGCAAAGTAAAGCATAGAAAGGCTGCTGGACCTTTGAAATATGCCCTTCCAAGTCAGTTCCAGAATGTCCCCTTAAAAATTCTCTTTCCAAAGTTTCCGTCTTCTCCCAGTATAGGGAAAAGACCCAGGCATTTGGTAAGTTGAAAACTGGTTTACTTACAAAGATCATGTTAATGTGCTTCAGAAAAGTTGCACAGGCAGTAAAACTTAGTTACTAAGCAAGTTGTAAAAACTCCTAGATTATTGGTATAGGTACTCAAGAGAGGCTTGTGAAAGCCATGAGGTTCAGCTGAAGCAATCAGCTCAAACCTCTTCATAAGCTGATCTTCTGGATAAAACAATAGGCTTGAGTCTACTCAGTGTAGACCTATGAAAATGAATGCACCCAACTTCATCATGTTCATTAACTTCAGTAGATCTATGCTGAGTACAGCATATGACCCTATGCCTTTTAGAAATACCTGAAAACACATGTAAATCAGCCCATGTGTATAGGTATGCCTTAAAGGGACCAATGCAACTTATGATTCAAGTATATCATTAGTAAGCTAAAGAACACTAATGGGCTGTCTCTTATTCTTTCTTTTTTGAAAAAATGTCTCCGGGCTTTGTAACATAATATGACAAAATGAGTGGTTACATTCCATTCATAAATTGATTAAACTGAAGATCACACAGGTAAATTATATGTAGAGGCTGGAATTAGCACACATAATGAATTTTTTTCTTTAAATCTAACCAGCTAGCCAATTGATTTTTTACCTTCACAATTCCAGTTTATAGTGCCATTTCTCTAAGTGATGTTCTTCACCAGGGTCTAATTTAAATGATGGATCCTTCTCAATTACTGTCCATTAGAAGACAGGAAAACATTAAAATCAACAGAGTATTGTGAGAATTATGGGTTAGTCTTTAAGTAGGAGATTGTAAGTGAAAATTAATTTAACATGTTCATTTCTGACCTGGATATTTTAAAAGGGGGTGAGGCAGAAGAGATTAAGCTAGAGTTGTTCTTTGACCAAGAAGAAGAAGAAGATTGGGCATGATACGGAAGAGACAGGGGGCAGTTAGGGCAGTCATAGATTAAAAGCCAGATGTTTATCTTGTCCAAGGCATGAATATGTTCCTCTGTGGAGGTAAATGGAAAAGTTCCTGAAGGCAAATATTGGGTTAAAGGTAAAGGTAAAGGGACCCCTGACCATTAGGTCCAGTTGCGACCAACTCTGGGGTTGCGGCGCTTTATTGGCTGAGGGAGCCGGCATACAGCTTCCGGGTCATGTGGCCAGCATGACTAAGCCGCTTCTCGCGAACCAGAGCAGTGCACAGAAATGCCGTTTACCTTCCCGCCAGAGTCGTACCTATTTATCTACTTGCACTTTGATGTGCTTTCGAACTGCTAGGTGGGCAGGAGCAGGGACCGAGCAATGGGAGCTCACCCTGTTGCGGGGATTCGAACCGCCGACCTGATCGGCAAGTCCTAGGCTCTGTGGTTTAACCCACAGTGCCACCCGCGTCCCAAATATTGGGTTAGCAATCTTCAAAGCAGAGGTAAAAGGTAAAGGACCGCTGGACGGTTAAGTCCAGTCAAAGGCGACTATGGGGTTGTGAAATACTTCCTACTGTTGTATTCTGGCTGTGTCTGGGAAATTCCGTACATTGGCAACCCTAGTTAACCCAGTGACTGGCCCAAGGTCACGCTGTGGGCTTCATGGCCAAGTGGGGATTTGAACCCTGGTCTCCCAGGTCCTAGTCCGACACACTAACCATTACACCACACTGGCTCTACTTTTGAGTAGAGCCTCAAAGCAGAATGGACATGGGCACTAAAAAAATTCTAAAAATGCTTATTAGTGTGAATCTGAAAGAGAACTATCTTAAAACAATATTCTAATGGTATTTAACTGCACACAGAATTAATAAAAATTTTGGCCAAAACATGCATTGCTCGAGGTACAACGGAATTAAGATGGATTTAATAGATATCTTTTGTTGTTGTAAAAAAATAAAAATGCCTTTTTAGACAGAAGTATTGAATATTATATGAATAATAACAAGCTACAATCTTCCAAGAAACTCTAAAATAACTCTCCTTTTCATACTTCATCCTGATGTCATTAATATTGATTTACAACTGATTACAGCACTAACAACTGCAAAACACTATACAGTATACTGAACAAAAATGAGAAAATTAAAACCGTCCTACCATTGGGTAGGGAAAACTTTGCATACTATCTTAATGATAAAACTTACATATGAGAGAAGCATAATACTTAATAATCAAGAAAACAAATTTATTGAGAAGTGGGCCTTGTTTTTACATTTCTGGAATGACAAAGTAAATGACGATAGTTTTGTTTTACGTTTATTCATGGTATTATAGAGTTTTTGTTATGTTGTCCCTCTCCCCTCTTCACATGTTATTTCCTCAGGGGGTTGTCTCCCCCGCCCCCTTTTCACTTGTTTTCCTTCTTTTTTGCATGAGAAGCAAGCATGATTGGTGTATAATGTGTTTGGGGTTTTTTTGCTATATATTGTCACAGCATAATATTTATTTAACAAATTGAAATAATAAATACTACGACTTAAATAAATAAATAAATTAGAATGTCTTTATGGTTTAAAATCATTTCCCACATAAATTACTTCTGGAGAAGAAAGGGGTTGCACTAATGGTAGCGGGGAAGCAAACTCAGAGGAGAGAGGCTGACACAGAAAATATACAGAAAATTCTACTTGCGTTCTAGTGCCAGAAATGCAAAAACAAAAACAAAAACCATTTTCCTTCTCAAACTCTCAGGCACTATTTTTTCTTCCTGTCACAATGCGTGTGTGTGTGTGTGTGTGTGTGTGTGTGTGTAGAAAATCCCCAAGCTGATAAACTAAAAGCAGGCTACTGCTGCTGCAGAAAAAAAGATACAGTAATATAATTATCCTAATGACATCAGTCAAAGAATTTCATGTAACTGAAGCTGAAACTATGAATGAATGAGGAAACTAATGTTACAAAACCTCTACCGCTCCCACCCCTCTCCTGTGGAATTAATACTACGGAGACCTATAAAAGATTAATCAAGGTAAGCAATCAATAACTTCTCAAGTGCTAATAAGCACTGCCATGTTCTATGATATGTTGAGCACTTTATCAAGTTTAACCATATGAAGATTTATGGAAAATCCATTGTTAAAACTAAAGGATGAGGTAATGCACCACTTAGTAAATGAAGTGCAATTACAATTTATGCTTGATATTGTACATTCCAGAGATCTGCAAAAATCATTTTGATTTCTTCCTTTTTAAAGAGAGGAAACTGAGGTACTGTGGTCACACATCTTGACATGCAGTTGTGTGAGAACAGCCAGGAAGTCGATGGTACCCATCTCTCAAGGAAAGTAACCCTGAAATACCGTGCTTTTCTTCTTCTCAAAACAGAAACACGCCAAAAACCTATTATAATGTTATTCAGTTGTTTGACTTTTACTCAACAAATCTGAAAGATAAAATATAAAATCTATTAGGATTAAAAAGGTTCCTATTATTACACATCATTCTGAAAGATTTGTAGGTCGGTCCAATGAAGGGCTTAATGGCTTATTAATAGCCCATAAAACAAAGGCCTCAACCCAAAGGGTCATTGACAGGGACCCTATGGGGCCCTACATCCTACTGCATATTATTAACTAAACCTACCAAATCATGTGTTTAAGAAAGCTGCTAGAATTACATGAATGGATCCCATGTATTTGTTATGACAGCCAGCAATAAGTATTTCTGCATGACAGTAAGTCTAGGACATGTATTTATTTTACAGCTCCATGTTTTAATTGATTCATCAGTGGCCTTAATCAATTTTAATCCATCAAGTGTTATGTGGCAGGAGTTGACAACATTCTCTGGCCAGGATCCAAACAACTGTACAATTATATCTGTACACCAAAGGAAGCCTGGAGCTTGTGTTTGCTTGAAGAGCAGTCAGCCCATGAAGCAGAAAGACCTTTCAAGAAGGCATACCTGAGGGAAGGCTGCAACCTCTATGCAGTTCTATCAAAATAGTCTTCTATGTAAAGGTAAAGGTAAAGGGGCTCCTGGCCAACTCTGGGGTTGCGGCACTCATCTCGCTTTATTGGCCGAGGGAGCCGGCGTACAGCTTCCGGGTCATGTGGCCAGCATGACTAAGCCACTTCTGGCAAACCAGAGCAGCACACGGAAATGCAGTTTACCTTCCCGCCGGAGCGGTACCTATTTATCTACTTGCACTTTGACGTGCTTTTGAACTGCTAGGTTGGCAGGAGCCGGGACCGAGCAACGGGAGCTCACCTCGTTGTGGGGATTCGAACCGTCGACCTTCTGATCGGCAAATCCTAGGCTCTGTGGTTTAACCCACTATTCAACCCAGACTCCCTCGCAGAAGCCTGAATCACTCTTGGACCTCTCCCTCAGGAGCCATCAGGACCCTGGTCCTGCAAAGAAAATGTGGCCATAAATACCAGAGGAAAGGATAGCCCAACACACACAAACACATTTCATTACTTGTAGGAGTGTTGTTGTTTAGTCGTGTTCAACTCTTCTCTCCAACAGCATTTACTTGGACCCTGTGAGGCCACTATTGGACACCCTGGGATACTTGTGATAGTTTTAAACATAAATTATGGGTAATACAGTAACACTTACTGGTATTAATTTTCTATAAGTATTTGTCGTGATCCAACATGGGCAATCCATTCATGCATAACCTGATCCAAAATGAAGGTTTCTTCCATGAATTAACTGGACTTCTTGAATCATGACCAATATTTCTAAAATATCAACATTGTCAAATATCAACTTGCTTGTCAAAGGAGGTGGTACAATGAATCACATCTGGGGTGGGGATCTGTCTATTTCAGTTTCTTGTTTTTCAAATTTTATATTAAATCATTCACATCAATTCACAATTCCTTATAAAAATTAATTCTACTATGAATTTGCTTAATATATACATTTTTGCAAAGGAAATTTTCCCTAACATGATGCATTTTTCATTGCCATTTTCATTAACACATGCATTTTTGCACGCATTACTTGACTGGAGAACTGCGCTGCAAAATTTGGTGTCCTGCAAATTTCAAAGGATGGCTGTGTTTCTGTTTTGTTTCAGAAAGTATGAATTAGGTAGATTCGGCCCAGTATACCTGAAGGAGCGTCTCCACCCCCATTGTTCTGCCCGGACACTGAGGTCCAGCACTGAGGGACTTCTGGCGGTTCCCTCATTGCGAGAAGCAAAGCTACAGGGAACCAGGCAGAGGGCCTTCTTGGTAGTGGACATCCCATCAGATGTCAAAGCAATAAATAACTACCTGACATTCAGAAGACATCTTAAGGCAGCCCTGTTCAGGGAAGATTTTAATGTGTGATATTTTAGTGTATTTTTGGTTTCTATGGAAGCCGCCCAGAGTGGCTGGGGAAACCCAGCTAGATGGGCGGGGTACAAAAAATAAATTATTATTATTATTATTATTATTATTATTATTATTATTTGTGAACTGAATCAAATTTGCTCCCACATTCTGTGTCTACTTGAGGGCCTTGGTTTTGAAATTATTACAATGGAGGATGGTTGACAGGAAGGGGGAAATCACAGGTACTAGGTATCCACCAATACCCTTAATGACCCTTTCTGAGCACCTTCTCTCTAGGATCCTGAATAAGCGAGGCTGATACAACCTCTACATCTTACATATCTAACTTAAGGAGTGGCTAACCATTTTTGGTCTGAGGGCCACATTCACCTTTCATCGGTTCTCCTGGGGCCACATGCCAGCAGTGTGTGTAGTCACCCAAACTCTCACATGCAAACACAGAAACCACCACTACAACAACACACATGTAAATCTGCTGAAGAGGAGGCATGTAGCCTTTCTTTGCTTATTAAGTAAGCAATCTGGTGACAAGGGAGGGGGTGATTTGCATCCCCATCAAAGTGCTGGGCATGGTGTCTAACTTTGCCACCACTAAAAGTCAGGTTTGGGAAGCCAGAAAAAAATGCTTGGAGGGCCACATCAGGCTCCCCAAACAGGGTGGTTAGCACCCCCATCCTACACTTTGTGACACAATTCATCCATGTGTTGTTTACTTCAATTTTTCAGAACGAAAATTCATGAGTTAATTTTTCCAAAATAGTAATCATGAGAATTCACACACAAAAGCACACACCAATATCCCCTAGCACTAATAAGTCATTCAAGACATACTGCTTTCTAAAGCAATGCTGCTACATATACAAAAGCCATCATTTCTTAGATTCTCCCGGGCATAGGATACATAGTCTAGGATTTATAACGACAGATTTAACATACACTACATTAAATGTCCCAGGCACTTTCATTTACCTCTTTATAATTAAATATTAATCAATTTCACAAATGTATACATTACGTTTAACCAAAGTGTATCGATCCTTTTCATGTTTGAAAAGCAGAACAACCACATTCTGCTTTAATACAGCATGTTTAGAATGCTGATTGATTAAATCCTCAGACGTTCTTATGGTCCAATGTCATTGCAGAAGCAGACCCACTTGCAAGGTTTCAGTAGATGCTTGTGTGAATTTGATTTATTCTGGTGTGTCGGTAGACGGGTTTTTATTTATTTGTTTGTGCAAGTGTACAAATAATATAGCACTTTCCTTTTCACCAGAAAGGGTCATGGCAGTGTGCAGCAATCAGAATAATTAGAAAGTCTTGACACATATTTCAGCAGCAGGAAGGTCCTCGAAACCAGGCCTGTTTAAGTCATATCTCTCCAGCATTCCAGGAAAGATCTCCACCTGCACTCAGAAATGTTTGCCCTGTTATTCTTGGAGCCAAAATACAAGGGGGGACCACCTCACTCTCACCTTTCAGAGTCCTTTAGTTGACCTTACTTTCAACTTACCACAGCTAGAGAAGCAAAAGACCACACCAGCATTTAAGCATGCCTGGCCTTCTGGCGAGAGATAAACCTGTCAAGGGTCCTCCAAACTGGTGTTTCCTGCAGGTTTAATCTGCAGCATGTTAATAACACAGTAATAGTGCATTAGTGCTGCATTTATATTGGACCATCCACACACAGAATCATAGAACTGTAGAGCTGGAAGGAAGCACAAGAGTAATCTCACCTAGCCCCCTGCAATGCAAGAATCTTTTGCCCAAACCCACAACCCTGAGATTAAAAGTCTCATGCTCTACCAACTGAGCTATCCCAGGGGAAATCATTCTGCTTTAGAAATTGCTCTGAGATGCTTAGCCAGCCAATATCACTGCATGGTTGCTATCTGGAGGGGCATTTTTGCACTATGGTGCAATGAAAGTGGGACAAAAAAACTTTTGGTATAAAAGGTTCAGGATTTCAGCAGAAAGTTTCTGGACGTGCTCTGGTTGGAAGTACAGCTGAAATGGTACTTCATTCACACACTTTTCACCCAAGGAAAGATGCTCTGGAATCTTTATTCATGCAAGTGGACTCAGCGACTTCATTGAGCTTGTTGCGTTTAACCAGCTATTCATATGAGTCAAGGTTTCAGGAAGAAGCCCTATTAAAAGCGGAGCCACCCAGCTTTCACACTGCAAGAGAAAGGCACAATAGATTTGCTTTTTATTGCAGTTTGCCAGACAATGATCCACCAAGGCTGGGGGCAAGTAAATGGTTCTGTTCCCATCCAGGGGTGAGGGCTGGGATCTTGTAAATCCCCCAAAGGCTAAATTAGATTAGACAAACTTAACCCACCTGAAAGCCCAATCAACCATACTCAAATAAATTAGTAGAATGCTGTTGCAGCAACAGTTGACCTTTAATTCAAAAATTAGCAATGGCATTTATTGTCAGGTACCAGTATTTTAGGTAGCTTAAGCTAAGGAAGTTTGGGGTCTGAGGTTGCCAGGTTACAATGCAGAGACTGCCCCACCACCTTTACTTCTGCTGCTGAAATCTGAGTTGGAACAGCCAAAGATTCTCTTATCAATTCTCTCTAATCCTTTGGTTTGACCTCTTCCCTCATTTACTAAGAACATAAAAACATAAGAAGGGCCAATCCAATGGTCCATCTAGTCCAGCATTCTATACTCACAGTGGCTAACCAGATGCCTATGGGAAGAATACAAGCAGGACTGAGGAGCACAGCAGCACTCTGCCCTCCTGAGGTTTTCAGCAACTGGTATTCGGAAGCAGAGCACACCCATTCAGAACATCCAGAGCCCTGCTCCCTAAAGCAGGCTGCAGGCAAGAGACTTGGGCTGTGTACACATTGCCACTTTAAAGCACACAGAAGGGTTTTTGAACTGAATTTTCTGCATGAGCTTTTATGCACAATTGTCCACGTCTGTGATTTCTGGTAGGACTTCAAGGAGGATAGACAAAGGGCTGGAGGAAACATCTGAAAGAGGCCCACATATCTGAAAGAGGCCCACCTCCCGAGCAAAGGCAGGTTCTCTAGGTTGCAAAATGGCAACAATGCTACCTCCGCAGTTTTGTTTCCTCATTGGGCTGTTTTGCTTCCCCTCCTCCAGTTATTTTCTTTTCCTCCATTTTGGGGGGTGGATGGGTGGGACTCCCCAATCCTCGCTACGTTAAATTGTTGTATTTCTCCACTGATGTCTATGGGCAGTTCTCATTTAATCTGCTGAGGATTTTTTAAAGCTTCTCAGTATGAACTGAGAAATGACCTGTCCAGAACACATTATGGTTCTCTCTATCCTTTTAATGTCTATGTGTCTTTTCCTATGCCCGCTTTTCCCAGCTACTCTATTTTATTCCCCTCCCATCCAGTTGTCATTTTTCCCACTCACTGGGCTATTGGTGGAGTGAGAGTACCCCCAGAGGAGTTTGGTCTACATTTTGTTTGCATCTAGGTAAACCTCAAAATTACCCTTCCCCTGCTGCTACTGCATTTGTGTGAGAGAGATGCAGTTTTGGCTGCATTTTGTGAGCATGTGAAGATTTGAATTAAAAAAAAAGGAAATGATACCAAATGGAACCTCCATATTCAGAACCAGCCAATCTCAAAATACCAGCTGCTAGAGGCAAACAGGTGAGGGCTGTTGTTTTAATATTCTTAGGTGTTTCCTAGAAATATCTTTCTGGTCACTCTTAGAAATGGTATTCTAGACTAGATGGCTCCTTGGTATTCTGAAGCAAGACTCTTCTGAAGTTCTTAGCATCAACTTGAAATTCATTCCACATGCAGCCCCTTGAAAAAATCTATTTTTGGCTCATTCTTATTGCAATTAAAAAGCAATGTTAAAAATGTACTTGATATGCCAATCCCAAAAGCATATAATAGGCACTAAATATCTGCAGCTTCCCCCCACCCCATACAATATAATATGTGACAACAAAAGTATTATCCTAAGGGTTTGATAGAGACATCCATGTTAGCTGAAATCACTGGGCTTTGATTGCAATCCAGACATGAAACACTTAAAGCATGCCAATTTAAGAACAGTGCCTCTTTGATCCAATTTTGCCCAGCCTTGCATCTTTTACCTGTCTCTGTAGAGTCTCACCAAATGATTGGCCTACAGAAAGAAATCTTTTGAGGGCAGGGAGGAACAAATTTTAATCAGCATAGGAACATTCACTAATCTCTATAACATTAAATTGCAAGGGGAGCCATTTCTTCACTGTCAAGATTAAGTCTCTCTGAAATGTAACATCTCACTTTCCAGCCATTCAGAGCAATATGTATTCATTCATTTATTTCTATCCCATCCATTCTCCCCCCCAAAAAACAGTTAAAGTAAAACAAAATACATAGAATAAAAACAAAGAAGCCAATTAAAAACCACTGAATACCTGCAAAGGTATTCCCAATGAGACCTCCCATTGAGGCAGCCATCAATAAAATCTCTCTCCCTCTCTCTCTCTCCCGCCTCCCCACCCATGTGCCCTTACTGATCAAACACAGAGCACAAAAGGCATGAGCAGGACTCCCCCCGCCCCCCGCTGTTGTGGTCCTTGAACTAAAACCATTACTTTCCCTGTGGTCTGCCTCCAAAAAGAGCATTTCCATACCATGTTGCCCACCTTGATAAAGCACCCAAAGTTGTGCTGTCATGAAACCATGCATTTTCCCATCCTTGCTACACATCACGGACTGCTGCCAATGGGGAAGGAATTCATAATGATGTAATATCACATAGATGAGGAGTATGCTTTACTATACAACAGGGGAGGGAAAATCCTCCATCCAGGCAAGGCAGAGGCATTATCAGAGTTCAAGGGCATATTCCAACCAGGCAAAAATGCCCAAGAAGGGTGTAAAGGAGGGCTGGTGAGGGCTGTGACCTGCAGAGAGTCCAGGGGGCCAGATAGAAAGGCATTTGGATCCTAGATCAGAGGTTTCTGCCTCTGCTGTACAAAATAAAGTGGAGGGTTGCCATTTTCAATAGCAACCCCATATCTGTTTTAATATGCAGCTATTTCAAAGAAAAATCAAGGTGGGAAATGGCACGGATCATATCTAGGTTCAGAAATAAAAGAAAATCGAGGTTTCCTGCTATTGTTGCACATTCTGGTGCTATTGTGCACTAGAGAAGGACATGGTGTGTTGCCAAATGGGCAATGGTTCTTTTGGATTCAGGTAGGCAACAAAGAACACCAAATTTGCTCTTTAACAGCTTTTATTCATAGGATGAAGATATAAAGAACAAAAGCAAAGGCAAATAATCTTACACCCCTTTGTGTTGCCTTTGTAGGAAAATTTTGCATTCTGAAATTTCCATTGTCCATCTGTGTGGGAATAGGTACAGAATCTTAAGAGCCAAGTTGCAGCCCTTGTGCCAGCCTAACCTCTGTGTCCGATTCTCTCTAAGCAGGAGTGCCATTGGGACTTATATACCTTTTCCCTGCTGGTTTGCTCCCACCAAAGCGAAAGACTGACTAATATTTGGCAGGAAGTCATCACAAATAACTCCTAAAGCTAGCTGATACTCCCTATAGCAGGTGTCAGTGTGAGATCCCTGTGGAAGTCAATCTAGGTCATCACAATTCCCATACAGAGTTGCTTCAGCAACTATTTTATAGAATAAAAAGAATTAACAACTTAAAAGCCCAGGTTCACAGGATTTCTAGGCATTACCTGGGCATGAGAGGGAGAATTGCTTGGCACCACCCTAATCTCCTCAAGATAATGATTGTCTTCCGTGGTATAGCAATATAGATGGAAAACTTCCACTTCTGATTTTAAACTAATCACAGTCCCATCTGACATCTGAGTTGGGGTGTGTCTATGGTTTGCTTAAATACTAATTAATGAGTACAATACAAGATCAAACAGAGCCTAGCTCATCCTAACAAACCAGTTTAAAGAAACCACAGTTCTCCAAGTTTGGACATCATGGGAAACTGTGGTTTGTTTAAAATCAGAAGTTTTTTATCTCCTCCTCTAGCATGCAAAGAGCAGGAAAGGGAGAGGTGCAAACTTGAAGTTTATGCAAGCTCATTCACATAGCAGGCAATAACAGTTTTCCATTGCATCTGAATGTGGCCACTTTGGCTCGGGTTTTCTGCAAATTGCCGTTTATTCAGATTCAGTGCTAAAGAGTGGATTTTTTCCAGGGAAAGTCATGGGGCAAACAATAAATCGCACAGACCCATGCTTTCTAGGCACAGTACAAATAGAAGTGTGGAACAGCACTATGTTAGCAAACTATTATTTATTTAATTGCACAGACACATCTGTATGGGGCTTACAGTATACAGGATGCAATTACTTAAAATCTATTTTGTTAATTTTGGATATCTATGGCAGTGCAGTATATTTTGGGACATTCTCCTGCCCCTTAAAATGAGGATAGAAAGCAGGTAGCCACATACTCCAACTCTTGGGACATGTTTCACTGCAATGCACAGTGAAGCCAAGGTTACAAAAAGGACATCAAAATAAATGGGAAGGAAGCAAATTAGAAAATGGAAAGAAAGAGCCTGCCACTTAATAAATATTAGGCTAGCATTTGCCTTCAGCAAAGAGTTATTCATTTATTAAATTATTTCAATTTATATTCTCCCGTGTTACAAAGACTCTTGTCAACATGTTTTTAAAAATATTAGATAAATAAAAAATGAGGTGCTGAGACATAAAAGAAAAACAAACTCAGATTGGCCTTCTGCTAGCTAAGCTCTGCAACTACCGGTAAGTGCCAGCCTATGCAAAGCAGTCTTATGAAGAAAATTCCTAAATAAGGCTGTTGATTTACAAAGCATAAGCAAG